TGTTTTATAATTACATTTTTAGATATCGGAAGCCATCTCAAATCCCAGCCTGGGAGAAAGGCAGGGTATAAACACATTAAAAAACAAACAAACAAAGCATCTCTAATTCCAGAACACTGAACCCCCCCCCAACCCCACCACCCACCAAAGAACAACTTTATAACATGCATAAACATAACAGTAATAGTGGAGAGGGTGCTTCTGAGGTCGTAGGGAGTACATTTCTGTTACAGAGAAATAATAATCTCTCTATTCACCTCCCTCGGCCCCAAAACTCCCTCCAAGTTAGACAGCATAAACAGAGTTTTGTGTTATAGACCAGCACCTTGGATAGTATTTAATTTTAATTAAAAACAAAAAAGCAAGCCAGCACTCTGAAATATATAACAACATCAAGCATTTCTACAGCACATTTAAAGTTCGAAATGTATCATGCACATCCTTCGGTTTATCCATTCATTTGTAAAAAAATAATAATCTCTAAACCAATTAACATTAGAGAAGACCTAAGCTTGCGTAGGATATTAGATGAAAACATAACATAATTAGAGAAGTCTCAAGCTTGCATACCATTTTAGATAAAAACAGAACAGAACAGAATTAGGCACAAAATTGTGTGCTCTCCCCACCCATAAAAATTGTACACATTAAAATCCAGACGGAAGTGCAAATAAAGTAATAAATGAATGCAGAGATACAGGAGCAGACCTTATGGAGTCAGGAAAAGCCAATGGTCAGGCGGAGAGGCATGTGTAAAGCCAGGAAGGGACACAATTGTTTGGCTATTTGTGTCTCATGGAGTAGAGTGGGTTGAGGCCAACTAAATTGTACTCGGGAGTATTAAGCCCATTGAAATGAAGGGGCTTGTTCCTGAGTAAGAATGCATCACATCAGGCTGAATAGCTGCTGTGTGCTGCTCCCTCAAGCCCAATGCAACTTACACCTGAGTAAACACGCGCAGGGCTGACCTGTGGCTGGGGCAGGATCTGAACGCTGGCGTTTTAAACCCACATTTCAAACCACTGTGCAAACTGTAACCAACTTTCAAATTTTTGCATTTGAAGCGTGATGAGTTAGGGCCCATCTCCCCTCCCCCCACTTGGAAAGTCTTCAAATAGCCAAAGTTTTTTTTAAAAAAGGGAGAAAAGGCTCATGAGCTCAGGAAGGACCATGCCTGCCTTTCTGAGGACCTCCTTGCTTGCTTCCCACCTCCTCCCTGATGCCGGCCAATCCCCAACAGTCCCCCAATTTGCTCCACCATTATTTTAATTACATGGATATTTCCCACACAGCAGGCCGTGTTTAATGAGTGCCTTGCTCAAAGGCAACCCAAACCAGTCAGCAGGCCAGCCTAGCTGGTTTTGAACGCCTTGTGTGGTGGCGAGGGCCCTCTCAGCGGTGGAAAATTGACCGAAAAATGGTGCTAATTTGCAATGTTCTGCTTTTGGAGTGATCCCCTGCTTTAAGCCCGCCGTTGCCATTCACGCACGGTCACGCTCAGTGGTGTGAGGCTGCACCGTACTAAATGGGCCCTGTGCCGCTGCTGATGCCCCCCCCTCCAACGGCAACCTCACACAGAGATGGCTCCCAGTTCAGTTTTTGTCCAGAAATTGCCATGCCTTGTCCTAATGGTTATAAATGAGCTCCCTGCTAAGTTCTTACAGAGCTCCTGGAAAGACGAGATCCTATTTACCGAGTGCTACAGAAGCGTTTGATATGATCTCCTGAACTGCTGAAATGCAGGCTTTTCTTTGCTTATGTTAGAACTGTAGGCTTGGAAGGTAACCCCAAGGCTCATCTAGTCCAAGCTCTGTGTAAGGTAGACAGACTGTGACTGCTCAGAAGCAGCAGCTGTGCAACAAACTAACTCAACACTGACAACACCAAACCCTGGGCATTGATGTAGGAGCCCAGAAGGTACAGCCCTGGGTCTTTCGTACCCTCATATCTCCTGCCCATTTAACCCAGATTTACAAATAAACTAAAGGGGGGGGGATATTATTACTACTTTATTATTTATCTGTTGTGTTGATATCCCACCTTTCTCTCCAAGGACCCCACATCAGCTACTGGGCAACCGTTTTTAAAACACAATGTCCAATCTTCTGGCATCCTTATGGCACCTATGCATATCAATTAGCACCTGCCAATTAGTGTCCTGGGTCTGTGCCCTAAGGACTTTTTAACAGTCCTTTATCAATGGTCCCTAAGTAAAATTAGCAGTCATGGGGTAAGAAGACAGGTCCTTTTAGGGACTGGTAACTGGTTAAGGAACTGGGTGGGGACAGAGTAGGAATAAATGGACAGTTCTCACCATGGAGGTAAGCAGGCAGAGGTGTCCCCCAAATATCTGTACCGTGGTACCTCTGGTTAAGAACTTAATTTGTTCCAGAGGTCCGTTCTTAACTTGAAACTGTTCTTAACCTGAGGTACCACTTTAGCTAATGGGGCCTCCCGCTGCCGCCACACAATTTCTCTTCTCATCCTGAAGCAAAGTTCTTAACCCGAGGTACTATTTCTGGGTTAGCGGAGTCTGTAACCTGAAGCGCTTGTAACCAGAAGCATCTGTAACCCAAGGTACCATTGTATTGTGAGGAAGAGTACTGAAAAGACTTCTTTCCATGCTTTTGCTACTGCTAAAGCTGCTGATATAAGAGACAGAAAGATTTGGGCTACTGATGGCTACTAGTCATGATGGCTGGGCCCTGGGTGAGCCAGTTGGTATAAAAGTGAGTTGATGAATCATCATGGGCTTTTGAACCCAAAACATCAAGTGTTTAATTGGTTTAATCTAAATGTATTTGCAGGGATGCGGGTGGCGCTGCAGTCTAAACTATTGAGCCTAGGGCTTGCTGATCAGAAGGTCGGTGGTTCGAATCCCCACAACGGGGTGAGCTCCCGTCTTTCGGTCCCAGCTCCTGCCAACCTAGCAGTTTGAAAGCATGTCAAAGTGCAAGTAGATAAATAGGTACCACTCTGGCGGGAAGGTAAACAGCGTTTCCTTGTGCTGCTCTGGTTTCCCCAGAAGCGGCTTAGTCATGCTGGTCACATGACCCAGAAAAACTGTCTGTGGATAAATGCCGGCTCCTTTGGCCAGTAAAGCGAGATGAGCACCTCAACCCCAGAGTCGTTCGTGACTGGACTCAACTGTCAGGGGTCCTTCACCTTTACCTTTTTAAATACATTTGCACCTTGATGCCAAAGCCCAAAGAGAAATGCCTTTATTGAGATGCTGAAGGATGTGTGATATAGAGTCACAGAATTGTAGAGTTGGAAAGGACTACATTTTGTCCAACCCCCTGCAATGCAGGACCATTCACTGTCAGACTGAAAAGCCATCTCATCTGATTCCTCTTTGTTCCTTGTTACAGTCACGCCAGAACCAAAAGAAACTTCCAAGGAATAATCATGTGTTCTGGAATTGCAGGACCATCATTTTAAAATGTGCCCAAATGATCCTACACTTCTTAATTTGTAAACTTAAGCCATTCAGTCCAGCCCAATGTGTGTTTGTTCAGGAATACGTCCCACTGAAACCCATGGAGAGCACTCCCAAGCGGGTGATTTGCATCCTCATAGGTGCAAGCCTATTAATAGGTAAAGGTAAAGGGACCCCTGACCATTAGGTCCAGTCGTGGCCGACTCTGGGGTTGTGGCGCTCATCTCCCTTTACTGGCCGAGGGAGCCAGTGTACAGCTTCCGGGTCATGTGGCCAGCATGACTAAGCTGCTTCTGGCCAACCAGAGCAGCGCACGGAAACGCCGTTTACCTTCCCGCCAGAGCGGTACCTATTTATCTACTTGCACTTTGACGTGCTTTCGAACTGCTAGGTTGGCAGGAAAGCCTATTAATAGTTATCCATAAATAAGTCCAACTGTGTGTGTGATGGGACTTATCCCTAGGCAAGTATTCCCGCAATTCCAAATGCATTCCAAAAACGAGGCACCAATCTTAGTTTAGATTTGGAACCCCATCTAAGCTGCAAATGCCATGTTAGATGTGAAAAAACAAAACCCAATTCTTCCAATACCCAAGTAGAGATTGTATTTTAGGAGCCAACAGAATGTAACATTTGCAAAATGAAGTTAATCATTGCACAAGGAGTGGAGAGGTGGCTCGGAGGAAAGGGCGAACAGCTCTTCAGGGCAGTCGGCCTGTGAAAAGGAGTCACGCTTTCCAATTTCTTGGAAAAAGCTTTGAGGGTGATAGAAAGCTTGGAGGAAAAAAAGAAAGAAAGAGAAAAGGCTGTGCATTCTTTTCCCCCATGAAAGCTGAGTGAATTTCAGCCTCTGTTGTCTCTTGGCAGACAATGACCACACTTTCTCTAGAGATGCATCCTGGAGGGGCTGGAGGTTTTCAAAGTGTCCTTAATAAAAGTTGGCTTTTAGCAATCTGAATTGCCAAGGGGGGGGGGGGAGAGGGGCCCACTATGCCTGGACACAATAGACTCAGAGGAGTGAATCAACACTCAACCAGAGTGTGCAAAGTGAGAGTTAGGAGTGAATTCAGAGAAAGCCCCAATTGTCTGTGTCTTTTGTGCCTTGAGCCAGCTGGAGGTAATCTTTCAATATTTACCCTGCTCTATTGTTCAAAACTCATTTGCACACGCAACAGCGGGGGGGGGGGGGCAGCAGGGGAATGTGTAACCATTTCCAGAGGTTTTTGCAGTGACAGCCTGCAAAAGGTAGACCTTAAAGAACCCACCTTTGGTTGGTATTTTGTTTTCAGTCATTAAAAAAATACGTATTATTCATTTAAAAACGAATCAGAGCAGTTTACAACAATTGTATGCAACACCGTATGATAAAAACCATATAAAAATATCAAAATCTGAAATCAACCAACTATTTTGGAATAACGTCTCCTTAATTGCCTGCTTAAGCCTGATAGAAAAGTTTTCCGCAAGTGTTTAAAAGTTGAAATCGAAGGTGATCCAATGGTATCTTTCTGCCACTAGCTTTTCAGATCTTCTAAAATATATGTAGCCACTTAAGTAACTGCAGTCTGAACCATATATTTTTTATTTGTTTAGAGCAGCCGACAAACAATTAGCAAAGGAAGCATAATATATCCAGAGAATACAAAATATCCTTTTACAAACACAGTTTCAAATATATTTTTCGAACGATGTTCGGTTTTAATGCACGGCCTACACTTAAACTTTACAATGCCTCAACCCCAAATTACAAGTGGTTTCTATATTATTTATTAATAATTTTATATCCCACTTTTATTCCAAGGAGCTCAAGGTGGTGCACATGGTTCTTCCCCCTCCTCATTTACTCCAGCAACAACCCTGTGAGGAAGGTTAGGCTGAGGGACAGTGCCTGGCCCAGGGTCACACCCAGTGAGCTTCATGGCCAAGTGGGGATTTGAACACTGGTCTCTCCCAGGTCCTTGTCTGACACACTAAACCACAGCACCAGGAAGTGAATGAATAGGGATGAGGATAGGAAGGCAGCATACAACCCCCCCTCCCCCAGCAGTGCTGGCCAGGTCTGCCAATCCCCACCCACCCACCCTATGTTGTAGGTTGAGGGTCAGGCTGGTGGAATAGTTTTTTGTCCTTGTTTGTTACTATGCCGTGTATTTTTGTGGTTTTATATTGTATTATAAACTGCTGTGTGATCCTTGGATACAGGGCAGTATAGAAATTTGTTAAAAATTAAGAATTGCAACAACGACCCTGAAAGAAAATATTCTTTGGTTTTATTCCCAATGCAGGTGGATAACTGAAGATGGAGCAAGATTGTTTTCTCCTGCTCTGAACAGTAGAATGGTCTCCCTTGGGAGGTGGTGGATTCTCCTTCCTTGGAGGATTTTAAGGAGAGGTTGCAGATGGTCATCTGTCATGTATTATCTAGTTGAGATTCCTGCATTGCAGGGGGTTGGACTAAATGAATCCCTTACAACTCTACAATTCCATGAGATTGTAACATTTGCGCCCCCCGCCCCACCCTGCCATGTTCTGCCATGTAAAGGGTAAAGGTAAAGGGGACCCCTGACCATTAGGTCCAGTCGCGAACAACTCTGGGGTTGTGGCACTCATCTTGCTTTATTGGGCGAGTCATGTGGCCAGCATGACTTAAGCCGTTTCTGGCGAACCAGAGCAGCGCACAGAAATGCCGTTTACCTTCCTGCCGGAGCGGTACCTATTTATCTACTTGCACTTTGATGTGCTTTTGAACTGCTAGGTTGGCAGGAGCAGGGACCGAGCAACGGGAGCTCACGCTGCTGCAGGGATTCGAACTGCCGACCTTCTAATCGGCAAGTCCTAGGCTCTGTGGTTTAACCCATAGCGCCCACTCTTAATAATGCAGCAGGCTGGAAGTCATTAGTCAGGGCTTTAGAGAACTCTTGGGTGTCTGCCTTGGTTTCTATGGGCTGCTTCAGTGGGTGAGATGGGAATCGGGGCCCATACCCCCCATGCATGGCTGAAGGGCCAGCTCCATTGGGCTGCTTCTGTTCCTTGAACTGCTTGCATTCTAGACTGGTCTCCCTCTCTCCCCCTACTCTATGTGTGTGTGTGTGTGTGTGTGTGTGTGTGTGTATCCACCCACCTCAAAAGGCAGCAGATGGCATTTTGAAGTGATGCCACATCAAGAGCCCACAATGTAAGGCCATAATGTCCCAAGTCTAAAACAGCCTAACTGCACTGCTGACTGTGAGCACGGCTATTTCCGCGTTTACCACTAGTGACAGAGTTCTTTTTTCCTTCCTTCCTCCTCTCTTCCTGAACCTCTTTCCTTTCGTGCCACCTCTTATTGATTAATTAATCATTTCATAAGCATACTCCTCAACTGTAAGAAAGCACCGCAAAGTACTGTAGTTTACAAGGAGAAAAACAATAGCAATGATAAATAAAAAGAATTAAAAGCAGTCATTTAAAACATGTTAAAAACTGATTAAAGTCAAGATAGGTAGGTTGTCCGCCCACCCGCCCAGCAGTCAAAATCGGCTATCTGAGCTGCTCTTGGAATCCTTTCGGCTGGAATAGCCCATTAAATAGAAAAAGGGGGTCGGGAAGTACATCATCATCATCAAATTTGATTCCCTCCCCCTCTTTCTTTCTTTTTTCTTTCTCCTCCTGTGATGAGGCTGCATTTTAATATTTTTATTGTTTCAATATTTTAATGTATTTTAATCTTGTTTTTAAGTTGTATTCATTCAACTTCTTTTTATTATTGCTTGTTAGCCGCCCTGAGCCCGGCCTTGGCTGGGGAGGGCGGGGTATAAATAAAAAAATATTATAATTAGTATTATTATAATCATCATCATCATCAAAGCGTTATCGAAACCAGAAACTCGCGCTCCGTGCGTTTCTCTTCGCCTTTCTTATCTCTATGGTCACCCGCCCTACCAAAGCGGACACGCCCCCCTGGGCCAGTTTCAATAAATCTCGCGAGGTCTCGCCCCCGTCCCATGCTATGAAGCCGGACTCTACGCTCCGCCTCCGCGGAATTGTCTCGCGAGAATTGGGGGGGAGAGGCCTCGCGAGAGCGGGGCTTGGCTCCGGCCGCCGGTCCACCATGGCCGGCGCTGAGGGGAAGGCGGGCGTCGGCGGGCGAAGGGGACGCGAGGCACGGACCAGCCTGACGGCCTTCGTGCTGGGAAGCTCCGTGGCGGCCGTGCCGCTGCTGCTGTCGGCGCCTCCGCCGGCGCTGCTCTCTGGGCTGGGCTTCCAAGGCCGCGCCGCGCTGGCCCTTCATGTGGCCGGAGTCAACGCCGCCCTCCTGCTGGCCTGGGGTCGCGCCCCGGGGGGCATGTACCAGGTAAGGGCTGGGAGGAGGGCGTGTCCACGCGAGGCCCCGCCCCACGGCGTTGGGATTCGCCGAGCTCGTGGGCGTGGTTAGTGCAGGGTCCGCCCACTTCTGGCCTGGGAAGGGCGTGGCCATACCCCTCTTTGCTATAACTTGGTTAGACACGCCCAGGGGTGTGGCTGTCTCCCCTGGGCGTGTTTAACCAAGGGTGGCAAAAGAATTCTAAGGTCTCAAAAATAGAATAAATATTCATAAGGTAAAGGTAAAGGGACCCCTGACCATCAGGTCCAGTTGTGGCCAACTCTGGGGTTGCGGCGCTCATCTCGCTTTATTGGGAGCCAGCGTACAGCTTCCGGATCCTGTGGCCAGCATGACTAAGCCGCTTCTGGCAAACGAGAGCAGTGCACGGAAACGCCGTTTACCTTCCCGCTGGAGCGGTACCTATTTATCTACTTGCACTTTGGCGTGCTTTCGAACTGCTAGGTTGGCAGGAGCAGGGACCGAGCAACGGGAGCTCATCCCGTTGTGGGGATTCAAACCGCCGACCTTCTGATTGGCAAGTCGTAGGCTCTGTGGTTTAACCCACAGTGCCACCTGCTTCCCACCCATGATATATATTTAGATATGCATGCATATCTAAATAGATATCATCCATGTGTCTGAAATAGTGCAGGAGAGCAATCCTGAAGCCATGTTGACTCTCCCAATGACTTCAAGTACTCCTCCGTAGTAAGGGAAGCAAATGGGGAAAGCCTTATTGTCTTAAAGGGGGCATATTTGAGTATGAATAGGGTGAGCCTGTGACCTGGATTCAGGAACTAAAGTATTAACCATCACAAAAATGGCCAGGCTTCCCAGGTAATGCAATCCTCGACCATTATCAGGTATCCTGGAAAACAGGATTTCTGTTGTCGACTGCCTCCTTTGATGCATGTATGATGATTTGGGGGTGGTCTTTGGCTAAGGGGGTTGGGCAACATCAAATGTCTTCAGAGGCTCCTGCACTCTTTTGTTCAGGGTCTCTCCCATCATGGAAGGAGGGGAGGGAACTCTGTTGCAACAGAAAAATATATGTATCTGCCTTGCTTTCCACTGGATCCTGCCTCCATCCATTCTTATCTGACCGATCATGGACTTAGGGGGCTCAGAGTCCCATGGGGAGTTGGACAGCAAAAGGCAAACCCCAATTTTTACATCAAAGGCCACTTCTCTGCTTAAGGAGGGGTGTGGCTATCTCCTTAATGAGTTCGCTTTTCTGCTTCTGATCCAGATATGTCAGCTCTGCTCAACAGCTTTCTATTTTCTTCTGATGCCAATGCTTAGGGCTGAATCATGGGGCAAGTATGTCCCGGCACAAGCTCAGAGTGCTTTAACCACTGAAGCAGTCCATGCCTGTGAGGCGTCTTGCAGCACTCTGACAACTGGGCTTGTTTACTTGTCCTAGACTGGCACTTGCTTCGTCAAGTACATAAAGCCAAAGCTGCTGAAATCATAATGTTGTTATGCAAATCTATGGCGTGGTTCCATGTGCAATACTGTGCACAGTTCTGGTTACCCCACCTCAGAAAGGAAATTTATGGAAAAGGTTTAGAGAAGGGCAACCAGAGGATCAAAGGGGAGAAGCGATTTGCCTACCAGAAAAAGTTGCAGCATTCGGAACTTAGGACTTTTTCGTTTAGCAAAAAGGCAAGTAAGAGATAATATGATAAAAGCCGATAGAATTATGCATGGAATGGAAGAAGTGGATAGAGAAAAGCTTTTCTTACTCTCTCACAATAACTTGTGGACATCCATGAAGCTGAATGTTGGGAGTATTCAGGACAGGTGAAAGAGAGGACTTCTTCACATAGCGCATAGTTAAACTATGAAACTCCCTCCCATGGTGGGAGGCAGTGATGGCCACGAACTTGGATGGCTTTAAAAGAGGATTGGGCAAAATCATGTTAGACAAGGCTGTCACTGGCTGCTAGCCAGAATCAGCCTCCATTATTCCTCAGTTGCTGCGCACAGGGCTGTTTCACTCATCTTCTGCTTGCGGTTTCCCCACAGGCCTCTGGATGGCCACTGTGAGAACAGGATGCTGGACTAGATGGGCCATTGGCCTCATCCTGCCAGGCTCTTACTTACCTGTTGTGGCGTGATTTGTTTAACCTGGCACATACTTTGTCAATCCCACAGTCGTTTTTGCTGCAGCCGGTCTCTTAAAAGTCTTCAGCCTTGTGTTAGATCTTAATGTCTTGCCGTAGGATAAGTAGGAAAAGTTTGAAGAGGAAACCTCAAGCCCTTACCCCTATTTGAAATAAAGGTTGCGCTAGAAGATTAGGATGCAAAGTCTTCCCCATAGATCTCATCTATCTTTTTCTCATAAATGATATTGTAGACAAATAAGCTGAAGAGAAGAAGGGGAACCTGCAGCCTTTGATATGTTTTTTGACTCGAACTTCCAGTATCACCGGTGGTTGGGGAGGAGGATGGGAGTTTGGAGCGGTGGTCAGGATAGGCATATTTCCACCCAGGGGTTTCCTGTTGTCAATCCCTCCCATGGTGTGCTGGAGAGATAGGACTGCCTTAGGATTTGGCTTCAGAACTGGTGGCTTATGGGGTAGGAGTATGTGGGGTTCCCCCCCCCACCTCTGGCTAATGGGCAGGTGAGTTTCTGACTGCCTTTTCTTGCCTTGTAGATTGCCATCCGTGCCTGCTTCTTGGGCTTTGCATTTGGGTGTGGTTTATTGCTCAGCTTCGGACAATCTACGTGGAAGCATTTTGGATGGTAAGAGGGCAGCACTTTAGGTTTCTGAAAAGAAAACCGTGGGCTCTGGGGGACAGCTCTCTTGTTCCTGGAGACTCCTGGGACCTCCACTCACCTCTGTTTGGCTGGCCTTGATCCTCTTAGGGGCACTAGGAGAGCCTGCCATAGGAGACAAATACTACTTAATGCATTGTTTCTGAATCCATTTTTTGGAGCCCCTTTTCTCCCCTGCCTTCTGTACTCAGGAAATCCTAGCTGCTTGCCAGGGGACAAAAGCAGAAACATGAAGGGGAATGTGTGAATAACTGATGGTTCTTAGTTTGAGGTGGTTAGCCTCCCCACTCCTAATTTTGGATGTGAGACCTAGGCATCTGCTCTGTAAAATATATATATAGATGTGTGCAAGTTCTTCTCAGTGTTTTAGGACACCTGCATTGAGTGATGTGAATGATGCTATATTTGAGTCTGCATGCTTCCTGGAAAAGGAACCATCCAGAGAATGAGCCCACCCTTGTAATATCGTTTTTAAAACAGCATTGGAGATTAAGCAGCTGGTGTGTTGAGCAGCCCAGTTTACAGCTCTTCAGAAGAGCAAACCTAGAGTTAAAACCCAGGAAGCTGAAACATGAGGGTTTTGCTAAGTCCCTGGTTGCTCTTTCAGGTATATGTGTTCGCTCTCCTTCTTCCATTATTCTGAATACTTGGTGACAGCCGTTAACAATCCCAGAAGTCTCTCCTTGGATTCCTTCTTGATCAACCACAGCTTTGAATACAACCTAGCTGCAGTCTCATCCTGGGTTGAGTTCACCGTGGAAAAATTCATTTGCCCAGGTCAGTAACTATTGAGTTCTTATGCAAGTGAAACAGAAAAATTCAATCATTCTAATGGGAGACCCAGAAACATGGACTTGGAGGCAGGTCTGAAAACGAAGCTGTTTTTCTCCCCAACCTGAACTAATTGGAGTGATATTGACCCCTCACCTTTAAAATGATCTCCCCTTTGAAGGTGTGTTTCACCACAACACTGATACTGTTTTCGCAACAGGTGAAGACACACCTTTTTGCCCAGGCTTTTGGGGAGGGATGAAGTATGTACTGGGTGCTTGAATCTCCATTGCTGCTGGTAGTTTGTAACTGAAGTCTGTATTTTGCTACATGCTGTTTTTATCTTCTTTTTTAAACTGTTGGTGCTTAGGCTATTTATTCTTTCTCTGGGGCCTCTGGGTAGAAAGGCGGGTCATAAATACTTTAAATAAATAAGAACTTGATATGCTGAAACAAGGTGTAGGACTTGGCCCTTGAGTGTCAAGGGGCTTTGCATGCATTATCTCAGAAAGCTTCTAAGTTAGGCCAGGGTTGCTATCCTACTATTGCAGGTACAGAGGCTGAGTAAGCAGCACTCCTTTTGTGAAGGCCACCTACTCAGCTTATTACCCCTTGAACCAGAGATTTCACAACTTGCATTATTAGCTATAACAACAGCCCTTCAGTGGTGGCTGAGAGTGCTCTATTCATTGCACCCTGCTGGCCCTCAGTTACTAATACGCTCCTGAAAATGCTGATAACAGGGTGAACTTGTTGCCCCTTAAGCTTATTCAGAGGCTGCATTGAAAGATGGCCGCATACCACTTGTGTGTGGCTTTAGCTCTTTGTCATTAGTTGGACCATTTTCTGACCCTTCTAAAACACTGACTGTTCTGACTTCATGCTCTGACATTAAGGTCCTTTTTTTTGTTTTAAATTACACTGTGAAGGGGAGGAGATCACTGTTATCAATGAGTGTTTATGAAAGTTTGGCTTTGATCTCTGCATTCTGCTTCTTGTGTACATTGAATTGTGAAGTTTGCAGATGGATCTCCACAGAAGTTAACTAGCCCACATACCTTTGTTGTAGCCCACCTGCTGGCACAGACTGCTGTCAGTCATTTTTGTCCCAAAAGGAAACCAAAACCCAGCTCCAGTGCAGCTGTTTGCCCTGGTCCCTTGTGAAGAATGTATTTTTGTGAAGTTAATCCATTTGTTACAAGCACCGAGTGCCTCCTTTTCCCTTCTGACCGGTGTAGCTGCAACTCTACCAGAGTGGCACCATTTTGCAACCTGCGCTTGCTCCTTTGCAGAGATGAAGCAGATCACTTGGCTGAGTTCGGCAGGGCTGCTCATGGTGGTTTTCGGGGACTGCCTGAGGAAGGCTGCCATGCTCACAGCTGGCTCCAACTTCAACCACATTGTTCAGAATGAAAAATCGGAGACTCACACTCTTGTGACCAGAGGTGTTTATGGCTGGTTTCGTCACCCATCGTATGTCGGATGGTTTTACTGGAGTATTGGGACCCAGGTACTGTTGCACAGCTTAGTGCATCTTGTAATATTTTGGCTCTTTCGGGAGTGGAGGGGGTACCCTGGGCTTCATGAGATATTAAGAGGAATGTGTGATAGTGTATAATTCATGAATTCAACCTTCCAGTTTTCAGAGTGGTTTAACAGTCAATCCCTTGTCGCAGGAAACTCTGGGAGTTGTAGTTCTGGGAGGGGAATAGGGGTCTCCTAACCACTCTTGGCACCTTTAACAAACTTCAGCTCCCAAAACCCTTTGGGGAAAGAAGCCAGGGTCATTTAAAGTGGTATCAGAACGCTTTAAACATATGGTGTGAATGTAACCTACGAGTCTTTTGAGCTTTCCAGTTTTCATGCTCCTGGCAGCCATTCTTTCATTCCTTGTTTCAGGTATTGCTGTGTAATCCAATCTGCATGGTGGGCTACACGCTGGCATCCTGGCGCTTCTTCCGGGAGCGGATAGAAGAGGAGGAGATGACGCTGATCCATTTCTTTGGGGAAGAGTACCTGGCCTACAAGAGGAGGGTCCCTACAGGCTTGCCGTTCATCAGAGGCGTGAAAGCGGAGCTATGAAGACCCCGGGGCCGGCGTTGAGCAGAACATGGGAGCTCCTGGCTCCAGGGGCCGCCTGGCCTGGCCTGTGCAGAACAACGGTGACATACGTGCCGTGCCGGTACAGTAGTGGTCAGTTTTAATACCTAGTGAGTTTCCTGGAGGTTTGTGAAGGGCTGGGCGGAAGCTCCATACCTTAGGCAAAAATAGATGCCCTCCCTTGACGTAAGCGGGAGAAGGGACTGCCCGGATGATCAGAGCTGCACTGAATCCTCAAGGCCAACTTTGAAAGCAAAACAATTTTTGTCGCTCTGCCTCTTGCAGCTTTGATGGACCAAAGTGCACCAAAGCAGATTTCAATGACAAGCTCGCCCTTTGAGTAACCACTATTGCTCCCTGGAAGGGGTTTGGATAGAAACTCACCTCTCTAGTCGAAAGTTTTTCTTTTCTTTTTTAAAGCAAAGAGGCCCAGCCCTTCTAGTTTTTCCCCCTCCCCACAAACGCCGCCCTGCCAAAGGGCAAGCGCAGCACAGCTTTAACCTCTGGGTGTGATCTCCTAAGCACTCTCCCAAGGCTGGGCTGGCAGGGGGTGGGGTCCGTTTCAGCAGCCGGGCCCTCTGGTTCTAACTTAAAATGCATGACTGCTGTCAAGATTAACAACACAGGCAAAGAAATCTCCCTTCCCTTTGCCCTTTTTCCAAACCAGGCTTGCAATACACCTCACAAATGAATGAAAAAAAGAGAAGTCTTTGCACCTAAATGTTATGGTGTCCTGTTTCTTTCACGGCCATTTTGACGTCCCTCCTGGTTGAGCGGTCCTGTCTCACTCCTACTGCTCAGCCTCACAACCTTTGTCTTCATTCCACATTTTTGATAATGACCACCTCTCCTCCCACCAGAATCCTGCTTGTGTAGCAAAAGTTCAAATTCTCTTTCTACAAAGTGCAAGGGGATGGTTGCTTTTGACTTTGCATACTGAACAAGTATTACTTTGGCAATATCTATTAAGCAGGATGCACATGACTGACTGGGAGAGACTTCCCTCGCGCCCTCCCCCTCTCCCTGGCTGCCTTTTTAAAAAGTTTCTCACTGCACACTTTTCCATTTTAATATACCAAAGAGAAGTTTAATGTGTTTCTGTTTCTACTGATCTATTTATAATGAAGATGGGAAATAAGACGCTTGCAAACTGCGGCCAAGACTGGCAGAAATGGCATTTCTGTCGTTTTGGGGGGCCAGTTGCCATCCAGTTATCATTCTGTGTGTACCCAGCAAGGATGATTCCTTAAGCTGTCATCTGTCTCCACTTTCTTTGATTTGTAAATGCAAAACGGCCAAAATCTCAAGCAAGCAGCTTTAATTTCTCTTTCACTCTGTGACATCCTTGTTTACAGAGGGATAAGCAGGCTTTTGTGCTTCTTTACTTGGGGCACTTTTTTTGGGGGGGGGGAGAAAATGAGGCAGGTGCACTTGAGAGAGAGAGAGAAACATAACTGCAAAAATAGGTCCAAAACAATTCTATGCTTAGGAAAAGCTGGATTCTACACCTCTGTATAAATTAAGACAGTCTACATAGTGTCCCCCATTTCCTATTGTACCTGTAGTGTCTGCTTCAATAATTCCCCTGCTGTTCAGAGTTAGGTAGGAGCTCAGGCCTTGCCCTGCATTGCCCAAGAGCTTCTGTTGACCTTAATTCTTTAATCTGGGAGCATGGCTGAGTTAATTTTAGGCGTGTGATGTAGAGACACAACTCATGACTTGGAGCTTCAGGGCGATTTGTTTCCTCGGTGGCTCGTTAAGAATCAAGCAGAATCTGAAAAATTCTGTTCTGTTGCTTGTGAACTGTCAGGTGGCGATTGAGAGCCCCTTGGTTGGCTTTGTGCAAATGTCATAGTACAGCTTGGTGGGGGAACCTGTTGCACAGTTGACCTACTGCAACAGAAAACTGAAGCTTCTTCCTTAGGTTGAGTAAGTTCATTGACCCATGGTGCCTAATACTTGCTTGCTCTGATGGGGAAGAAGATTCATATACGGTTCATATACGCCATGAGATGGGGTATCGGTTGCAGAAATCAAGTTTCCCCAAGAAAATCAGTTTTAATAAATAAATAAAAGTTTCTAGTCCTTGTGGCTGCAAAATGAGCTTGCATGGTGGAGGAAGGGTATGTCTGGTTGAATTTCAAAATCTAGAAAGTTGCTAAGGTTTTCAAGGGTCAGATTCTGATCTGTCTTACAGAGAGTGGATTCACTGAGAAGAATGGGCATGTCTAAGGTCCATTCATTTCAATGGGTCTGCACTTAGTTGGATGAGATTTGAATTCCCTGCATAGCACGTGTGTAGTTTGCAAACCCTGCTTTGTACGGTATGGGCTGCAGCTGAGGGGTAGCTCTGTGCTTTGCATTCAGGAGGCCCCATATTCAGTCCCCAGTTGGGGACTGTCCCCTGCCTGAAACCTTGGATTGCCACTGCCAGTCAGTGTAGACGGTACTGAGGTAGATGGATCCAAAGATCTGAGGCAGTATCAGGTCGCACACATGTTCCTACTTCAGACCTGTAGGCCCTCCTCGGTCAAAATACATGTCCATATCTGTAATATGCAGGCAATATCTGTAATATGCAGAAGCAATTTTTTTTTAAGTATGCACATTTAATCAAATCAGTGTAATTTGTATGGATTGTGGAATACAGCTTTTATTAGAACGAATTTTGGATGTATAATCCTAGCATCATTTTTATAGAAATCATGGTATACACACAGGTCTGCCTCCCCCTCTCTCCTCCCCCTCCCCCCGGCTGCCCTGGTAACTAGCCAGTTTGTGTTGCCAGGAGAATATCCTGAGATTCCCTCTGAAAATTAATCATGCTGTTTTTTGCTTTGTTACCTCGGAAGCTGAGAGGCAGTTGTTTACTTTCCAGTCCCTTTGGAGCAGTCGGCTGGCAACCAGCCAAACAGAGGATCAGTTCTGTTCTCTTGTATTTTTAAAAGAATAATAATAAAATATTTTTAAGTCTCTATTCTTTGGCAGATATTGACAGCACCCCTTTCTTAGATCATATTTATTTATTGCATTGACAACCCTACCTTTCCTCCAATAAGCTCAAGGTGGTGTATGTAGTCCATAATATGAGCCTCACAACAACCCTGTGTGGTAGGGTAGTTGAGACCTGATGACTGGCCCAAAGTCGCCAAGCGGGGATTTGCACTCTAGTCTCCCCTTCATAATGTGTGACTGGGAATAACCCCATAATTATTGGTGGGCAAGGAAGGGGCCCTCTTATTTCAAAACCATTTCGGCAGGTGTTGGGAACCTGCAGCCCTCCAGATGTTGGACTCCCAATTCCTACCAGCCCTAGTCATCGTGCCAATAGGCACGGCATCAGGGCCATCTGTCTTTATAAACAGAAAACAGGTATATTTTTTTCTACACACACCCCAATTCTAATAGCACAAATACACATCCTTAATTATCATACTGAGCATATGGGATGCATTTTGTGAAGGTTGCTTAATAAAATCCATAAGCGTTAAAGGCAAGGAAAATGTTTGCATCTAAGTGAGTGTTTCCTGGCCTTGCAATATAAGAGTAATGTCCTCCACCCCCGAATTAAACTTGGACACACATCAGGGATGACTATGTGAGTGGGGAGTCCAGCAGCATTTGGAGGTCCCTGTTTCAGAGAGTGAATTACCTTCTTGGAAGGAGGCCAGCCCACATCAGTGACTGCTACAGAGGTGCAACAGGTGAGCTCCTCTGAAGGTAATTCTGCTCTGTCTAGAGGGTTTGGATCATTTAAATACATTGTCCCAGAACAGCTGGGGGCTCTCTAGAGGTTTCTGAACTACAACTCCATGCACCCTGGCCAAGGGCTGTGTTTCCTTGGGCTGATGGGAGCTGTAGTTCAGCAACAGCAGGTGGGCCCCCACATCTGCTCAGGAGACATGGCAAGATTGCTAGGCCCCAGGAGAGGCTCACAGGAAATAAGCAAGGCCAAAACGGGGAATCCTGCAGAGAGACACAGTGGGCAAGCCTATTCTGCACACAGGTACTTTAAGCCATACAGAAGAATTGCTGAATGAATGTTTTTCTCAGAATCTGAGGATGCCCCAACCTCTAGCGCGCTAGTGGATATGGCTGTATCTGGAGAACTGGCTTTTAAGGGTGTAGCTGAATAATAGGAGATGCTGGTTTTGCATAACAACATTTTATGCTTCTCAATTGCATGGTAAAATAAGAACAAACCTGCAGTTCCAGGCAGGTGCAGAAAATCCACACACTTGGTAGTCATAGGAGGATTTTGCTTTTCTCAGAGAAGCCCAGACTCACTCTCTCGGTTTGGAGCTGTTTGAGAAGCCAGTGGGAGGCACGGCTGAAAGAACACAGGCAATACTTGGCAGAAGCTGGAGGAATTAAGATTTCCACTGCTGCACCCTCCATTGTTTCTTAACAAGCCTGCACCTTCCTGGGCTCCGGAAGTGCCAACAACAAAGAAGCCCTGCAGAGTAACGCAAAATAAATCCTTCTGTTTTGCATAGTTTAGGGATTGCAGAATCAGGATTATCTTAGTGCAGAATATATATGGTTTTCTGAGCACACACCACACTGAAAAGAGTCTGCTATGCCATACATGAACATTTTTGTTCAGAAAGACTGCGAGTGCAGGTTCAGCACAGGAGAAGCTCTGTTTCCTGATCCGCCTCCTTGGCTGACTTGCGAGGTCCCGGCGGCTGCGGGGGACTCTCAGGTCGGCCTTTCTGCTTGCTCCTGTAATATTCTTTCGATTTCAGCAGGGGGTCCTCTGCGGCTGGGCTGAGAATCTGGCTTTCTGCTTTGGGCTCCGAGGTTCCTTCTCGTTCCTCAAGGCCGCTGCACAAATCAGACCTCAGATAGAAGAGAAAAATAACAGTGGGTGGAAGGAATGGTCTAGGAAATCATAACAAGCCCTAGCTTTTCTATCACTAAATAAATGCCAAGCTTTTTTTAACTAAGTAAACTGCTGGAGGATAGCCCTATCTTAGGCTAGTAGCTCTGACAGCTTAGTGGAACCTCTCTGTTCTTGCGCAGTCTACCAGTTTCTGGGGAACCAGCTTGTAGAATTTGCAGAAGCATCTGGATGGATGTTACTGGGCATAGGATTCTGGACAAGGCAGCCTTTAGTCTGCCCAGCAAGGCTCATAAGAACTTTAGAAGAGTTTGCTAGAGTCTAGACCAGGCTTCCTCAAACTTGGCCCTCCAGATGTTTGGAAACTACAATTCCCATCATCCCTGACCACTGGTCCTGCTAGCTAGGGATCATGGGAGTTGTAGGCCAAAAAAACATATGGAGGGCCGAGTTTGAGGAAGCCTGGTCTAGACCAATGGCCCATCTAGTCCAGCATCCTGTTCTCACAGTCGCCAACCAGGTGCCCCAGTGGGAATCCTGCAAGCGGAATCTGAATCTCTAGCAACGTATTCAGAAGCATCACTGCCTCCACCTGTGGAGGCAGAGCATGACCATCATGACTAGTAGCCCTTGATAGCCCTCTCCTCCATGAATTTGTCTCTTTAACACTGAAGCATGAAACTACTAGTGCTTCCCTTTGAAACCAGCCTCTTAGATCAAGTATTTTCCCTCCCAAGCAAACACTGATGGCTGACTGACCAGGTCACTTAGTTAATCTGCATCCCCTGAGGAGTGGCCACTTGGAAAACAACCGACTGAATATTCACCTTTTTGCTCCTACGGTATTGTGGCATCAACGTAGAACCAAAATGCTTTGCTACCTGAAATGGATCAGATACCTGTGCTGGACGTCAGCAGCCTCTGGGCTCTCATCATATATTTTCAGCAAGCTCTCTGGCTGGCCATTCCTCTCCTCCTTTGTGTCCTGTAACCTGAAGGGATATTTGGGTTGAGTTGGGGGCTTTGGCATGGGGGAAGCTGACTCAAGAGCTGTACCACAAATACCTACTGATTAAAGCCATCCACCTTGACAGGGTTGGAGCAGAAGAGATTTCTGGAGGACAGAGGGTCCCTCCTCCCTCAGAGTCACAAGGCTTGATCATCCCTCTGCCAGACTACATATTCCTTCAGCTATGGGTGTTTTATGAAGCACAATGAGGATTTACAGTTCAGGGGCCAAGTCATCTATTCCAACCACCCGCAATGCAGGTATCGCAGCTCAAGCACCCCTGGCAGATGGCCATCCAACCTCTGCTTTTAAAACTTCCAATGAAGGAGATTCCACCACCTTCCAAGGTTGTCCCTGTCCCTGCTGAATGGCTTCCCAATGTTTAGTCAAATTAATGTTTAATTCCTTGTCACTTGACTCTATCGGTTCCAATCCTCCCCTCTGGAGATAAGGCAGCGGAGGTTTTTGAAGGCAAACTTGTGCAGGATCTGGGAGCGGAGCAGGAAAGCAGCAGTGGACCGGGCTCTCGGCTTCCTCACCTGGGCTCCAGCCGCTCCTTTACTTTGGCGATGGAGTGAACATAAGGGGCGATCTGCTTGGTGATGGTTGTCAGGTAGCTGTTCTCCTGCTTGAGCTGCAACAGATCATGGAGCTGTGCTGCACGAGAAGGAAGTCTGGCGTTAAGTCAGTCAAGCCCAAAGGATTGGCCCTTTCACACAATAAGCATAGGTACACAGAATCATAGAACTGTAGAGTTGGAAGGGACTCCCAAAGGGTCATGTAGACCAACCCCTTGCAGTGCAGGAATCACAGCTAAAGAATCTGGCAGATGGCCACCCAACCTCTGCTTAAAAGCCTAGAGTCCACCACCTCCGGGGGGAGTCCGTTCCACTGTCAAATGGCTCTTGCTGTCAGAAAGTCCTTCCTGATGTTTATTTGGCACCTCCTTTGTTGTCACTAGAATCTATGGTTTGGGTCCTGTCCTCTGGGGCAGCAGAAAACAAGCTGGCTCCATCTTCCATGTGACAATCCTTCAGCTATTTGAAGATGGCTATCATATCTCCTCTCACTCTCCTGGCTAAACATGCCCAACTTTGTCAGCTGTTCCTCACAAGTTTTGGTTTCCAGAGCCTTGATCGTCTTGGTTGCCCTCCTTTGCCCACCTTGCAGTTTGTAAATATGCTTCTTAAACTGGGAGGCCCAGAACTGGATGCAGGACTCCTGGTGTGGTCTGACCAAGGCAGAATAGAGCACTACTATTACTTCCCTTTATCTAGACGCTATACTTCTGTCAATGCGGCCTAGAATTGCATTAGCTTTTCCCCCCCTGCAGCTCCATCACACTGTTGACTCAAGTTAAGCTTGTGGTTCTCAATACATGAATTCAAAACCTTATGTGACATGGCTATGTTTCTAAATAAGAGGCATGGAGTCAAATCTTTTCTGAAAAGTGTACTTGGCCTTCTTACATGGAAGTTCTTTTCCCGTCCATAGATGTACAGAGTAAATCAATGGTATGGTTTCAGAGAGGAGGAAACAATGGCACTCTTCACATGTGCAATGGCACACCTTCCTACATAAGGGCTATACAAGTCCTTATACCTACAGCAAGGTATAATACTGCAGCCCTACCAAGTCAAAAAGGTTACCGGCTACCACTGATTGGTGGGGTTTGATGGCTTCAGAGAAGTTCATACTGTGCTCACCTTCATAAATCTCTTGCTCATTTGCCACTCGCTGATAGGTTTCTTCCCAGGTCTGCAAAACACCAAAGTCCGAGTTATCAGCACATGCTCCTCAAGCGGGGGGATTTTGTGCATGTGTGTGTATTGTGACTGCATAGTTGCTGCAGGACTCTGCAGCCTGAGAAAGTCAGCGTACCTCTTCAAACACGCTCCGCATCATCTCCACAGAGGAATACTCTGAAGCAATCTGCACGTCCATCTGCAGCGACTTCTGCAGGATCTCGCTCATGATCTCCGTCTTGATGAGGGAATGGTGCCTGGTGAGGTCGCGGTGAAGCTCCTGCACCTGATCCTTCAAGTTCTGGATCTCTATTTGAAGGGCCTGCAGCAACACGGGGGGGAAAGGAAGCAAGTTCAAAAGGCTCCAGTTGACGAGGCAGAAGGATCAGCAAGAGAATGCAGAAAATTTCCTTTTTGCCAAACCGGGGGTGGGGGGAGATTTATGACTTACTATTTTTTTTATTTGTAAAAAATATTTCTCTACCACTATATCAGAAAAACATATATGAGATGTTTGCAACAATAGTAAACCTGAAAGCAAACATTAAATGCATAGAAAGCTAAAAACAAACATCAGCAACTGATGTTTGCTTTCATTAATACCAGTGAAGAGAGATATACAAATTTAATTAATAATAATTGCAGAAGAATGCATTCTTAAGTGCCTGCATAGGCTTGGCGGAACAGAAAAGTTTTCAACAGGCATTTAAAAGTTGGCACAGAATCTGAATCTCGTGACAGAATGTTCCACAGGTCAGGGTTGATGGCTCTAAAGGCTCAGTTCCTTCTTGTGGTCAAAGGAGCCTCACCAACTCGAGGAACAACCAACAATACTCTTGCAAATGATGTCAGTGATCAAGCTGGGGATATACGGGTTCAGGCATTACCTGAAGCACCCTAGACCTAAGTTGTTCAGGGCTTTGTTAATTAACACAAGGACCTTGAACCTGGCTCAGTAGTAGATGGGCAGGCACAGCTGGTGCCCCATGTTCTCAGCCAGAAGCTCCCATCAGCAATCTGGCCACTGCATTCTGCAGCAGCCGAAGCTTCCAAACCAGACACAAAGGCAGCCCCATATAAAGCACATTGCAGTAATCCAGACTCGAGGTCACCAAAGCATGGACTATAGTGGTCAGGCTATAATGCTCCTGTCTTCTTATTTTGCATTCATGTGTGTGTGCGTGCGTGCAAAACCACACATTCATTGGCTGGGCCTGCTGATTCATCTTGACCTGCTCTGTTGCAAGGCTAAACAGCATCTCCAGTAGCAGTGCTGGCTTGCTCCCGCAGGTGCCCAGGACCACGCACCATCACCAGGGACAGAGCGAGAGCAGCCTTCCCCTTGCCCAGCCATCCTTACCCGATACATGTTCTCGTAGTTGCGGCAATGCTCGGTGAAGGGTGTCTCTCCACCTTCAGCCAGGAGCACCTTGGTGCTTATGTACCGGTGCATGGTGGGCTTCCGGACCAGGGAGCCTGCCAGGGACATCTTTTCGCAGGTAGAGGGGCAGCCGGACACGAGGAGGGTCTTGGAGCAGGGACCTCCCGACATCCTGGAGGAAGAAGAGGGAGCCAGCTGAAGAGAGGAGGAGTCCCTAAGCGAGAGGCTCTAGAAGGGAATGGCTTTGGATCTCAGCACTCATCATCAGGTGTGTGGGAACGAAGTGTGCTGGAAGATGTGGCAAGGCTGCTTCTGCAGCAGGTGTGTGTTATAAGGGAAAAAACAACCCTGTCCAGGGTTGTAAAGACTGCGGAGATTGGGTGCACTCTTCCCACCTTGGATCAATACTATGCTTCCAGGTGCCATAAGAAAGCTGCAGAGATAGCGCAGGATAGTGCGCACCCTGGAAATGATCTCTTTCAGATTCTGCCTTCTGGAAGAAGGTACAGGGTTATAAAGACTAGGACTAGCCGCCTGAGAATCAGTTTCTATCCAAATGCAATTTTGGTTTTAAACGCAGTGTAAGGAGTCTTTATGGGAGTATATTGTATTTAATTATGGGGTATCAGAGTTTTTAGGGGGCTAACCAGGCTGGGATAGCTGGGATAGCAGGCTTGTTGGTTTTTGAATGTCTTATGTAGATTTTTTCAATTTCGTTGTTCTGTATGATATGATACAAGATTATCATATTGTATTGTATCGTATTGTATTGTATCGTAAGGCCGTAAGAAGAGCCCTTTTTTTCAAGCCGATGGCCCATCTGGTCCAGCATCCTGTTCTCATAGTGGCTAACCAGATGCTTGTAAGAAAACAGCAAGCAGGGCCCAAGCACAAGAGAACTTTCCCATCTTGTGGCTTCTAGCAACTGGTATTCAGAAGCATCACTGCCTCTGACCATGAAGTCAGAGCATAGCCATCATGGCTAGTAGCTATTGATAGCCCCTTCCTCCATGAATTTATCCAATCCTCTCTTACAGCCATCCAAGTTGGTGGCCATCACAGCCTCCTGTGGGAGGGAGTTCCACAGTTTAGCTCTGTGCCGTGAATTAGGACTTCCTTTTATCTGTCCTGCATCTTCTAATGTTCAGCTTCATTGGGGTGTCCACAAGTTCCTAAGGTTATAAGAGAGAGAGGAAAACTTTCCTCCATTCAGTTCCTCCAGGCCACGTGTTATTTTATTAGCTTTGATTATGTAGCCTGTTGTGGGATGGATGGTCTGCACACATGTCAGTTTTGGGCAGTAGCCACACGACGTCATTGTCAAAATCCCAGCCCAAATCCCACCACCACCACCAGTTAATCCAGAGTTATTTTTTCCAAGGAAAATCTGATGGGAGTTAAAAACAAAAGGAAGCTATTGCCGATGACCAAAGCTGGTTCCAGAAAGGGGTTTCATATAGCAAACAAGCCAGCCAGATATCACAAGCGGGTCACTAGCAAACAGTAATTTTTCCAAGAAAATGTAAATCTGGGTTAAGTGGGTAGAGTCAGTGAGCAATACAAACTGGCTTTTTGATGCCAACGGTGTTTTGAAACTTGGGAAAATGTGCATGCATCCCATAATAAACACCACTGTGAAGCAACACCCTTTGCGGTATCTCAGCAGCCCCTTTGCAATATCGCAGTATTGGATTTGAAATTGTTTTTATATATGTTACTGTGTTGACCTTTTTTTTAAAAGAAAGAAAGACATGCAGTGATTTTTAAAGCTGTTTTTTAAATACGCAATGTATTTAGTGTATGTTTTTATTGGATTGCGAATTGGCTTTGATACGCTGCACAGAGAGCAATCTATAAGTGAAATTAATTATTATGACATACATACTCAACACACACACACACACACACACAAACACACCCTACCTGGAAGCGTCATGAGTCAAAGACTGGTCCATCTACACCAGTAAAGGACTATCTGCCAATTAATTGTGATGTAACAAACCCTCCACCCACAACCAAATTAAAAAGAGCCCGGCTGCAGCCTGACAGTCCTTCCCACTGACTCATCCCGCAGCCAAGACAGATGCTCAGATCGCCACTTACGGATCAGAAGGTTCATCCAGACCGGCAGATGGAGACTCCCTGCAGATTCCGCTTGGCCTTTCCCCTCAGCCGGGCACTTGGCACTCCCAGTCCAATGCTCTCAGCCTCAGTTTCCCTTTGGAGGGAAAGGGGATCCTGAAGACCCCCGGCCCAACCCATCACTTTGCCCCCAGTGCTTTGGGAGAGGGCCGTCCCTGCCTGCACAGCAATCAGCTGCACCAGAGCAGAGGGGCCTGTGATGTCAATGGTCCTAAATATATCCAGTGCCAGGGAAATGTGCTTTGCAGAGTTCTCTGAAATTCTGATAAAAATAGGGATGGGCAAACTGCTAGCCAGGCAGGCTGGGATGTGTGCAAGGATCCACTGGGTTTGCCATCTGCTTCTCAAGTAGGTCGGGGCATGAAGGTGGTCAGGCAGACAAAGGCAACAGGCACGCTAGCTGATGTTTTGATACCTGGGGGAGGCTCCTCAGCTGATACCACTTACCCCATTCCAGGAATCAGTGGTGGGTGGTGCTGTGGGTTAAACCACTGAGCCTAGGACTTGCCGATCAGAAGTTCGGCGGTTCAGAACCCCGCGATGGGGTGAGCTCCTGTTGCTCGGTCCCTGCTCCTGCCAACCTAGCTGTTCGAAAGCACGTCAAAGTGCAAGTAGATAAATAGGTACCGCTCCAGCTGGAAGGTAAAAATCGTTTCCGGGCGATGCTCTGGTTCAGCAGAAGCGGCTTAGTCCTGCTGGCCACATGAACCGGAAGCTGTACGCCAGCTCCCTCGGCCAGTAAAGGGAGATGAGCGCCGCAACCCCAGAGTTGGCCACGACTGGACCTAATGGTCAGGGGTCCCTTTACCTTTACTATGTTGCAGATAAGAACTTAAGGAAGAGCCCTGCTGGATGAGGACCATGGCCCATCTAGTCCAGCATCCTGTTCTCACAGTGGCCAATCAGATGCCTGTAGGAAACCAGCAAGCAGGATCCGAACACAAGAGCAGCACTCTCCCCTCCTGGGGCTTCCAGCAACTTTTGTTCAGGGCAGAGCCCACCTGGCCAGTAGCCATCACTAGCCCATCTCCTCCATGTATTTGTTTGCCAAATCCTCTTGTAATGCTACCCAAGTTGGTGGCCACCACTGCCTCCAGTGGGAGAGAGTTCCATAGTTTAACTGCTGGAATTCCAAAATTCTTATCACTCAGGTAGACTGTTCCTGCCTGGAGGCTGCGGTATGGTGCAAACAGACTGTTGGCCGTGGCTGTCACACTAGTCTCCCGTTTCCTCCCTCCCAAACTAGCAGTCCTCAAATGCTTGTTTGCACAGCAAGGATCAGGACTCCAAATGCACGAACGCGCAAAGATGGAGGTCACTTATTTGCCTTCAGTTATGTTAACTGACCAAAACGTTTTCTTTCTTTTCTTCTTTTTTTAAGCTGACACAGGTGTAACTCTTTAAGTCTCTTGCAGCAGAAACAAGGCTGCAGTGAAGCGAACATGCTTATGGACTCCCTTCAATGAAAGCCACAATAAATGTATTAGCTTATCCCCACCCACCCCGCCTAAGAATATTCTTACTAAAAAGTTTGATTTTGCAGTGCAGCTGGTTGCAGAAGAGCTACACCAACTCCAAATGCATTCAGCAACGTTTGGAGATGCAGTGTGTGTGTAAGGCAAGCAAATGAAATCGTTTGCCAGAACAGAAAGGATTATTTTCAAGCAAGTCTGCACTAGATGGGCAAATACGTCCATTTCAGTTTCTCTTCGTTTCTCGTCTTTCCAATCTTTTGGTTTTCTACATTTCCACATCAGTTTACTTAAAAAAAAAAAGTCGTCAAAAAAATTCATCAGCACTTTGGTGCAAATTTCTCCTTATATGCGCATGCTTCTCTGCAATGTTTGCAGAGCAGTTTCCCCTAATATAATGCATTTTTGCATGTTATTTTTACAGATATGTGCATTTTAATGCATACTTTTAATGTCTGCTAGAGAATGGCAAAATTCAAAGGAGGGCAAATTTTGAAGGTAGTATTGTTTCACAAAGTGAGAAGTCAGTAGGTAAATTTGCATCTAAATGCAAACAATCAATTTTCTGCCCCATCCCTGGAGCATCTTTGCTACAATTGCTGGAGCTAGTTTCCTTGCTCCACATCCCAAAGAAACAGAAACAGTGTTCTTCGCTTTCCTATGTTCGACCGGGTGCCAGCTGCACTGGGACTCTCTGACACAACAGCCTCCCAACCAGCCAGCTTGGCTTCCTGGAACTGGCACCGCCAGCCCATCTGATCTGCTCGCTAATCAGGACAGCTCTTTTTGTCTCCAAGGGTGCCTGGTGCCCAGCTCAAAGGCAGGCAAGAGAAATTTGGGCTTCAAAATCTCTCCAACCCGTATTCAGCTTTGCATAATCCACCTTTGTTTTAAAATACTTCACTGCATTTCCCTCCTCACAGATCCCCCTTCCCCAACGTTGTGTCTTCCAGGAGTTTTGGACTACAACTCCCATCAGCCATTGCCTGTGTTTGCTGGCACTGGGTGATGGGACTCGTAGTCCGAAACATCTGGGGAAGGTTGCCACAGATGAAGCAGGACTCGGGAGCAGCTTACATGTTACTGTTGCTCATCCCAGGTCCGATGCCCGCTCCATTCACCACCACGGAGCGACGGGGCGCTAGAAGCAGCAAGGGCTCCAGGCAATGGGCAAACTCAGCTCTGTATTCCGTGTTGATCTGGAAGGGAAACCAATTAAGACGGGTCGTCATTTTGAAAGCACCCAGAGTTGCAAGCCTTCTCCTGCATGTGGCTATAAGAGGACTCTCTGGACAGGACAATGTGTCAAGGTAAACATGAGGCCACCGTAGTCCATGCTCTGGCAGCTTCCAGATTGGATTACTGCAATGCACTCTACTTGGGGCTGCCCTTGAATTTGACTTGGAAACTTCAAGTGTTCCAAAATGCAGTGGTCGGGTTACTGGCTGAGGTTCTGTTTGGATCTCAATATAACCCCTGTTTAAAAACAACTGCACTGCTTGCCAGTTGGTTGCCAGGCCCAATTCAAGGTGCTCACGTTGGTATTTAAAGCTAAATGACTCGGAAATATCTCAAAGACATGTCTCCTTCCTTGCAATCCTTCTATAGTCTGCGTTTGGCAGAGGGGCCCTTTTGAGAGTTATTTTGCCCTCAGAGGCTTGTGGAAAGGGGGTGCAATCCAGGAGAGGGTCTTGTCTGTGAAGACACACCTTTGGTGTGTAGGCAGCCTCATCTTTGTCTTCCGCAAAACTCTGGAAAGCCTCAGGTACAGAACCTGGAGTTAAAGCAAACACCCAAATTTGGCTTTACAGGTGCGCAGCTAGACCTCATGGCACAGACTATATTCCAGGCTTGCCAGGTGACCTTCCCATGAAGAACTGATAGATGAAACAGGCATGACCCCAGAGGGAAAGGTGGGTGAACATTTGCTCTCTGGGTGCCTGGAGTTGCTGGGTTGGCTCAGCAGGGAAGAGCAGAAACTTGTACCTTGCTCGTCTGGGAGGGCCTCAGTCGATGGGGCAGCTTGACGATTTTTTGCAGCCTCTCCATCAGTTGCTGAAAACAGAAATGTGGATGATTTGGTCAGTTCTGTGAAATGCCGCCCTCTGTTGTGAAAGCAGCTGCTGCCCCATGGCTGTTTTTGGTCAAGAACAAAAACCAACTGGCGATCTGTCAGGGATTCTTTAGCTGTGGTTCTTGCATTGCAGGAGGCTGGACTAGATGGGGCCCCTTCTAACTCTACAGTTCTATGATCTCCTTAGCTACTTCTTTCTTTGTAACTGCTCTCGAAACACCAGAGTCCTTGGCATAATCCCTGAGCCCCCAAACTCTGCTGTTGCTGTGTCTACGCATCTGCATTAAATGCGCCTTCTTCTCCCCTGATCCCCAAGCTGCCATTTCCTTCCTTGTCTTCCCTGTGTCAAAGTTTGGTTTGTAAACTCCTTGGGGCAGGGCCCTATCCTCTTTTTCTTGATGGAAGTACAAAGATTCATAACCACCAGGTGCTTCTGAGCATCTGCAGAGTGCTTTTCTTGCCCTGGAAACTCACAAGAAGGGCTTTGCACCTCATCTGAGTACCCACAGAGGCAGCTGTGATAAGGGGGTGTTATTTGAATTTGTGGGTGATGACTTACATAGCCTAAATCAAGGAATTCAGCCTTGTTTGCAGAGCTGAGGAAAGCAGAGCACGTCACCAGGTGGACCTGAAGAGGAGAGGAAAGGAAACATGACACCTGTGCAAATACCAAAACTATGAGTACTTGGAGCAGAGGCACCGAGAGGGCCTCTGAGCATGTGCCAAGGGCGTTTCTCTCACCACTGAGTAGGCTATATATGCCTCCTCCCCTCTGGGGTGGGGAGACAGGGCTCCCTCACCTTAGACTGCTTGGCTTCCATGAAGACCTAAACCTCACTCAATTTCGGTGTCAGTCCAACCACAACTTGCCATTCTATGTTTTATCTCATGAGACTTCCAAGTGCCTCCAAACTCTGGCAAAACTTGACATATAATTTTAGGAAACGAGGACGATGGTACCTTACCTGACCTTGAAGGCTAGGGTGCACTGTAAATAAAAATAATACAATGCAAATATAGAAAGTGGGATTCTCGTCTTCACTTCTGCCGTTCAGATTGGGTGTATTTTTGTTTGTTTACTCAAATTTGCACCCTCCCCACCTCAAGCTCAAGGAAGCACCCATTGTTTTGTCCTCACAAGCACCCTGTGAGGTAAGCAGGGCTGAGATATGGTGACTGTGCCTGTTGAATTCTTGCCTGCCACATTACTGTTAAGGTGCAGAGAACCTTCCTTTTTTGGGGGGGGGGAGAAATGGCCACCCTCCCGACTCAGGTGCTTTACCTGTAGGGTGGGCAGCAAAGATGCCAGGTGTGCCAGCTGTTCCTTGAAGGCTTTTTCCTTTTCTTCATACTGGCTGGAAATGACAATAAAATAAAATATTGATCCTATTATAAGGCTGCTTATGCACAAAATGAGAGAGCGCCACAGCTAGAGAGGTGGGAATGAACCTGAAATGTGCTAGCTGATGATATTTAAAATGCATCTGAGGCAGCCAGAGAAACTTCCATTCCTCTTAATAAAAGGTAAAGGAACCCCTGACCATTGGGTCCAGTTGTGACCAACTCTGGGGTTGCAGTGCTTATCTTGCTTTATTGGCCGAGGGAGCCGGCGTACAGCTTCCGGGTCATGTGGCCAGCATAACTTAGCCACTTTCTGGCGAGGAAACACCGTTTACCTTCCCGCCAGAGCAGTACCTATTTATCTACTTGCACTTCACACTTTTAAACTGCTAGGTTAGCAGAAGCAGGGACCGAGCAACGGGAGCTCACCCCGTCGCAGGGATTCAAACTGCCGACCTTCTGATCGGCAAGTCCTAGGCTCAGTGGTTTAGACCACAGCGCCACCCGCATCCCGCTGTGACAATAGACCTCCATAAAAAGAGCCCTGCTGGATCAAGCCAAAGGCCTGTCAAGTCCTGTTCTCACAGAGGTCAACCTCCTGTGGGAGGGAGTTCCAAAGTTTAACTACGTGCTGCATGAAGAAGTCCTTTCTTTTTATCTGTCCTGAATAAATCCTTCACAACACATGAGCAAGGTCTGTGTGGGTTTTTGTCACTATACTAAAGTTTTGTTTGGATAAGCCCCAAGGCACTCCTGCATCTTTTCTGCCAACGGGGAAAAAACCAGACAAGACATGTAGCAAGGAGTTTGAGCATGGGACCACTTTTACCTCTGAACGACTTTCAAAAGCATCTTCTTCCGCTCTGCCAATTTCTCCTGCGGAAAAGAGAGAGAGACAGAGAGAGATGGACTGTTCCTCACCTCAAGCGCTAGGCAGCCTCCCTCCTTCCACCACAACTGGGCTTCTAGGGGGTAGGTTGCTGCCTCAGAGAGCGCCCCCTGCAGGTAGACTCAAGCACCAAGGCTGCAAGTGACCCTTCCCGGCCGTAATTCACCTGCATGCTGCTGAAGAGCGAGTTTATAGATGTCTCCTCCTCGTCCGCGCTGTTGCGGACCTCCTCGATCATGGCTTTGAGGAGCACTATCGCCTCCCTGGTGGATGTCTGGAGCTCTTTCACAGCCTGAGTCGCAGGGCAGAAAAGGCGAGTGTTGAAAACCGCAGGCGTTATCAGTAGGGGAGCAGAGCAGACCCCATGGAAAGGGCAAGATTAAGAATCATAGAATTGCAGCATCGGAAAAGATTTAAAGGATCATCTAGTCCAACTCCCTGCAATGCAGGAATCACAGCTCAAGAATCCCCGGCAATAGCTGCTCAACCTCTGCTTAAATATCTGCTTAAATATCTCCAATGAAGGAGAGTCCGCCGCCTTCTGACAGTCTGTCCTGTCATTTGAATCCATTGGTTTGGGTCCTACCAGCCCCCGTCGGCCCCAGCTAGCACAGAGGGTGGGAGTTGTAGTCCAAAGCATCTGGGGGCACCAGGTTGGCAAAGGCTGATTCTACCCCCCTTCCCATTTTAAAATCAACTTACATCAAAGGTTCCTAGATGTACATTCTGTTATTCAGAGTTCCTTCACCCAAATCTCAACCCGGAGCCCATTCACAAAACAGATGCCTTAAGTGTCCTAGCCAGGAAAACCATTCACACAACTGTATCAGTTCCAAAATCCACAGCCTTCCAGAAACGATGGGCCACGATTCCCATCAGTCCCAGCAAGCACAGTGGGGTTGATGGGAGTTGTAATCTAAATCATCAGGTGAAGGCTGCCATCGTCAAAAAACAGGGAAGTTGGGCCTGCTCCAAGATGATCTGGGAATAACCGTGACCAGATGATTCTGCTGGGGTTGCATTAAGATAAAGCGCCTCCCAGCCACAGCCCACCCCCACCCCCTCAGTGAAACCTCTTCAGTTTTTATACCCACCATCACGGCCTGGTCTAGCTTCTCACAGCCCTGCATATACGCAGTCTCAATATCGATGCAATGCGCTCGACTCTCCCTGGAGGAGGAAAGACCAGAGAAGGAGGTATCAGAGGGGAAGCGCTGTGGCTCAGCGGTGGTGTATCTTGTTTTGCATGCAGAAGGCCCCGGGTTCATTCCCCAGCTCCAGAAGGTCTGGATATGTCCCCAGTCTGTATTCTTGGACAGCTGCTACCAGTCAGTGTCGACAACACTGAGCTAAATGGACCAAAACTTGCTATTCCGATATTAAGGAATATTAAGTCTTTGTCATCCACAACATGACCGCTTTCTTTCTTTCTTTTAAAAAAGCATATCCTGTGGCAAGGAGTTCCACTGGCTCATTATGCACGTTATATAAATGTAGCAATGCTTCCTTTGCAGATGTGTGTGTCAAACCCATCAGGGTTCAGCAGGCAACTCTTAAGCTTTCATCTTTGGATGTTGTTGTTTTTGATTTGTTTGTTTTTTAAAAAAAATCATAATATTCATTTATCAGTTCCATTATCTCAGTTTGTTTTCCCCGAAATGCTTTTTCTCTCCCCCTTTTTTTACTTTGCCTTAAAACAAAATCAACCCAACAACATTAAGCGTGCTTCCAGATGACTTGCTAATTGTGCATTTATCCTGATATGTTTGCAGGGAGGTTCCATGATCTTGTGTCAAAGGTAGTTCTTGTCCCACCCTTCCCATTTTCCTGTCGCTTACTGGAAAAAATCACAGTCTCTTGGGGAAGTGGGTTGGTTACACAAGTGCTCCTGATCAACTGTAGCTGTGCAGCCTGAATTTGCCAGTATGTGAATGAACTGCACTCCCCAGAAAGCAGCAACAAAAGTCTGGAGGCAGCCTTAAGAAGATATTTCCTGGGTTTTCCATTCTCTCAGGCTATTGTAGCACCTGTTTTGCATCCTCTGATGCCTGGAATACCCTCCTAGATCCTGAATGTGGTGCCATTTCCCTCTTTTCACTTCTTCAACACCCCCACCCTGGTCCATGAAGTCTTCAACTTCTCCCCAGATGCACTGAAATTTAAATCTGCATTACAGCATATTTTGTCATTTACTGCTTTGTCCTTTCTCTGTTCTCTCCCTGCTGTCAGTCTTTAGACCAAACTTTGGCAGCCTGGCTTAGGCTGATGGGAATTGCAGTTCAAAATATGTGGATGACCCCTCTAGATGCTAAGCAGGGACCTCTCTTCCTGTTTCCTGCAAAAAGCCATGCCCATTGATAGCTCGTGATGTAGATATGAAATAACAGCAACTCACACGGGCATGTCCCGAAAGCAGTTGATACAGAGCATGGACTTTTTCTCTGTTGAGAACATGATGTAGAGTTCCTCGTGAAGTGCTGAAAGAGACACAGGTGTCACTTTTAAGCTTGAAATAATAAAAAAGAAATAGACAAAAAAGAAAAAACCTCCACCATCTTCTGAGGGAGTACATTCTACTATCAAACAGCCCTATTGAACCACCTCCTAGTGGTGTAGCAATAAAACTGCTGGCATGCTTGTGAAGCTAAGCAGGATCTGGTGTGGTTTCAAATTGGATGGAAGACCACCAGTTACAATTAATGGAAGTTGAGCTAATAAATAACTCTCAGGGTCCCTTCCAGCTGGACAATTCTTTAATTCTATGACATGCCCTGTAAATAGAAACAGCTCTATCGAAAAGTTCTTAATGTTCATTCAGAATCTCCTTCCCTGTAATCTGAATAAATTTGTTCAGGTCCTTCCCCTTTGAAGAAGCAGCAGAAAACAAGCTTGCTCCATCTTCCATGTAATGGACCTTAGATATTTGAAGAAAAAACTACCCTATCCCCTCTCAGTCTTCCCTTGGCTAAGCAAACCCAACTCCCTCGATCGTTTCTCCTAAAATTTGGTTTCCAGTGAGTTAAGGAAGGCTATGGGAAAGACACTTACAACATTTCTTGTGGATGTCTTTGATACGCTTGGTCAGGGAGACGATCTCGTGGCGGGAGAACATTCTGGCTTTGTGGGTCTCCTCGCGGCACTTGGAGCAGAGAGGCTGGTGGCAGGTATTGCAAAAATACATGGCGTCCAAGTCCTGGGGGAGGTGGGAGGTTAGAGGGCAAAGCTCTGGTTGGCATGCCTGGTCCACCACCACACACTGGCAGAACATTTTATTCAGTGGCAACAGTGGGTGCCCCAGGATGTGCATTGCAGCATAGATTGCAACACAGAGGCAATTTTTAAAACAGCAGTTTGATAGTTTTTGACTGCTTTTCCTGAAAAGGCTGGAGAAATTCCATTTGAGCCTAACTAACTTGCACGGGTGGCACTGTGGGTTAAACCGCTGAGCCTAGGACTTGCCGATCAGAAGGTTGGCGGTTCGAATCCCTGCGACGGGGTGAGCTCCCGTCGCTCGGTCCCAGCTCCTGCCAACCTAGCAGTTTGAAAGCACGTCAAAGTGCAAGTAGATAAATAGGTACCGCTCCAGCGGAAAGGTAAACAGTGTTTCTGTGAGCTGCTCTGGTTTGCCAGAAGCGGCTTAGTCATGCTAGCCACATGACCTGGAAGCTGTACACCGGCTCCCTCAGCCAATAAAGAGAGATGAGCGCTGCAACCCCAGAGTTGTCCGCCACTGGACCTAATGGTCAGGGGTCCCTTTACCTTTACTTAACTTGTACTTTTGGACAAAAACACAGCTCTCCTTTCAAATTCCCACTTCTTTGAATTTCACAACGCAGTTCTCCAGCCAAGAAGCAAGTACAGAAATACGTGGACTAGGGGAAAGTGTGCATTAAAACATACCCTCCAAGATGCCACAGAGGAAAATCTGGATGTGTGTCTTTTGGGGCGACGCTCTCATGGAAGCCAAAATGGGGATCCAATCAGGATCCAATCAGAAGCCAGGATGGCTTCTGTAATTCCGGGATGTCCTGCTTAGTAGGACTGTTGAAGGGTATGTTAAAAATGCATATATTAAGTGAGATTAACATACAAAAATGCATTATATTTGGGAGAATGGCCTTGCAAAAAACGTGTATAGTATGCAGAATTGCTTACAGGCAGGTGTAGCATCAGAAGAAATGCACACTAAAAAGCTGATGAATTTTCAGGATATTTTCCCCCCCTTTTTTAAAAAAAATTGCACACTGGTGTGGAAATGTGGAGGACTAAACAAAGACTGGACAAAACTAGAAATGGAAAGAAAATGAAACGGGCAGATTTGTAGTGGTTAAGAGTGGTAGACTCGTAATCTGGGGAACCAGGTTTGAGTCTCCGCTCCTCCACATGCAGCTGCTGGGTGACCTTGGGCTAGTCACACTTCTCTGAAGTCTCTCAGCCTCACTCACCTCACAGAGTGTTTGTTGTGGGGGAGGAAGGAAAAGGAGAATGTTAGCCGCTTTGAGACTCCTTCGGGTAGTGATAAAGCGGGATATCAAATCCAAACTCTTCATTCCTAGTTCTGGCTGAATCCCACACACTGGTCTTGACCTTCAAAGGCTTTCTTTGCTGCCCTCTCTGCTTACCTGCTTTGTACTCTGCAGGTCACAATTTGCACACTGGACTTCCTCCTCACAATCCCCAGAGCTGTCCACCAGGAACTTCAGGAGTCGGTCTTCTGGAGGGAGGCCATTCCCCCTGACAATGGACTGGTGGCTGCAGAAGGAAGACACAGGGAGAAAGCTGAAGCCCTGGGAAGGACGATGTCAAAATAATACAGGAAGACTCATGCAAGGATGTTGAGATGTGGTGCTTTATTGTCCTGGGCACTTTCTGCAACACAGAATCACAGAACTGTAATGTTGGAAGGGATTCCAAGGGTCATCTATTCCAACCCACCGCAACGCAGGAATCACAGCTAAAAATGACAGAATAATGCTGCATTCGTGGTGGATTTATTCTGCTCTGCGGTGCTTCCCAGCGCTACCGCATTACTGCCACCCAGAGGGAGGCAAAGAAGCAAAACCCCCAGAATATTTGTTGTATTTAACATTATAGGACTTTAGCAGGAAGTTATGGGTCATGCACTGATTGGAAATGAAGCAGCGTGACTGTCCCAAAAATATATGCACGTATTGATCACATAGGACTGTTCCAAAAGCATTCTGAGAGTAACTCGTCACAAATGCACAAGAAGAAGGGACCTTTGGATGAGCCCTCAGAGCTAAATGGGTGGAAATAATCCCCATGGAACACAATGAAACTTGCTTCTCAGCAAACAGGTATAAGATCGATTTCCTTATGGACAGGAAAACCAGGTGTGTAAATGAACAAGCTTTAACTATTTTTATTTTATTTAGATTTTATTTTTATTTATTTCATAACATGTAGACATGGTTTGATTGTTTAAAAACCCCTTGGAGTGTTTTACAAAAAGATAATGGGTGGGTTGCATTTGTCTCCCCCACCTGCTGCACGCCTTTGCCTGATTTGGCCAAGGCGCGCTTTCTCTCTCTCTCTCTCTCTCTCTCTCTCTCTCTCTCTCTTTCCCCCCTTCCTGCTGCCGAACTGCATTCCACTGGAGCTAAAAGGGGAGACATTCAGCTCAGCAGCTGTTCACACCTGAAGCTCATTGTGTGATGGGAGGCTTCATGTTTCAGAGGTGCAGAGGCTAGAGAAGTGTGGATTTGCACCCTGGTTTCCAGTGGGGGGGGGAGGCAGGGGGGAAACAGACAAACTGACACTGCTCACCCCCAAAGCGGGAAAATGGGGCTCTTCCTAAAGTTGAAGAGGACTCTAATAACCCCCTCCTATTTCCCAGTTTCTGTCCCTGGCAGTTAATCACAAAGCCTCGGATTCCTTTGGCAGCTACAGTCAAACCTGATATGGGTGTCTTACAACTGAAGACAAAGGCCAGGCATTAGCCTGGTCACGGCTTCCCTTTTTAGGAAGTCAATGCCTCATTCCTCTTCCGCTAATTCCCAAACTCTATTCCTGGCTCACACTAGCAAGAGATTTACTAGGGCCCCTCCACAAGATATGTTTATTCAGCCAGTGTTCTGGTTTGCTTGTGCAAAGTTGGCACGGAGGTTGGTTGATGTTTACTGAACGCCCGTTCTGATTTATTTGCCGGGAGATGACACAGGGAACATTTGTCCGGCGTGCATTTGCTTGTGGCGTATTCATACATTCCCCCCCCTCCTTGATCATTTGTTCATCCCACACTTTTCAGTGCATCTCCTGCTGCTTTCCAAACCACAATGAAGTTTGATGCTTTTTTAAAGGGTGATTTGTTGCCCCAGGGTTACAAAACCCTAAAGTTCTAACACAGTACTGCAAATTTGTACATGTCTCGGTTTTGCCCTTGTAGAACTCAACAGAGAAGAGGATAGGGACAAAAGGTACATACCGGGGTCAGCAACCTTTTTCAGCCATGGGCCGGTCCACCGTCCCTCAGACCCTGTGGGGGGCCAGACTATATTGGGGGGGGGGGGAATGAATGAATTCCTATGCCCCACAAATAACCCAGAGATGCATTTTAAATAAAAGGGCACATTCTACTCATGTAAAAACACGCTGACTCCCAGACCATCTGCGATTGGGCCGCATCTGGCCCATGGCCCTTAGGTTGCTTACCCCTGGTACATACAATGAGCTAGCTCTACCTGTCACTGGGCTCAACTTCTTCCTGTCTTTGGTTATTGCGCCACCTACTGTTGGACTCCTTGCTTTCTGCCCTACCAGTCCCAGTGAGCATTCAGCACGACAGTACCAATGTCACTACATAACATAATACTGTACTATGCAACATAAACATCAAGGCAATTGTAGAAATGCAATTGCAATAATAAGAAATGTGTAATAAAACAGATTTTCACAGCAGCATAAAACGAGAGAATTAGCAGCAGGTTTCTAAAATACAGACAACGCAGAGCAGTAGATGCAACGGCCAGCTTGCTCACTGGGTCTCTTCTTGGCAAGCAAGCAAGGAGGAGGAGAGCAGCTGGTGATGATAGGGGTGAGGAGGAGGCAGACACACAAATGGAGGGGGTGCTCTAGAGGGGTCTTCCCAGGGGCCCTACAAATCCTGCAGGCTGTGCCCATCTTGCATGTCTCTCCCAAAGATGCCCATATCCTGCTGCTTGGATGGATATCTGTAGTATCCGGATGGAAACTGGTTGGAAGGAGGCAAGGTCAGAGCAATGAATCATGCAGAGATGCAGTGGGCAGCCTCCTCTGTGGATAGAACCTTTGGGCTCACAGCACACCAACCTTTACTTATTTAATGCATTTCTCAAATTACTGTACAAGCATTTCTTGCAGCACACAAAGGGCTCCAAACTGGCACCAGGCTAGTGCAGAAGTACAATAAAGTACTCATCAGTAAAAAGGGCTGCTTATACCATCGCTCAAATATCTCTGGACTGTAGGGGAGCAAGATGGTCGTTCCTTACCCACAAAGAGGGCACGTCAGGCGGCTCTCAATGGCGCGGCCCCGCAGGCAGCTGGCGCAGAAGTTGTGGTAGCAGTCGAGGAGGCAGGGGTGTTCGTACTGCTCGTGGCAGAGGAAGCACACCAGCGGGTGGCAGTTGGCGTTGTCCAGGTCGCAGAGGTTCTCCAAGGGGGAGAAAATCCCACCAGACATCTGGAAGGGTAGCGGCGAGAGAGGAGAAGGTTACTGGAGGGGCTAGAGGGGTGACTGGCCACAGAACAAGAAGGAGCCCTTTTGAATTGCACAGGCAAAGAGTCCTGTGGAAGCAGAAAGGCGAAGAGCTCTGTGTGAGCTCAAAGCCTACACATCCCTTTTGCGAATTCAACATTGGCCTGTCAAGGTTATTACAGAATCTCCCAAACATCTGAATGAAGTTAGTCTAACCCCCTGCAATGCAGTAATCACAGCTAAAGAAACCCTGACAGATGGCCACACACCTCTGCTTGAAAATTTACAGTGGAGGGGAGTCTACTGCCTTCTGAAGCAGTCTGTTCCATGGCTGAACAGCTTTTACCACCAGAAAATCCTTCCTAATGTTTACCTGGGATCTCCTTTCTTGTAAGTTGAATCCATTGGTCTGGGTCCTACCCCCTGGAGCAATTGATAGTCAAGGTGAGTTTTATTTCCGAATGGGAGGCCCACTCATAAACCTCTCTGCTTTTAGGGTGTGTGGTTTTAACACTTGCATGCCCTCAGAGGAGCCCATCCTTAGTGTTTGTGCCAGAGTCATTGATTTGGGGATCCACCCAGGTTCAAAAGAAGCAATCCCAGAGCAGCGGCTCATGCAGAGATATGGCAGGCAGCATCCTGTGCTGCTAGGGTGCTTTGGGCTAAGAGGTGCTTTTAACAATTTCATTTTTTCTCACAACACATTATGTGTTTTCTTGCAGCACACCACTGTCTATTGACACTGAACTATTAAAATATTGTATTCTCTAAGACCAGTAGGGACTGTGTGTATTTATAGCAAGTTACGTACACATTTATAAGGATCACAAGTGTGTGTAAAGGCTAAAATCAGTGACTTTCTATTGCTTGCTTCTGGCTAGAGGAAATGAGGTAGCAATTGAGACATATTTCCACTCTAGTAATCAAAGAGTAATTTAAAAGAAAAAACTATTTATGCACATTGCTATCCCACACCAAACAGAATCCAAAGTCCTCCCAGCTTTCCCATTTTTGATCGCCGAAAACTTTAAAAGGTTGGGGAACCAGAAATCATATTTTAATTTCTGAAGAAAATATACTGAAAGGTGTTTGTGGTTTTGGTATACCGTACTTTGCAAAGTTCATCTTTTGGCTGCAACGGCTTCATTGGCTTTACAGTGACCTCTGCTGGCAGAACCCAGAAATACAGTGGAATTGATACCAGCATGCCTGGTTGAATCTCAAGATTTTCTCCTCCACAGGGACAGAGAACAAAAGTGTGCAAACAATGTGTGAAAAGTTTGCTTCTGTCCAGTTGCAAGTACACATTTGGGGAGCCAGGATGTGCTGTGGCTTCCATGTATAAATAAAGGCAATATTGACACTTGTGTGCAGTTTTCACACATTACAGTACATACGTGTTCATTCCCCCCACCCCGCCACCACCCATGTAAGGAAAACACAACCATGATCTGCTTTGTCTTAAGCTTTACAATTAATATGGATTTTTTAAAAAATGATTTTTATTAAAGTTTCAGTAAAAAGTTAAACAGAAAAACATAAAAAAGAGATACACAAATACACAATACATAATCCAAAAAAGAAACAAGCACAGAAAACAAAAAACAAAAAAAACAAAAAAAAAGAAACAGAACATTTAAAAACAATATCACCTTTTCATTTCCGTTTTTAAATTTACTTATTTTCTGGACCTCCTCATACCTCCCTCTTTTGTATTCCAGTTCAAATTGTTTGTCCAGCAATTTCTTTCCCACTTTTTTAATCCCAATCTTTAATCTTAATATAATATAGCATTAAAATTTAACCTCTTAAATACCAAATTTCCATTTCCTTAAACTTCTTTAATCCTAATCTTTAATCTTAGTCTATCTATAATTTTAAATCCTGTACAGCTGGAAACCACTTATTTTCAATCCAACATCACTCTAGCATTCTTTAATTTTGCAGTGTTTCTGTAAATAATCTTTAAATTTCTTCCAATCTTCCTCCACCAACTCTTCTCCCTGGTCACGGATTCTACCAGTCATTTCCGCCAGTTCCATATAGTCCATCAGTTTCATCTGCCATTCCTCCAGCGTGGGAAGTTCTTGTGTCTTCCAATACTTTGCAATGAGTATTCTTGCTGCTGTTGTTGCATACATAAAGAAAGTTCTATCCTTTTTTATCACCATTTGGCCGACCATGCCCAAGAGAAAGGCCTCTGGTTTCTTGGGGAAGGTATATTTGAATACCTTTTTTAATTCATTATATATCATTTCCCAGAAAGCCTTAATCTTTGGGCACGTCCACCAAAGGTGAAAAAATGTACCTTCAATTTCTTTACATTTCCAACATTTATTATCAGGCAAGTGATAGATTTTTGCAAGCTTGACTGGGGTTATGTACCACCTGTATATCATTTTCATAATATTCTCTCTTAAGGCATTACATGCCGTAAATTTCATACCTGTGGTCCACAACCGTTCCCAGTCAGCAAACATAATGTTATGTCCAATGTCCTGTGCCCATTTAATCATAGCCGATTTTACCGTTTCCATGGATTAATGGGCTGCAAAGACCAGTGAAGGACGAACGGACAGCGAAAGGGTAATATTTCAAGAGTGGATGCTAATCCCTTCGTTTCATTCTGAAACAGCTGTTTTGGGGAAAAGTCTTGAGGGCTTTGTGGATAGTGATTCATCATGTTCTGGATGCATGCTATTAAGCAAATTGAAAATACCAGACCTCTTCCTTTCCTACTAGGTCAGTTGTTCCCCAACTGCGTGGCAGAATGGCAACTTCACACTGAGGAATAAATAGATCTAAGGGAAACCCTGTCAGCCATTGAGCCTGTATGAGTCCTTCCTACCTAGAATTTTTGTAAGTTTGGAGAATTCCATCCAGGAATTTAGCCATGCACCAAAATTAATGGACACACATTAGTCTGAGGAGGACTAACATTGGCGACAGCCCTATGAATTTAGGCCTGCATCAGTTGAGTGGGCGTCATAATTACAATTATAAATTATCTCACCTCTGCCATGCTGTTCTTTTGGGTGGAGGGGAGAAACATCTTACCTTTTCTGGATTTCCTTCAGTCTTCTCCACTTTGCCCACTTCTGCAGTGATCGATTTGCTGCCTCCACTTGTTTCAGTTCAAAATTGCTGTAGCTTTCAGCCGACCAGTGTATAACACAAATTACCACCTGTTTAGAATTGTAGTAACTTGAGGAAAATCGTGCCTTCCTGGACAATAATTTCTGCTGAGACAATGGCAAAATAGTCCTCCTTCTGAAAGATAGCAGGCAAATTTCAGGTGTGTACCCATGGCGTTAGAACAAATATGGACTTCATAAATTCTTCTGCAGAAGCTCAGTAAGTACGGGTACTTTGGAGAAGACGGTGTGTCAAATTTGAAGAGGCAAAAAGTTCATCGGCTCTTGTATCCCATTTCCTGGGAAGTGCTAGAAAACCGTCTGCTCCCCCAACTCCCTTGGGATTGTTGCTCAGGGAAGGCAGGATAACGAAGAGGCAAGCGCAAATGTCTATCGACTGACGGTCTGCTTCCCTTCTCCAGCACGTCAGAATCTTTTCTCTCTCATTCACCGCCGCTGTCAAGGTTCATTCAAGGTCAGATCAAGTGCCCATGTGATGGAAACAAAGCAAACTCCCCCCGTGTTTCAGAGGCCACGAGGATTAGCAAGTTGAATGGCCATTTCAAAGGAGTAAGACAGGTAGACACTATGCACAGTCACTGGTTATGAGTAGATCAGCCTTCTCCAAGAAGGTGCCCTCCAGACATAGCTGTCAACTTTCAGTTTTGAAAATAAGGGATCAGCAGCCTCACCTGTCCTGGGGACAGTCTACGGGATATCTAACAATCCAGGATAGCAGCGGGAAGCAGCGGGAAACGGCGCTGGAATAAGGGAATTTCCCGCAAAAAAAAAGAGGAAAGGTTGACAGCTATGCCTCCAGATGCCGAACTACAACTCCCATCAGTGCCACTGGTGCTGTTGGGAGTTGTAGTTCGACGTCTGGAAGGCACCAGGTTGGCGAAGGCTTACAATAGATGTTTCTTTATTCCAGTCTTCAGTCCATGACATCTACACATACCCATTGGCAATATTTCCACATCAATTTCCAACCCACCCACCCCCACAAGTCCTTGGGAAAACCTGTCAGCGTTGGTTTCTCCCGATATACACGATTTTTGTATTGATTTCTGCTGAATACGCACACTTTTCTTGCAAACAATTTTACCAATATAAGCAATTTTAAAGGTATGCTTACCACGACCCCCTAATATAAGCATCTTTGTACACATTTTTGAGAGTTGGAGAAGCACACTGCAAAATTTAGAAAAGTGTTAAATTCCAAGGAGAGCTGCTTTTCAGTTTGTGAATTGTTTCAGGAAGTTAGGTAAATTCCAAGAAGCAAATCTCTCCCCTGTTTCAAGTCACCGGATCTTATTTTCTCTTAGCGAGTTCTGCCTGGACAATCATTTATTTATTTACAGTAAACAGTTTTGAACAGGGGTCAGCAAACCTTTTCAGCAGGGGGCTGGTTCACTGTCCCTCAGACCTTGTGGGGGGCCGGACTATTTTTTTTTTTGGGGGGGGAGGAACGAATTCCTATGTCCCACATACACTGGTGGAGGAAGCGGAGTGTGGGGGGAGTGTACCGCCCCGGGCAGCGTGATCCCGGTGGGGTGCCATCGCGGCTGCCCCCTCCCCTGTGCTAGGCGCCACACCCCCACAGGTGGCACGCCACGCTTCCAGGACACGCACCATGCCCTTGCAAGCCCCTGCCTGCTCTCTGCCCCTCCCCCGGTGCCGGAGAATGAAGCTCCGCTACTGCCCACAAATAACTCAGAGATGCATTTTAAATGAAAGCACACATTCTGCTCATGTAAAAACACCAGGCAGGCCCCACAAATAACCCAGAGGTGTATTTTAAATACTCATGTAAAAACATGCTGATTCCCGGACCGTCCAGGGGCCGGATTTAGAAGGCGATTGGGCCGGATCTGGCCCCCAGGACTTAGTTTGCCTACTCATGGTTTCGAATGTGGGAGGAATACCTTGGGAAGGATATATATCTGTTAATATACAGAGAACGTCAGTGCATATGCATGACCGGCTCTCATAAAGAAACAGAGAGGCAGCTCTATGTTATTTGGAGCATTTTTTAATTTTTTATTACATTAACATTCTTTTTTACTTATTTGAAAACTTTATTTATTTATTTACTTATTTAATTTAATGAATAACGAGACTAATAAAGTTTCTTTCCTTTCCTTCTTTCTTTGAATTAGTGGAATACTTCGTTAGTCTCTTTATGCATTTCATACGGTATTTATTTATGACATTTCCCCCTCAACCTCGTCTCAATCCCCTCAGGTAGCTTCGAGCAGCTCCTGGAACCACAACTCCCATCAGCCCCCGGGAAGGGAGGAGGAGCAGGATGGGAAGCGGCCCAAAGGTATTGCTCAATCCCTCCCCGCCATGCATCTCTTTACGGCACACCTCCCAGCATGCTCCGCGAGCAGCGGCCTTAAGAGGACGGGAGGCCGAAGGCGATCCACACCCTACCCTCTCGTCTCTATGGTTATACCCTCCTTTCCCCTTTCCCCCGCCCCTCCTATCCGGCGAGTGCGCAAGCGCACGCCGCCTGACGCAAGGGCGGAAGTGGGCGGGAGGGCGGCGCCGAAGTAGGCGCATGCGCGCGGCCGCCTTCTTTTTCTCTCTTTCCCCCTCGTTGCTGCCGCCATGGCGCCTGCGGTGAGTCTCTGGCCGAGTCGGGCCTAGAAAGGGAGGTCCAGGGTGGCGGGGTGAAGCCCGTGACGTATTAAGGAAGCGGAGGGGGGTTGTTGGCGGTGACGTCATAAGGAGCAGGGAGGGGAGGGAGTCTACCTGGCGGGGGGGAGGGTTCCCCCTGCCCCTTCCTCCCTGCAAGGTAGGCCTCAGCCTCTCCTCCCACCCCATGAAGCGCATTTCTGACTTCCCTGGACCCGCACCCGTTTTGCTTTCCGGGGTAGGCTCCCCATGTCCCCCCTGAGCATGTGCAGAGAGCAGCTGAGCTCTTGGATCTGGCTCCAGAAGGACAGCGCAGGAAGCGAGGCCTACCCATAAGAGCTGCTGGATCAGGCCAAAGGGGGCCCCATCCAGCCCAGCCTCTTGTTCTCACAGTGGCCAACTAGGTGCCCCAAAGGGAACCCCCCTCCCAAGCAGCACGTGAGAGCAACAGCCTTCTCCCACTCCTACTCTCTTGCATTCTAAGGTAGATTGCACTGTCTATGGAGGCTCCATTGACAAATCTTACAAAACTGAGAAGAGCCCTGCAGCCCCTGGAACGGGCCAAAAGGGACCCACCTAGTCCAGCCCCGTTCTCACAGTGCGCATCAGGCATAGGCAAACTGCGGCCTTCCAGATGTTTGGGACTACAATTCCCATCTTCCCTGACCACTGGTCCTGTTAGCTAGGGATGATGGGAATTGTAGTTCCAAACATCTGGAGGGCCGGAGTTTGCCTATGCCTGGTGCACATCCTCCTCCTCACAGCCCTGCACCCTTTATATCAGAGACCCCTTTTATCTCTCCGTTTATCTCAGAGGCTTCAACTGGGGTGTCTCAAGGGTTGCCTTTTGGACTCCCAACTCCCATTGCCCATGCTGGCTGTGACTGATAGGAGCTGGAGGCTGAACATCACCTGAAGGACCATAGGTTTACTACAAACCATCAATAATTTACTGCAGGTGTAGCCAACATGAGACATTCAGATTTTGCTGGACCATAGCACACACACAAATTTATTGTGGTCCATAGACCCAAAATATGCAGTGCAGAGGCTGCTGAACAACTATAGCTTTCATCGTCCCTGACCATTGAGCATGCTAAGTGGAGCTGATGGGAGTTAAGAGTCCCAACAGTATCTGGTGTGTGTGTGTGTGTGTGGCCCTCCTTGCCATTGATTTACACATAAGAATTTGGGGGGGAGAATAGTCTCTCTAAAGGTTTGTGGCCTGCCGCTTTATGTACAGTCCACACCTCACCCAGTGTGATTGTCTGTGAAGCCAGGTCACATTATATATAGAACATGTGTTCGGGCATACATGTTGTGCAGCTCTGATTGTTGGCAGTCCCGATTCACCAGTGTCCGCTTTACAACTTGTACGGGCCACCACTTTGTGGCTGCGTTGGGTATGAAATTGAAAAATCTGCCTGTGAGATGGGGACCAACACCAACTTGCAGTGTCCCCAGTAACATTGGCCTATATCCAACACTCTGTAAAGTCACAGAATTCAGTGTGCTTAAGCTTGCCTGTGTTGGATTTAGACCATTAATTCCCCCACCCACCCACCCCATATGACCAGGTGACACTTATACAGTGGACGCTCGGGTTGCGAACGTGATCTGTGTGGGATGCACGTTCGCAACCCGCAGCGTTCACAACCCGCAGCGGCGCGTCAGCGCACGCGCAGGTTGTGATTTGGCATGCACGCACAAAGCGCAATTTAGCGCTTCTGCGCATGTGCGACCACCGAAAGCCACAAGTAACCCGTTCCAGTACTTCTGGGTTTCGGTGATCCATAATCCAAAAAAACGCAACCTGAAGCGTCTGTAACCCAATGTATGACCATAAGAAAAAATGTATAGAGTGGGCAGAATGCTGAACCTGCTGTATAATCCTAACCACAATATTTAAGCTATAGCTTTGTCTTTTGTTCCAATTCTTGGTTGCAATAAGAGCTATTTTAAACTCTGTCTCTCAGGTTGCTGTGTTTATTATTATTATTATTATTATTATTATTATTATTTCTTCTGTACTACTTTTCTATCGGAACAGTCAAAGCAGTCAGTAAGAAAACAAAAAAACCACACCATATCAAATTTAAAGCTGAAACAGTAAATCTAATGAAGCAATATGAAAAGATGGCATACCTTCATATTTTCACATCAACTCCTCAAGAAATTGACTGACAGGGGGGTCAGACTAAAGGCACACTATATTTTCGGCCACAAGTTATTTATTTCCTAAGATTTAGACACTTTTCATTGTAGAAAACCTCAAAGTTCTTTGTAAGAAGAATAAAGCAATAACATTATTGGTTAAAAAAACAACAATTAAAAACAATAATTTGAAACATTCAAATCAGCAGTAAACTAAAAACAAATTAAAAAAACACATCAACATTCTAGATATCAGGGTAAGCTTGGCTAAACAAAAATATTTTTAGCAGACACTGAAAAGTATACAGTGAAGGTGCCTGCCCAATGTCAGTAGGCAGGGAGTTCCAAAGTGCAGGTGCTGCCACGTAACAAAAATGATTTTTTACAAATGCAGAACAGGTAATGGGGTAGCTGTAACAGTGCCTGTTTTGCAGATTGAAGTGGTCAAGCAGGCACATATGGGGTAAGGAGTTCTTGCAGGTAAACTGGTTCCAAAGTTGTCAAGGGCTTTACAGTTGTACTTTGATTTTCAAACGTTTGGGCTCCCGAACACCGCAAACCCAGAAGTGACTGTTCCGGTTTGCGAACTATTTTTGGAAGCTGAACGTCCGATGGGGCTTCCGCATCTTCTGATTGGCTGCAGGAGCTTCCTGCAGCCAATCAGAAGCCGCGATTCGGTCTTTGAACGTTTTGGAAGTCAAATGAACTTCCGGAAGGGATTCCGTTCGACCTCCAAGGTACGACTGTATGCTTGTACAGTAACACCTTGAACTTGCAAATCTCTGAGCACAGCTGTTTTATGTGGACAAAGTCACACCTCTCAGCAATTGTGCTACAGCATTCTGCACTAATTGCAGCTTCTGGATCAAACCCAAGGGAAGCCCCAAACCATGGCAGAGTTTGTGCCAGATGTGATCTATAGTATACAAGATTAGTATGTGCACATACTTGTCTTTTTTTTTTCTTTTCCTTTATGTTACTGAGCTAGGTTACTGGAGCACTAGGGAAGACCTGACTGTCCAGCTATCTAGGGCTAGATCACTGCTTAGTTGCTTATAGTCCACCAAACTGGTTAGGTTTGTTCACACACATAGCAGTGTTAGTGGTTGCATCCAATTAAGTCCTAGGCTCCGTCTGTACTATACATTTAAAGCTGTCTCATACCACTTTATGCAGCCCTGGCTTCCCTCAAAGAACCTTGGGAACTGTAGTTTGTTAAGGGTGTGAAGAGTTGTTAGGCGGCCCTCCTCCCAAGGCCTGTCACGGAGCTATAATTTCCAGAGTGGTTTAACAGTCAGTCCCTCTTCCCAGATAACTATGAATTGTAGCTCCGTAAGGAGAATAGGGGTGTCTCCTAATAACTCTCAGCAGCCTTAAGTCCCCAGGATTCTTTGGGGGAAGCTATGACTGTGTATGTGGGTTAAACCACAGAGCCTAGGGCTTGCTGATCAGAAGGTCGGCGGTTTGAATCCCCGCGACGGGGTGAGCTCCTGTTGCTCGGTCCCTGCTCCTGCCAACCTAGCAGCTCGAAAGCACGTCAGAGTGCAAGTAGATAAATAGGTACCACTCCAGCGTGAAGGTAAACGGCATTTCCATGCACTCCTCTGGTTCGCCAGAAGCGGCGTAGTCATGTTGGTCACACGATCCGGAAGCTGTACGCCGGCTCCCTCGGCCAATAAAGCGAGATGAGCGCTGCAGCCCCAGAGTCGGCCCTTTACCTTTACCTATCACTGTTTAGAAAGTGGACCTGCATTAGTAATGTCTCTTAATTTCAGTGGGTCTGCTCTGAGTAGGATCAGCATTGATTACAGCCCAAGTTCATTTATATTATTCAGTGTATTAGTGGTCTGGTGGTGTGTTTGTGTTTTGACATTCTTTTCTAGCAAAATCTGAAAAAGGTGCCAGCTTCCTACAAAGCTTGATTGCCTGGAATCGCTTCTGGCTCTCTGTAGACAACCAGATAAGGGGGCAGTTAGCATCATCTGCTTGTGGTCCTGCTAGCTTGCAAGCAGATAGCTAGGCCAGCATGGATTAAGGGGAAATAGCCACTTACTGGTGTTTGTCCCCAGTGCTTGATAGTCAACATGCCACCTCTCACTTCCCTTCTTTGCTGTCATGGCTGAGGGCGAATGACAAACTTCTTTTCCAGAATTCTGCGAGGTGGATTAGCCTGAGCTCCTCTAAGCCCAGTGAGCAACATCACTCCCCTTCTGGACTCTCCTCAGGAGGCTTCCAGTCAGCCAGAGTTAGGAAGAATTAAAGCATGGGATAGCAGCAGATAAAGCAATAAGAAGAAACCTACTAGGAGTAAATAAAAGTTGGCTCTGGGGCAGCTTGACAATCTTGGGGGGGGAAAGGGATTTTAGGAAGGACTTCTAAAAACATGGTTTTCGGCTTCAGAAGCAGAATCGTCACCACGAAAGGCATTGTAGGGGCAGAAGATTTGGATTGGGGAGAGCAAGAAAGATTGGGAGAAAATCTGAGAGGAGGTGCAGCTGGTTGTAGAGCCCTGTGTTTAAGGACGAGGAACTTCTAGATTGGCTGAGAGAAGTAGCAAGGAGCCAGCACAAAGATTCAACAGGTGTGAGACAAAATCAGGGTGTTGGGTGGGGGGGAAAAGGGTTTGGGAAAACATGTGATGTTGTGCAATTTCTTCTCTATGTGGGGCTCACCTGATGTTGCAAAGAGGATGTCTGCTTTTGCAGTATATAGAAAGTTATATACTGCATTTCAAGTATAGGAAAATAGCTAAAGCGGTTTTCAGCATATTAAAATAATAGAAGAGCCCTTAAAATTTCCTCTCTGGTGCATGTGCCCGGATTTCTTGAACAATAGTAACCTCTCTTTCTCTCTCTCCTGCAGAAAAAGCTTGTGACGAAGGGTGGCAAAAAAAAGAAGCAGGTTCTGAAGTTCACTCTAGACTGTACCCATCCAGTAGAAGATGGCATCATGGATGCTGCCAACTTTGTAAGTTCCCAGCCCTTGGAGGCATTGACCACCTCTGGAATCCCATTAACTGCCTGCACTTGCTACTCTGAGAAACCAGGCACATCTCCCACACAGATTGCAAATAGAAGATCTGGTTGCTTTGCTGCCATCTTTGGAAATGGGAGGCACTTCTATCTTGGTCAGGGCTTCTGTTTCGGAGTGTGCTTTTGACAGGCAGGATATGCCTTGTGCTGTCGAAAGGCTGCTTGCAAATACACTGCTAACTGGAGCACCTGCTGTTCTCTCTGATCTCTCCAGCTAGCATGGAGGACAAGGCTATCGACGGCTGCTAGCCGTGATGGCTGTGCTGTGCCTCCAGAGTCGGAGGCAGTAACGCTTGTGAAGTGCTCTTGTGGCTGGGAACCGAAGGAGGGGAGAGTGCTCTTCTGCTCTGCTCTTTCTTACTGTTTTCCCACTGGGGCATCTGATTGGCCGTGGTGAGAACAGGAGGCTGGACCAAATGGGCCACTGGCCTGATCCAGCAAGCTCTTTTCATGTCTGTGCTGCATACATTTGGTTGCAACTGGTTTTGGATCCTGCAGGAGGTTATTGTTGGTTCAGGGTGGGGAACCTGGTACCCTCCAGAGAATGTTGGATTCCAGCTCCCATCAGCCATAGCCAGTGTGGCCAGATTGGTCAGGGATGATGGGACTTGTAGTCCAATGGCCTCAGCAGGGTCACCAGTTCCTTATTCTTGCTTTGGTCGTGTTTTGGAACAGCCTGGTTTGGAGTGGGCATATCTTGGAGCTCTGTGTATGTATCTGAAGTTTGTGTGGCAAAGCCTGATGCCTGTTTGCTTGTGGCACTGCCATTTTGCTGCAGTGCATACATTCAGCTCTGAACAAAGCAACTAGGTATGTGCTTGCACTAATGCTTTGTCTCAGTCAGACTGCTGGGCCATCCATCTCAGTGCTTTCCACCCTGACTGGCAGCAGCACTCCAGGGCTTCAGATGAGGACTCTTCTCAGAGTATCACCAGTACAGTAGTTTGGATACCCCAGCGGGCTGTCCCTTTTCCTTGTTGGTTGTGCATTCTTTCAAAGGCTTCTATGTATCGTAAATCCTTTCTTGCTTCTGCCATTGTCTGTATTATACATGCAGATTTATTCAAATGTAAATTTATTAATCACTCGTGGGGGAAAAGGAATCACCTTAGGCAGAGGTGAGGAGCCTGTGACCCTCCAGTTCTGGGGTCAGCAAACTTACCGCGCCTCGGGCCGGTGTCTCCAGCACTGATCGCGCGGTGGGCAGGGGAGCGCGTGCCCATACGCTATTTCCGGCGCACTTCCGGGTCGGAGGAGCACCGGAAATAGCTTGTGCGCATGTGCGCGGGCCTCCTCCAACCCAGATGTGCACCGGAAATAATGCTTGCGCATATGCAAATAACGCTTACGCATGCGCACAAGCTATTTCTGGTGCTCCTCTGACCTGGAGGTGGGCAGCCGCGCAGCACAGCGGCGGTAAGAGCGGTAGTGGGTGGCAGGGGTTGCCGCGGGCCGGATAAATGAGTCCCTCGGGCCTTATCCGGCCCACAGGCCTTAGTTTGGCGACGTCTGCTCCAGTTGTTGCTGAACAATGACTCCCATCGTCGCTGACCATTCTGGCTGGGCCTAATGGACACTGAAGCCACATGGCAGCCAGAGAGCTGCAGGCTCCATTTCTCTGGTCTGCACTGACTGGCAGCAACTCTCCACAGTCTGGGGTAGAGAGAAGAGTTTGCCAAGCCTGCTGCCTGAGAGATTTCCATGAGAGGTGCCCAGGATTGAACTTGGGACCTTTTGTGCTCTGGCGCTAAACTACGACCCTCCAGAACAACAAGGATGTGGAACCTGTGTCCCATCCCCAGGTGTTGTTGGCCCATCATCCCTGACTAGAAAAGATGAGAGATGGAGGACCATAGGTTCCCCATCCTTGATCTAGGCATCCTTTAATTGGTTGGTGACCTCACATTGTTCACAGATGAATATTATGGGTCATGGTTCTTCTCAACATTTGTGAGAATTACGTTGAAGTCTCTCATTAACCTTTGTTGGGTTTTAGACCTTTAGAAATTGGCAGTGTTGCCTCCTTTTTCAGGACGTTTGCATCTCCCGTTTTGTTGCAGAACAGCCTTCCCCAAGCCTGTGCCCCCCTGATGTTTTGGGACTGCAGCTGGCTGATGGGATCCATAATTCAAAGCCTCTGGAGGACACCAGCTTTGGGGAAGGCTAGTGTAGTGGTCGCAAGGGACGCGGGTGGCACTGTAGTCTAAACCACTGAGCTGCTTGGGCTTGCTGATCAGAAGGTTGGTGGTTCGAATCCCCGTGATGGGGTGAGCTCCCATTCGGTCCCAGCTCCTGCCAGCCTAGCAGTTCGAAAGCACGTCAAAGTGCAAGTAGATAAATAGGTCCTGCTCCGGCGGGAAGGTAAACGGCGTTTCCGTGCACTGCTCTGGTTTCAGTGTTCCGATGCACCAGTAGCGGCTTAGTCATGCTGGCCACATGACCCAGAAAAATTGTGGACAAACGCCAACTCCCTCGACCTGAAAAGTGAGATGAGCGCTGCAACCCAGAGTCGTCTGTGACTGGACTTAACTGTCAGGGGTCCTTTACCTTTACCTAGTGTAGTGGTCAGGATTTTGGACTAAGACTAGGGAGACTTTGGTTTAAAGCCCTGCCTATACAGCCATGATGCTCTCAGACTGATCTTTGATCAGTTGCTGTCTCTCAGCCTGTCTTGCAGGGTTGTTGTAGGGATGAAATGGATTGGTGGGTCCAGTTTCACCGCCTTTATCTTCCTAGAGGGAGCAATGGCAACACAAACATGTTCTTGAAAATAAATAAAAGGTTAAGCATCACCTCGTAACAGTCACTCTTCAAGCGCTTGTTGTTTCTTTGGAGTATTTGTTATCCACTTTTCAGGCACAAAGGCTCCCAGAGTGACCAGCATACAGTCATTTAAAATGAGACAGTCCCTTCCTGCAGGTTTACAACCTTAAAAAACGCAGCACCCAAGGAAAACGGACGGGGAGGGTAGAGGAAAAAACAAATTAAACTGGGGTGCAAGTTCCTAAACAGGCATTACTTTTTTCTTTTTTTTTGCAGGAGCAGTTCCTGCAGGAGCGGATCAAAGTGAATGGGAAAGCTGGGAACCTTGGTGGCGGTGTGGTGACCATCGAGAGAAGCAAAAGCAAAATCACAGTCACCTCAGAGGTCCCTTTTTCCAAGAGGTAAGGAGCCACGCAGGGTTAAAAGACTGGGGTGGGGGTGGCTTTGACTTAAAGAGGCCTCTGGCCCTCTGGTGTTGTACAATTGGCTGCAGGTGCAGGCTGAGAAAAGAGGATCACCCAATGAAGCTTATGTGCTGCTTCATACAATACATTTTACTCATTGCCACAGGGAGTGTTGTTGACCACTAGCTTTCCTGCCTTTAAAAGGGGATTCTTGGAGGAGGAGGGGAGAAAGCTATTCATAAGGACAATTTAGAACATCCATCTTCAGAGAAATCTTGCCTCTGAATTACCAGTTGGTGAGGTGCAATAGTGGAAGAGGGCTATTTATTTATTTGTTTATTTAATTACTTCCCCACTTTACCATAAGGAATGTCTCTGGGCGAGATGCAACATTAAAATACACAGTTACAGTGGTACCTCTGGTTGAGAGCAGGATCCGTTCTGGAGGTCCGGCCGAGGTTTTCGCAACTGGAGGAGAAGCGGTAGACTGCTTCTGTGCATGCGCACGCGGAGAAACACTTCTGGATTTGCCGCTTTCGCTTACATTACCCGAGGGTAACGTAACCCGAGGTTCTACTGTATATTTAAAAAGCCTTGAACCAAAGAAGTGTGAAAACAATATACAACAGTTATATAGATAAAACATTTCCAATAAAAATGTTATCATGCAGCTCCCGTTTGAGGATTTGTAGTGTCGCAACACAATCCTGGATTTGTGTGAAGTCCAGGTGGGATAGAAGAACAAAAGTGGTTTTAAATAATGGTGGAGGTTTGAGGAGAGCAGGGATGGAGTAACACTGAGAGGAATGAATGAATGAATATTTATTTGCATCAGCCACCAGCCATAGCAATAAAACAAACAGAATGTGGTATACAAAGAATAAAGGTAAAAGGGCACTTATATAAAATACATTTTGAGGGTTTGGATCAATAGTCAAATAATGGATCTTATTCTAATTGCCCCAGCTAAAAACCTTGCAACCTGAACACTGAGAGGAAAACATGGAAGTTTCAGTAAAATGAGCAGGTGGTGTCATGGAGGGCGGGATAGAGACAGTTTAAAACAAGGTTTGAGTACAGTGAGAAGGAGGGTTGGAAAGGCTCTGTTGTGCTGGTTTGTGGGGGGACTGATATTTTTAGGGGAATGCAGGCCCTCCCATTCCATGTATAAATGAAGCCAAACCGCTCATTTAACAGACTTGAATATATTTTTTTCTTGGCTTGGGGTATTGAAGAATGCAAGCCCATGAAAGCAGTTCCTTACCCCCTGGGTGTCCTACTGAGTCCTTCCTCTAAGCCTTGGAGATTTCAGTCGGGGTCGTCAACTCACCTTCACACCCAGAAACAGGGAGTTGGAAATGTGATTTCTTAAAAAATACAATGAGAAGAAAGCTAAGGGTTTTTTGGGTTGCCCAGATTTTACCCACATTTGCAGATACCATGCCTTTTGTGGACCTTGGGCTGCTGCATCCCCCATCAGGCAACTGAGATCCTGTTGCCGTTGACTCAGCTTGAGTTATTTAAGCAGCTCGAGAACCGGGCATGTGACTGACCCAGCAGACTCCAGTGGCGTCATTTGGGGGCCGCAGTCAGTTTGCTTCCCTGCTTCTTTGTTCCTTCCGCAGATACCTGAAGTACCTCACCAAGAAATACCTGAAGAAGAACAACTTGCGCGACTGGCTCCGCGTGGTCGCCAACAGCAAGGAGAGCTATGAGTTGCGATATTTCCAGATCAACCAGGATGAAGAGGAGGAGGAGGAAGAAGATTAAACGCAAAGGAATCTGGCAATATTTTGTACATTCACTTTTCCTTCAATAAAATATGGTGAAAGTTGTTATAACATTTCTCCTTGTGTGGTTCTGTCTGGATTGCAGTCTGCCATGTAAACACAGCCAGAATAGATGTCCGCACCAAAAGCTTCCCCTGTCCTTTGCTGCCCTCTATGGAGAGATGGTGGTATGGGCTTAGGGGTAGGGATCCCCAACTTTTTCTTTTGCCAAAGCAGGGCCAGCCTGCCTGTGGCGTGGGGCAAAGTGGCCCCTGTGGGCACCTCTGCCACTGCCAGAAAGGCAGCACTGGCAGCCAAAACCTCACAAAATCTCTCCAGGGTAGTGGCGCCACAGTCACGTGTTCCCATTTCCGATGTGCCCAAGAACCCACTTAGAAATCTCAAACTCAGGATTGCTGCAAAGGGCCCTTTTGGAGAAGAAAAAACTGGCAATGCTCTGAAACACCACCCGTCCCATAGGGGAAAACAACTACCCACCCCACCCCAAAACAAAACACGGGGGGGAAAGACCACCCCCAAAGGTTGGGCAAGCCCTTCACTCCCCCAACCAAACTATCTTCTCCACAAGCTAAAGCACCTCAAGTTAAAATTGGGAATGTGTTGGGTGCTGGTGTTTTGAGAGTGTCATTGTGCCTGTGGGTGCCAGCCTAGGAGACTGGGCTGAGGGGAAGGTTCATCCCCTTTTATTGGGGTGGGATGAAAGGGCTGCTGCAATGCAGGTGCGGGGAATCTACAGGTGAAATTCGAAAAATTAGAATATGGTGGAAAAGTTCATTGATTTCAGTAATTCAGCTTGAAAGATGAAACTAATATATGAGATAGACTCGTGACATGCAAAGCGAGATATGCCAAGCCTTGATTTGTTATCCTTGTGATGATCATAGCGTACAGCTGATGAAAACGCCAAATTAACAATCTCAGAAAATTAGAATATTCAAGGAAATCAGCAAAACAAGATTGCAAATCAAGCAAGATTGGACCTCTGAGAAGTGGAAGCACATCTCGCTTTGCATGTCATGAGTCGATCTCATATATTAGTTTCACCATTCAAGTTGAATTACTGAAATCAATGAACTTTTCCACGATATTCTAATTTTGCGAGTTTCACCTGTAACTACCAAGTCCCGTCTGCCCGAGGAAGCATGGTCAAGGTTGACGTTGGGAGTTGTAGTTCATCAGTGTCTAGATTCCTAAAGGCTCCCACACTTGCTGTGATGGAAAAGGCTTCATAATTGGAGAGGGGGGTGCAGAGCATGTGTTTGTATAATAGGGAAGAGGAGGCTGGTTTCAGAGAGGGGGGCATGTATGAAGCAGTGTGTAGAGTATTGAAGGTGGTTGGGTTTGGGGTTTTGACAGATTCACTGGTGGCTTGCCAGAGGGTCTGGAAACCAAGTCTTAGGAGGAGCAGCTGAGGAAATTGGGGACGTTCAGCCTGGAGGAGAGAAAACTTTGTGGAGGTGATATGACTGCCCCCTTCAAATAACTAAAGGGCTGTCACATGGAAAATCTGAGCGAGCCTGTTTTCGGCTGCTCCAGAGGGGAAGAACCCAAACAAATGGATTCAAATGGCAAGAAATGAGATTCTGACTAAACTTTAGGAATAACTTTCTGACAGTAAAGAGCGGTTTGACAGTGGGTCAAAGTCCCTTGGACTTTTAAGCAGAGATTGGATGGTCATCTGCCAGGGGTTCTTTAGCTGTGATTTCTGAATTACAGGGGGTTGGTTTGGATGACCCTTGGGGATCCCTTCGAACTATACGCCCTGCTTTGTAGACGATGCTGGCACCACAGCACCTCTGCTACCCCAAGGCCATGCTTCTAGCTCCCTGGCTACTCCTTCCTACCTCTGTCCTTATTTCAAGTTTTGCTTAGATCTTCTTGCAGCTGGGTGGAATAAGATGAATTGGAGAGCAAATGCAGCTTGCTGACTGTGAAGGAAATTCCCACGTTGACTGTTGCAGCAACTTGTGGAAGAGGGGTTTCTTTTGCCAGGCAAACTAGTCTTTTTGCTTTTGAGGAACAGAAGAGGTTGAGGAAAGCTTTTTCCCCAGATTTTTTTTTAAATAAAAAACCCCCAATATTAAGTTTGCCAAGCTGTGCAGGGTGAACATCCAAGTACTCTGGCTATTGTGTCAGCCAGTAGTTAAGGAAAGCAATGAGAGAGATTTTTAATTTATTAAATACTGCTAAGCTGGCATTTGTCCATTGTCCATGGAGTTTTCTTGGCAGGGATACTGGAGTGGCTTGCCGGTTCCTGCTCCAGATGGATCACGTTTGGTCAAAACTCTTCACTATGACCTGTCCATCTTGGGTGGCCCTGCACGGCATAGCTCATAGCTTCTCTGAGTTATTCAAGCCCCTTCGCCACGGCAAGGCAGTGATCCATGAAGGGGCACTGTGGGAGGCAGTGGAAGACAGGAGTGCCTGGCGTGCTCTGGTCCATGGGGTCACAAAGAGTCGGACACGACTAAACGACTAAACAACAACAAAGCTGGCATTTCTCACCAAATAATATTAAGGATACTTAACAGTATTTCAGAAGTTGGTTGTAGGTGCCGCAATGGCAAAGGTTGGAGGTGCCGCGAGTGTCATTAGTCCAACCCCCTGCAATGCAGGAAGCTTTTGCACAATGTGGAGCTCGAATCCACAACCCTGAGATTAAGAGACTCAAGTTCTACTGACTGAACAATCCCAGAGTGACTTCCTCGAAAGAATAATGGGAACTGTAGTTTGTTAAGGTGCTGGGAATTGTAGGTCTGTGAAGGGGGAAAACTACGATTCCCGGGATTCTTTGGGGAGAAATAATGCGCTTGAAGCGTGGGTATAATTTGCTTTCAATGTATGGTGTAATCTACCTGCAAACAAAACCGGACTGAATGCTCAATTAACCGGTCATCTGGAAGAGAGCAGAGTAATAAGCAAAGCCTTCTGGTTGCCTTAGTTTTGCAGAGGTACAGCCTAAAGGTGAGAGATCATTTGGGATCCAGTCCAAGTTTGGATCCTTGGGGCTGTTAGATTGGCTGTGGAAGCTCCATTTGACTCTGCTGTGTCACAAACCTCCCCAGGGTGGCTGTGGGGCTTTCCCAGGGACCCAATTTGCTGCTCCCCTTGTGGGTTGCCAGCTTTCAGAATATCCAAAGCGAGGAAGCCCTGAGTTCGAATCCTCACTTGGGCACGGGTCACACCAGTCTCCTCCCTGTCCTCCTTCAGGTTAACCAGCGTCATCTCTAAATACCATCTGCTGGGGAATACAAACAGGGAGAGAGTGTGCCTGCCCAGTGTGTAGTGGCTGTGAAAAAGGCAAATTCCATGCTAGGGATCATCAGGAAAGAAACTGAAACTTTTGACATCATAGTGCCGTTATAGAAATCTATGGCACATTTGCAGTACTGTGTGCGGTTCTGCTCACCTCACCTCAAAAAGGATATTGTGGAGTTGGAGAAGGTTCAGGAAAGGGCAACCAAAATGATCAAGGAAAAGCTTCAGAGTTTGGGACTTCAGTTTAGAGAAACGGTGAATAAGAGGGGATGTGATGGAACTGAAGAAAGCTCTCTTTCATAATAGGGATGTCCAAGAATGCTGGAAGATGCAGGACAGATAAGAGGAAGTCTTCCTTCTGGCAGTGCATGAACTATGGAACTCCCTCCCACAGGAGACAGTGAGGGCCATCAACCCAGAGGACTGGGCAATTTTATAGAGGAGAGGGCTGCCAATGGCTACTAACCCTGATAGCTATGTTCTGCCTTCACTGTTGCAGGCAGCAGACCCCTGAATAACAGTTGCTGGGAATTGCAGTTGGGCAAAAGGTGCTCCTGTTCTTGGGTCCCACTTGCAGGTTCCCCATAGGCATCTCCCACTGCAGGAACAGGAGGTTGGTCTGTTATTTACCGTATTTTTCGCCCCATAGGACGCACCGGCCCATAGGACACACCTGGTGTTTTTTTGGGGGGGGGGAATAAAGGGGAAAAAAATTTATTTCCCCCCCACGTGCGGGGCTGGGGCGGGGGAAGCCCGAGCTTCCCCCGACCCCAGCCCCCAGAACAGGCTGCTATCCGCAAGCCGTGGGAGAGCTGCGCGAAGCCCGAAGCTTGGGGCGTGCTGAGCTCTCCCACGGCGCGCTGAGCTCTCCCACGGCTAGCGGAGCGCTGCGCGAAGCCCGAAGCTTGGGGTATGCTGAGCTCAGCGCGCCCCAAGCTTCTGGGTGCAGGCAAGCTCTCGGCTATCCGTGGGAGAGCTGCGTCTCCCACGGCTAGCGGATAGCTTCCTGAAGCCTGGAGAGCGAGAGGGGTCGGTGCGCACCGGCCGCCCTCGCTCTCCAGGCTTCAGCGAAAGCCTGCATTTGCCCCATAGGATGCACACACATTTCCCCTTCATTTTTGGAGGGGAAAAAGTGCATCCTATAGGGCGAAAAATACGGTATTTGTTGCATCGGTATCCCACCTTTCCTCGTGGCTGGCCCAAGGTCATCCTGTGAGCTTAGTGGCCAAGTGGAGATTTGAAGCCTGGACTCTAACCATGACGCCACCATGGGTTCTCTAGCCTTGATGGGCTTTGTCACGGCTTTTTGGAGAAAAGCTTAAATAAATGGTCCTTTAAAAAGAAAAACAAATGCCAAATCAAAGTATCTCCCCTCATAAATATTGTGGTCCTTTTCTCATATCGCATTGTCCCTGCAGGATCAACCCTCTCAACCCCAACCCATCTATTCCCCCCTGCGCCTCTCACTTTCCTGGTGCGTAAAAATCTCCGGGGAGGATTCTTGGAGGGGCGTTTGTGCGTGTTTGGGGAGGTGGGAAGGGGGCTTGCTTTGGCTGTCTACCGAGAGAGATGCTGCTGCCGCCGCCGCCGCCGCCGCCGCCGGTGGTGGTGTGCCCAAAATGATGGGATGCGGTTGCCAAGGTAACCAGACTGGACGTCAGCGCGCCAGCCTGGGCATGTGTGCGCGGCCGCTGCTCCGGGCTGGCTTGTGCGAGGTGGGTCCAGCGCGCTCCTCCTCCTCCTGCGCGGCTGCGGATCGCGGCGGGGCAGGCAGCGGCGAGAAAGAGGAGGAGGAGGAGGAAGAAGAAGAAGAGGGGCCGATCTCTGCCCCCCTCCCGCGCGCCGGGCTCTCGAGCACCCCCTCTCCATCCCTCCCCAGTCGCTGCAGCGGCCATCTTCGCTGCCTCGCCCTCCGCAGCGCAACGTGCGCACCGGGCGGAGGCGGCCGTCGCTCGGCCCGCGGAGCGATGCGCGGCGCGGAGGAGCCGCAGATCGCGGAAGACATGTCAGGTAGGTGGAGAAAGCGTGGGGAGGAATGGGGGGGGGGAACAAAACCTGACGCGAGTGGGGGCTCAGATGGGAGGGTGCACCTCTTTCCCCCAAAACAGCCCAAAGAGGAGCCCCGCTGGGTCAGGCACCTTTCTCCAAGGTGGCCTGCAAGATTGCCCCCACGCTGGGAGGGGGAGAGCTCTCCCAAACAGGGCCCTGAGGTGGTGGCCCCTTTCCCTCTCTGATCATCTACTTGAGGTAGACTGCCCCTACCCATGGAGGCTCCCTTTAGCTTATCCAAAGGCTTGTTGGACGCCTCTCTCCATCCGATCCTGGAGTCTGGATGCAGCAGGGCAAAGCCACTAGAATAATATAATTGCTCCCCCAGGGTCATCTAGTCCAACCCCTTAAAATGCAGAAATCACAGCTGGAGAATCCCTGACTCTGAATCCAAGCTCTGTTTCCAAAACCTGCAATGAAGGAGAGTCCCCCACCTTCTGAGGGAGGCCCTTCCACAGCTCAGAAAGTTGTTCCTAAGGTTTAGTAGTCGGTTTGGGTTCCACCCTCTGGAGCAGCAGAAAGATGGCTATCATATTAGCTCTCGGTCTTCTCCACATCTCTTTGAGCCTCTGGAGTTTAGAAGTGTGCTACCTCACCCCCCTCTTTCTCTCTAGCTAATAGCTGTCCTCAGTAAGCCTATTGAGAGGGAGGGCGGTGATTTGCACACACCCTGCTGAAATCGATGGGGCTTCCTGCCAAGCCTGAGCACAGGTTTGACAAGTAGCAGCTGTTCTTTGGAGGCCTTTGCAAGCCTGATGGGACATCCTAGGAAAGTGTGCCCCTCTGGGCCAGGTGACCAGTGGCCCTTCTGATCCAGTATTCCGTCTCCAGAGAGACCTCAGGGAATTCCTAAAGTGGGACGCACAAGAGGGGGACTCATCCTCTGTTCCTTTTCATTTAAGAACACAAGGAGAATGCTGCTGGATCAACCCAATGGCCCATTGAGTCCAGCATCCTGTTCTTACAGTGGCCAACCAGATGCCTGTGGGAAGCCAGCAAGCACATGATCAGTCTCTCCCCATCTGTAGCATTCAGAAGCACCTTCCTCCTACCACGAAGGCACAGCTTAGCCATTGTGGCTAGTAGCAGTCAATAGCCTTCTCTTCCAGATATTTTTCCCCCTAATCCTCTTTTAAGACCATTCAAGTTGGTGGCCACCCCTGCCTCATGTGAGAGTGAGTTCCACAGTTCAACAATGCATTGCATGAAGGACTTTATTTTATCGGTCCTGAACCTTCCAACATTCAGCTTTATTGGACGACTTCTAGTGTTTTGAGAGAGGAAGGAAAACTTATCTCTGGCCACTTTCTCTCCGACATGCATAGTTTTATAAACTTCTATAAATTTTATAAATTATAAATTTTATAAACTTTTATAAATTTCTCGTGTCCTGGGGTTTCCTTCTGAGGAATGGGGAGGGCCCCACTTGGCTCTAAGCTGATGCTGGATATATCCTCAGTCCATTTGTCTCTAGGCCTCTTCGGAAACTGCCAAAGATGCTCACTGCTGTTGCTGCTTACTGACGTTATAGTGAACTCTGAAACTTAATTAGCAAAGTCCACTAGGTGGGTTCTCAGCTGTTCACTCCTGTCTTAGTGACCTGGAAGCTTGCCTTGCTAGTTTTAAGAGGTTACCATATTGGTCTCCAAAGGATGCTAATAAATAATATGGTTATCCATTTGCTGGGTCTTTGGGTGCTTTGCCTAATACAGTGGTACCTCGCAAGACGAATGCCTCGCAAGACAAAAAAATCGCTAGATGAAAGGGTTTTTTGTTTTTTGAGCTGCTTCGCAAGACGATTTTCCCTATGGGCTTGCTTTGCAAGATGGAAACGTCTTGCAAGTTTGTTTCCTTTTTCTTAACACCGTTAATACAGTTGCGACTTGACTTCGAGGAGCAACTCATAGAACGCGGTGTGGTAGCCTTTGAGGTTTTTAAAGACTTTGGTGATTTTTGAAGCTTTTCCAAAACTTTCCCGACACCGTGCTTCGCAAGACGAAAAAAATCGCAAGACGACAAAACTCGCGGAATGAATTAATTTCGTCTTGCGAGGCACCACTGTAATGTTTCCTTTTCTGCTTCAAGCTACTTGAAGAAAAAAGTTCCTTAATGAACTAACACTTCAACAGTTGGCAAAATTTGTCCTGTTTTATGGGGAGGGGTTTTTGAGTTATGGGGGAACCTCTGAAGTCCTGCACCCCCTGCACTAGAAATACAGTGGTACCTCGGGTTAAGTACTTAATTCGTTCCAGAGGTCCGTACTTAACCTGAAACTGTTCTTAACCTGAAGCACCACTTTAGCTAATGGGGTCTCCCACTGTCGGCGCGCAGGCAGAACACGATTTCTGTTCTCATCCTGAAGCAAAGTTCTTAACCCGAAGCAATATTTCTGGGTTAACGGAGTCTATAACCTGAAGCGTATGTAACCTGAAGCGTATGTAACCCGCGGTACCACTGTACTTCTGCAACGTTGCTGCAGGAACACACATACTTTCAAGCCTCTCATTTTCAAGTGCTTCTGCCAGTAATATTGACAACAACCCTGTAAAGTAGGTCAGTATTGTTGTCTCCGTAATGCAGATGGTGGCTCTGAGGCTGAGAGATGGTATCCTTAAGGACAGAGGCAGGGTTAGTCATGCAATATGTTTGGGAGGGCGTTGCACTCCCCCTTAAGAATATGGGTTATAATTGCTGGATCTAAACGCTGATCCTGGATATCCAATAATAGCCACTGTGACTATTACCTTGGCAAGATCCAGCTTAGATTACTATAAGGCACTCACTCTTCATAGGGCTGCCCTTGAAGAATGTTTTGGGAAGGGACAAATGGCCACCTTCAAATATAATAGCCATTTCAAATATCTGCCACATGGAAGATGGAGCAAACTTGTTTTCTGCTGTTCCAGAGGGTACAACTTGAACCAATGGACAAGCAAGGAGATTCCAATTCAAACATGAGGAAGAACTTTCTGACAGTTGCTGGAAACCGCAGGAGCAGAGAGTGATATTGTGCTCAGATCCTGCTTGTGGCTTGCCCATTGGGTCATTTGACTGGTCACTGTGAGAAAAGGATGCTGGAATACTTTATCACAAGCCCACCTGAACCTGTGACTGAAGGCCACCTGCTGCACCAGAACTGTAACAGCACTTTGCACCTATTTATAACCTGCTTTCATTCAATCAAAGTCGGCATACATGGGGTGGTCTCCTATGCAGGCGATGACAAAACTCAGATCACTTTAACTCCAGCAAGGGCTGCACTAGGCACATTGTGGACCTTGTTCAAGGCATGTCTTAGCATTGGCCTCATGATTCCTGCAACAGCCCTGTGAGGTTGGCAATGTGTTTGCAGGTTTTGAACATTCCCCCCCCCCCATACTTGCTGGCTGTGTGGGTGTGAGAGAGAGTGTGTTGGACCCACACACTCTAACTACAGTGAGTCAGAATGATCCAGCCTCAGAGGAGCACCCCTACAGCATCTCTGAATGAGTCCTCTTTCTGGACCTGGCCTCCTCTGCTGCATTTGCAGTGGGTGGGCCAATCATTCCTGATGCAGACAAGCAGCAGAATGACCCCCTTGCACTGAAGGCTGATGCTAAGAAGTCAAGTCTCTAGTCATGAATCATGCAGAGACACAACGGTCAGAATCAATATTGTGCTGGAGGCCAGCACAGCCAAAGACCTGGGGACCTGGGGAAAAAGAAATGGTTTTGCCTAGCACCTCAAAGTATGTTATGATGACGCCAGGCGAGCCTCCATAGGAAGAGCATTCCACAAGCCGGAGCCACCACTGAAAAGGCCTGTTCTCCTATTGTCACCCTCTGGACCTCTCACGGCGGAGGCACATGGAGAAGGGCCTCAGGTGATGATTGCAGGGTCCAGGTCGGTTTGTATGGGGAGAGGCAGCCGTTATAAATAATTAATATAAATAAATTTTTATTTATACCCCGCCCTTCCCGTTTTAAAAACCAGGATCAGGGCAGCTAACAGCAAATATAAAACATTGATTAAAATGTGACTTAAAGGTAAAGGTAAAGGTACCCCTGCCCGTACGGGCCAGTTGTATCCGACTCTAGGGTTGCGCGCCCATCTCACTTAAGAGGCCGGGGGCCAGCGCTGTTCGGAGACATTTCTGGGTCACGTGGCCAGCGTGACGAAGCTGCTCTGGCGAGCCAGCACCAGCGCAGCACACGAAAACGCCGTTTACCTTCCCGCTATAAAGCGATACCTATTTATCTACTTGCACTTAGGGGTGCTTTCGAACTGCTAGGTGGCTTAAAAACAGCATAAAACAGCATAAAATACAACATAAAGTGCAGCATGAATATCAATAAAATTTCAAAAATTCAGGGTCATTTTGGGGAAGAAAAAAAACCCCCAGTCAATAGACATCAAATGATCACCAGGGCTAACTGGCCAAGTTGGTCCTACTAGGGCCAGCAAGGCGACCAGGGAAGAATTTAAATGTGGGGTCCCAGAAAGGGTTTCTTCATAAAAGAAGAAAGGGAAAAGGGAATAGAGGATTAGGCTAATTCAAATTGAAGGCTGGGTGGAATAGCAGATAGCCGTTGAGGTTCTAATGGCCTGATTAAGTGTACAGCTAAAACAGCTGTTTCCTGGATCCCAGTTTCTTGACTGATCCCTTTCCTTCCTGGTCTAGAAGAAGAGGATGGAGTCCTGGAAGATCTGGAGGAGTTTTATCCTGAGGAGCAGGTGAATACCCAGAAGAAGAAGAAGAAGGCCAAGAAGCTGAAGGAAAACAAGGCAGCTAAAGTCAAGAGGAAGAAGAAGGAGGTAGGTTTTCTTGGGCTTGCTGGGATGAGGAAAGCAGGAGTAAGAGGTCCACACTTGCATGATTGTCCAGTTTATCTTGAGATAAACTTGAGGAATGCTGAATTGGCTTATGTCAGCGATGAGGACCCTTCAGGCCCAAAAGCCATACATACCTCCAGCCCTCTGGGTCTCCTCCTAGAATCCTAGAATCATAGAGTTGGAAGAGACCACAAGGGCCATTGAGTCCAACCCCCTGCCAAGCTGTGTATCTCCTCTCAGCTGTTTAGCTGAGAGAAGGAAAGGGCTTGATGTTACGCAAAGAGCACAATAACAGCTCCTTTCCCTTGCAAGGAGATCTGCTATAAGAAGATCAAAGCAATGGGGAAGGTGTCTCAGCAGAGAGGTAGACTTGTGCTCTTTGCAAATATGCAAAAAACAAAAAACCCACCCCAAAGAACCCATGCATTTTGCAATTGCACACATGCAGTTTTAAGGATGCATTCACATTTTGAAATGCGAGGCTTCGGGTCGTTGTAAAGTAGTGCTTGCAGTTCAGCTGCTTGTGGACATTACAATTTAGGGAGGAGAACAGTATTTGTAGAGAGCAAGAGGGAATTAAAGGAGTCACGAGGGATTCACAGTTCACAGTAAGCTGAGGCATGGTTGGGCCCCCAATCTCAAGATTGCATGGCAGGCGCCTCACCACCATAATGGGTTGTAGTCAACATTAGACCTAATCAGAGTAGACCCACTGAAATTGATGCACATGGCAAATTTAGCTCATTGGGCTCTCCTTTATTGGAGGTTTATAAGCAGGGGCCGGACGGCCATCTGTCAAGGATTCCTGCATTGCAGAGGGCTGGATGGTGACCCTTGGGGTCCCTTCCAACTCTACGCTTCTATGGTTCGATAAATCCTGTAAATTCTAGCAACTGATATTCAGAAGCATTTATGCAGGGTGTAGCCATCATAACTGGTAGCCATTGATAACTTTCTCTGCCATGATTTTGTCTCATCCTCTTCTGAAGCCATCCAAGTTGGTAGCCATCACTTTTTCCTGTGAGAGTGAGTTCCATAGTTTAATTTGGTGTTGCATGAAGAAGAACTTTATTTTACTTGTCCTGAATCTTCCAGCGTCCAGCTTCCTTGTATGTCCACGAGCTCCAGAGTTATGTGAGAGGGAGATAAACTTTGTCCATTTTCTCCATGCCACGCATTGTTTTTTTAAGCTTCTGTGATGTTGCCTCTTACTCACCTTGTCTCTGAACTATAAAGTCCCAAACACTGCAACCTTTCTTGGGGGGGGGGGTTAATCCCTATCCGATGGATCATTTTGGTTGCCCTTTCCTGGCCCCACTGGACAGAATATCCTCCCTCTGGCGGCAGTCTGGATTTGCAAAGTATTAGCAGATGTTGCTGATGTATGTATGTCCTGGACCTCTTGGCACGAGAATTAGCTTTTAGTTTGAGGAAAGGGCCAAGGTGTTCACACTGTATGCATGCATTAATTCAGAACTCCATGAAGGCAGGATCCCGATGTGGCTGTTTCTGCCCCATCCTCTCCACCTTACCAGAAGTGTTTTCTCCAGCATCTTGGGCCTTCCCCTCCGTGTGATACTCCAGCTGCATTGCAGCACCTCATTTACAGTTTGTCCCTGGTGGCTGGCTGTAAATCTTGGCAGCTCGCTGCTGTACCAACCGTGCTCTGTCTGTGGATGGTGCATCTGAGGGAGGGGAGAGGACCTTGGGGGACGCTTTTTGGAGAGAGCGGGATGACGGGACGGAGGGCTGCCTGCGTTCCACGGTTCCACAGGCAGGACCCAGTTTCCTGGCCATCTCTGTTTTCCAACAGAGCAAGTTTCCAGCCTTGCGAAGAAGTGATTGGAAGCATGTGGACAACGCTGAGAGAAGAAATCCTGGAAGCTCGAAGGGAATAAGGCTGTCAAGAGTCAGAGGGCCTTTGATGCCTTCTTACCTTGAAACAGGGGAAAGACCGTAGCTCAGTAGTAGAGCAACTGCCTTGCATGCAGAAGGTCACAAGTTCAATCCTTGGTTTCTCCAGTTAGCAATGAGAAAAGACACTTCCCTGAAAATTTTAATTTTATTATTTGTGCCCCACCCATCTATCTGGGTTTCCTCAGCCACTCCAGGCAGCTTACAACATATACAAAAACATAATAAAACATGAAACCCTGGAGAGGTGCTGCCGGTCAGTGTAGGCACTACTGAGCTGGATGGCCCAATGGCCTGATTCCATATAAGGCAACTTCCTATGTTTCTCTACATACATTCTTCACAGGGAAATGAAAATTATGCCCAGCAATGCAAATGCCCTTAATTTGCATCAAGGACACATAATTATGTTTGGAATTTGTGCAGAATAATGATAATAATGATAATAGTGTTATTATTTTAAATGTACAAAGTGTACAGAGTCCTGGCTGCAGAATGACATTATACAGCTTAGGAAAGACTAAGCAAGGCCAGAGGTCACTGCTCCTGATGCACATAGAGAGAAGCCCACATTCATCCTGGGAGTTTTATGCTCTTGCAAGACACAAGGACGAAATTAAAAGGATACACCCTCCCACGACAGTAATGAATGTATAGATTTCCTGCTCATGATTCTGAAGCTGCTTGGGCATGTGGGCAACGCCTCCTTTGTTTGGGTGAGCATTTACGGTGTTGCTCTAATTAGCAGAAGTGTTGGCTTCTGCATCTGCCTGTCTCTCTTCTCCGGATTCTGGTAGCAATTTGCATCGGTTGATGGCACAGACATGCGTGGGAGCGGCTCACCCACCTGTTATGAAGAAGAGATGGGTGGGGAAACAGTGGCCGTCTTCCTGGTGGTGATGCAGAACATCGTTCTCAAAGCCGATGTGTGTTTGGCTGGGGGGGGGGAGAGGGAGGGGAGGTTCACACATCAACCTTTGTTGATCCTGATTCTCAGCAGCAGCTCAGAGTTTAGGGCACCCCTCCAGGACTTGGTGCCCTACAGATGTTTCTGGACTGCAGTTGCTAACACCCCTGATCATTGGCCATGTTGGCTGGGGCTGATCGGAGTCAGGAGTCCAGCAACTTCTGCTGGGCAAGATGTTCAGGGAGGTGGGCTAACACTGACCTTATACTGGCTCTCCTGGGCTTCAGATGGGGGTCTTTCTCAACTCTCCCAGGGGGATTTTCTGCATGCAAGGTGGGTGCTCCTTCCATGAGCCACCGAGTGGAACATTTCCTAGTTGAAAGACATGGGGAAAACTGACCAGCACACAGAACACCTTGCTAGTTTATCTGGTCCTCCTTTGGGCTATCGCCGTGGCACAATCCAGTGACTCATCTTGGCATGTGATCTTCCCAGACGCTGAACACTGTCGGAGAACAGGACACTAGGCTGGGCGGATCCTTATTTTGATCCAACAAGTTGCAAGGGGGAAGGGATGTTGGTCCTCTCAACGGTACTTCAGGCCGGATCCAAGTATCCATTTCTCTTTCTTTGAATTTAGCTCCTCTGTTTGTGGAGGAGAATGGAGAAGGTGCATGCAGTCATCTATCCAATTCTTCACTAAGAAGGGGGTGGGCAACATGACTAGGGGTCAGAGATTATGGGGATTTTGGTCCAAGAACATCTTGAGGTCCTCAGGCTGGGGGACAGAAGCTTGAGCCAGACAGACCAATGGCTTGATTTTGTATAAAGCTGGTTCATCAAATCATAGAATTGTAGAGTTGGAAGGGATCCCAGGGATCATCTAGTCCAACCCCCTACAATGCTTCTTCATGCAAGTGGCTTCACCCATTTTTAGCAGGAGCTGATCTTACCCAGGACTTGTGCATACAGATAGCAGCTGCCTTATACTGATCTGTCAGGCTCTGAACTGTCCATTCTGAAGCCTAGCTTGCCACTTTAAACAGGATATGAATTAACAGTTAATTAAAAATAATAATTACGGTTGGCAGTAGGTCTTGGGCAAGGGCCCTGAGATCCTTTGAAGCAGGGGTGCTGGCAAGTGGCCCTTAGAAACTCCTGCAAATGAGGTCTTCTGTCTTCTGATGGGGAGATTTTGGGTTTCCAATCTTTTAGTGTGATGGGCTGTGCCCTGTGGAACTCCTTACCAGTTGAGTTTTGGTGGGAGCTGTTCTTGCTCAATATTAGATGATGTTTTAGATGACAGACCTTTCGTACCTGGTTTTTCTTTTTTCCCTTTTTTTCTGCCAACCAGCTCTTACTGATGTGTTTGTGATGTTTGTATTGTGCTTTTCATCTGTATACCGCCTTGCGATATTTTCTTCGACAAGGTGGCTCATAAATATTTAAATAAAATTAAAAATTAAAAATTTATAGTGTAGATTATGGTATGTACTGCACCCTGCAGCTGCAAACCCTTCTTGATACATGTATCACTGCAGATGTGACCTGTGGTGTGTGTGTGTGTGTGTGTGTGTGTGTGTGAGAGAGAGAGAGAGAGAGAGAGAGAGAGAGAAAATAGCTCATTTCTCCTCTGCCTCCCCTGCATCTGCATATCTGTATCTCTGGAAGACCCCCCCCCCCAAATCCTCATTCTAGATCTAGATTGCAAGAGTTAATTTGTCTCAATGCCTGCCATTTTGGCAGCCAAACGCATTTGCTGATTGTTCTTCACTGGGGCTCTCAACAGCATAACCTGAACAGGAGGGAGATGTATTGACATAAAACAACCAGGCTGCTGTTTGAGTCGGAACATATTTAGATGGAAGTCCTTGTCAGGGAGGGAGGGAGAGAGAGAGAGAGAGATGGGATTTCAGTCAGTTCTGCAGAAATTACCATGGCAACCAATTATTCAGGCCTAAATTATAACTGTTCATATCGCCAGCGAAAAGCAACAGTAGATTTCTCTCTCTCTCCCCCCGCTTTCTCCCCGTTATTAAATGGAAAACTTGAAGGACACAGAATTACTAGCCAGCGCTGTCTTTGTGTGTTTCTATACCCATGATTTAGATCCAGCTTTCCCAACCTGGTGCCCTCTTGATACTTTGGACTATAACTCCCATGGGCCCAGGCTAGTCCAAAACAACAGGAGGGGCCTAGGTTGAGATTTGGGGGCTTATATCAAGTGTGAAGGGACGCGGGTGGCACTGTGGGTTAAACCACAGAGCCTAGGACTTGCCGATCGGAAGGTCGGTGGTTCGAATCCCCGTGACGGGGTGAGCTCCCGTTGCTCGGTCCCTGCTCCTGCCAACCCAGCAGTTCGAAAGCACGTCAAAGTGCAAGTAGATAAATAGGTACCGCTCTGGCGAGAAGGTAAACGGCGTTTCTGTGCGCTGCTCTGGTTCGCCAGAAGTGGCTTAGTCATGCTGGCCACATGACCCAGAAGCTGTATGCCGGCTTCCTCGGCCAATAAAGCGAGATGAGCGCCACAACCCCAGAGTCGGCCACGACTGGACCTAATGGTCAGGGGTCCCTTTACCTTTACCTTTTATCACGTGTGAACATCCATCCGGTCATGATGCGAGCTGGTCCAGGGATGCTCAAATATTTGCAGGCTGGAGTGGCTCTATTCACAATCTGAGAGAAAGTAAAGGGATGTTCTCAGGTCATTGGTGAGTTTGCTCTGTGCATCTGGTGACAGCCTCGCCCCCGCCCCCCTGCACAGGCCATTGAGAATCCAGCCCTTCTGATCTGCATATCCCCACTCCTTTCATCTGCATAGCCCCACCCCAGGTTCTCTCATTCATGCTAAGCCAGGGGTTGGCAAAGTTTACCTCACCTGGGCCGGTTCACTCCAGTGGAGATCCTTCCATGGGCCAGATCATGTGCATGCGTGAGCGCCCCCCCCCCCGATTTCCAGCATCTGTTTCTGTGTAGATGCGGTTTCCAGTTTAGCGCAGCACGTGGGGACTCACCAAGCATGTGGCTCGGTTCAGGGGTGGCTCGTGGGCCGGTTAAACGACCCCTGTGGGCCGCTTGTGGCCCATGGGCCTTAGGTTGCCACCCCCTGTGCTAAGCTGTGATGGAAAGGTGGCATTCTGGGGGCAAAGCCATCATTTGTTGTTTCAACCAAGACCTTCATGCATGGAACACTGGATAGAGTGAAATCATGACTATAGAACCATAGAACTGCTGAGTTGCAAGGGACCCTAAGGGTCATCTAGTCCAAGGCCCTTCAATGCACAAATCACAGCTAAAGCATCCCTAACAGGTGGCCACCCAACCCCTGTTCAAAAACCTCCCATGAAGGAGAGTCCACCACCTTCCGAGGGAGTTGGTTCCACTGTAGAACAGTTCTTATCATCAGAAACTTCCTCCTAATGTTTGGTCAAAATATCATTTATTGTCATTTGATTCCATTGGTTCGGGTCCTACCCTCCAGAGCGGGAGAAAACAAGCTTGCTCCATCTTCCACGTGGCGGCCCTTAAGATATTTGAAGATGGCTATGATGGCACCTCTCCGTCTTCTCTTCTCCAGGCTAAACATACCCAACTCCCTTGACCGTCTCACGTAGGCTTCCAGACCATTTATAATCAGCCAGATGTTTGCACATCAGTTTTGGTGCTTGTTCAGCAGCTGTAAATACAAGCAGCACCAAAAGCTTCAGGATTTGTGGGGCAGGGGGGCAGCGGCAGTGACTTCCTATGCAGAGCATACCAGTTGTGCCGGGGATGCAGTTGGGTCTGCCCCATTCTGGGCTTCTGTCCCTGTCCAAGGTGCTGAAATCTTCTTGGCTTTATCACTGCCAGCTCTTGGCGCAGCATGTACTTGCTGCCTTTGCCAGATAGAAAGGGAGGCTGCAAAAATGTTGCGCTAAAGCAGTCCTGCTCTCTTTTGGATCCATGGCATAAGTCTGTGCATCCGGATAAGACTGTTTTCACATTACATTTAAGGTATACGCTCAAGACAATTTCAAGCGCTTGCATGACACAAATGTATCCCTGACCATTGATCATGCTGGCTGGAGGTGATGGGAGTTGGGAGTCTAACAACGCCCAGAGGCCCCAAGATTCCCCATCTCTGATTTTTTGGATCATATTTAGAATGCTTGACCCACTGACTGCAGCTTGGTCAGGTTTTTCTTTTGTAATCTAGTGGTTCTTTTCTTTTTACACAGACAAGCAAACTTTAACTGCACACGTTTGACAGATTATTATTGTGAATAGAATATGTTTTAACTGTTTTTCATTCTGAATTTTAAAATGGCTGTCACCTGTCCATGGATCTGCTGTTGAAGGGCAGCTAATGACAATAATAACGACAAGAGAAAGTTGCCTCCCGGTCTTAACAACCAGAGCTGTGCCTTTGAAGCTGCCCAGGAGGGGGTTGTGTGTGTGTGAAGCAGTCCCATTGCTGACAGGAGAGCTGACCGTTCTCTGCCTTCTGCCTCTTTTCTTAAGAATATAAGAATGTTAGAACAGCCTTCTGGATGAGGCCAGTAGCCCATCTAGTCCAGCATCCCGTTCTCAGAATGGCCACCCAGATGCCCCAGTGGGAAACCTGCAAGCAGGACCTGAGTGCAACAGCACTTTCCCAGAAACCAGAAACCATTAGCATTACCACTTCCAACAGTGGAGGCAGAGTAGCCATGGATAGCCTTCTCCTCCATGAATTTGCCTCATCCAATTTTATGACCCTTCTTCCTTTAACTCATGCATGCGTGTTTGTTTTTGTCAAAATCTAGGGGAACCAAGACGACGAAATCTCCGAAAACGAAGAGGAAGCAGGAGAGAAATCAGAGAGCGAAGGCAGCGACTATTCCCCCAACAAGAAGAAGAAGAAGAAGCTGAAAGAGAAGAAGGAGAAGAAGGCCAAGAGGAAAAAGAAGGAGGAGAACGAGGAGGAGAACGAAGAAGGAGGCTTAAAAGTAACCCTCAACTCTAGATATCTTGGGATGTGGCAACCAGCAGCTTGGTGCTGTGATGGGGCTGGGTAAGGAGAGGGCATCACATTAGTACTACAGACTAAGGCTCTGTGTACACATGCACTTGCGTGTGTGTGGTACCCATATGGGAACATCCTTGACTCAGCGTATTTGAAGTTGAGTTAGCCATGGGCACCCAAACCTATCTTAGGACTGCATATGCGATGGTTTTCTTCTCAAGTGTGTTGGCATAACGAGAGCTGATCCCTGGCAGCTTAGGTCTTAGGCTTGCCATCTCTTCGGGTGACCAGAAAGAACCACGGGCAACAATTCTTATCATTATTTTGATTGCATTTACCTTTTCCTCCAAGGAGGTCAAGGTGGTGACCATGGTCTTCCCACACCTCCTTTAATTACCACAACAACCCTGTGAGGTGGGTTAGACTGAGAGGCAGTGATGGGCCCCCAAGGTCACCCAGTGAGCTTCATGGCCAAGTGGGGGAATTGAACTCTGGTCTCCCAGCTCCTAGTCTGCCACTCAAACCACTACACTATGCTGGCTCCCTGTGCCCCTGTGGCTTGCAAATGGCCCTATGGGTGGGCCTTTGAACTGCTTGGTTTCCACCAAGGACCCTTGGGGAGTGTGCTTCTTTGGGGTCCAGGGAAGGGTCTGTGATGCCCCAGCATTGTTGAAGCTAATCAGGATCAGGCCTCATGAGACACGAAGCTCCAAGAAAGTCAAATGGAGCTTCTTAATGGAGCACGGTAGGCTTGCAAGGTGTTTTTCGTCCCTCTGAAGAGGCACTAACCATGTCTCCCTCCCTTCTAAATCAGCAGCCACCAGAACGCCACGGGTACAAGGATGACTACAGCCAGGTGAGTGTGCCTGCTGGAACTCTGTGGGAAGGTGGGTGGGTGGGGGAATGTCTGTGAATGGCTTAGTATGTCTGGCTGTTAACCAGAAGGTTGGTGGTGCAAGCCCACCCAGAGATGGCTGTGGGCAGGATTCCTGCATGGTCCCTTCCAACTCTACAATTCTATGTCTCCTCTGTGATGCTGTTTGCTAAGCATTTCACCCAGCTCTGCCTTGGAAGTTGCAGAAGTTTGTGGGGAAGCTTCACTGTAGCTCTTGGTTCTCCTGTAGGAGCCCAAGACCTCGGCTCAGCTCATGGAGGAGTGGGGTCTGGATGATGTGGACTATGCCTTTTCCGAAGAAGACTATCACATGCTGACAAACTACAAGGCCTTCAGCCAGTTTCTCAGGTAGGTCATGCCGTTCCTTGCCTGGTTTGAACTAGTCTGGTATTTGTGTGTCTGTGGACTTGAACTGGTGTCCCGGATTTCTGTTAATGGTCCTCTCCGCTTCTTCTCCAGACCTTTGGTTGCCAAAAGGAACCCCAAAATCCCCATGTCCAAGATGATGACTGTTCTGGGTGCCAAATGGAGGGAGTTCAGCGCCAACAACCCCTTCAAAGGCAGCTCAGCTGCTGCTGCTGCAGCCGCCATAGCGGCGGCCGTCGAAACCGTTGCCATAGCTCCGGCGCCACTGACCCTCAGCCCCCAGCAACTGCTGCCACCACCACCCGCCATCAGGAAAGCCAAAACCAAGGAGGGAAAGGGTAAAATGGGGTGGAAGAATGTGAATGGATGTGCTAGCTGTGATTAATAGAACAATGAGGGCTGAGGAATTGTTAAGGCCAACAAAAGGCTGATAAAAAGTTGGAGAAAAGAGGGAGAGGGAGGGAGGGAAGGGAGGGAGGGAGAGAGAAAGAGAAAGAGAGAGAGAAAGAGAAAGAGAGAGAGAAAGAGAGAGAGAGAGAGAGAGAGAGAGAGAGAGAGAGAGAGAGAGAGAAGCCCAGGAAAGTCATGAGCCCTTGATAACTGCTGAATGCTCAAACGAGGGAAGTACTTGGGATTTTAGGGCTCAGGAGAATAATGAAATTCAGGTGGTCTCCATTGCAAATGCCTCTATGTTCCTGCAGGTCCCGGCGTGCGGAAAAAAATTAAGAACACCAAAGAGATCAAGAAGAAGGGGAAAGGGAAGAAAGTGGGGGCTCTGAAATTCCGCTTTGGGGGAATCGCCAACAAGAGGAAAAAGGGCTCCTCGGTAAGTAAGCGCCTGTCTGTACTAAAGCCCAGTGTTCCTGGGCATGTGCAGAATCACTGCTCACATGTCTGCAACCTTTGCAATAACAGTGGCAGTCCCCTGACCTCCCCAGCTTCCTTGCATCCTCCTGCCTGCCCCACAACTGCACTAAGTCACTGCTTCTGAGACTGGACAGCTCTTGTTCAAAGAGAGGTGGGCAGTGGTGTAGTGGTCTAGGGGTGTGAAGGGGTGTCCTGTTACTCTTTCTGAAGCTGGGTCATGGTCTCCAGGGTCCTGGGGCTGCCCAATCAGCATGAAGAGGGAGCATTTTAGCCAACGAGAAGAGGTCTTCTCACCCTCTGTGCTGATTGGAGCCGATCAGAGTGGAAGGAGGCAAGTTGGCCTCTGAGGATGGGTTCCTCGGGTTCCTCTGGAGAAGACACACAGGAAGATCTAGGAGGAATTGTTTTGTGTGCTCCAGGGCTAAGCATTTAGGTGCTTCAGTTTCAAGGGAACCCAAGTTCTGCTGTGAACAGCATGGAAAACAGGTTGCTCCACAAGATCGTATTGGAGCACTCCAAATCTTTTCCCTGTGTAGGTTCATGGAAAATAGTAGATCGAGCTGAAAGGCAGCACAAGGAGATCTGCATTGATCGCTGTAATGCATCCCTAATTACATTGTCTAATGCTAGAAGGTTGTGCCATCTCGAAGGGTGTGTGGCTGTGGCTGGAGGCATGGGCTGGTGGCTGGGAGGGTCCCCAGTGTCAGCAGTGCTAACCACGTGGCTTCCCTTCCAGAGCGAGGAGGAGGAACGGGAGGAATCCGACAGCGCCAGCATCAACAGCTCCTCGGTGCGCTCCGAGTCCTCTGCTGTTCTGGGCAAGAGGGGAAAGAGGCGGAAGAAGAAGAAGAAGAAAAGTAGGTCATCACCAGGAGCTTTTCTCAGGGCTCACCAGAACTGCCCATGGGGAGGGGCACAGCATTGGCTGGTGCAGGGCTTCATCCTGACAGGGCAGCACACCAAGAGCTATGCACACACACTTTAGTAATGGAGAGAGTGCTCTTGTGCTCAGGTCCTGCTTGCAGGATTCCTAAAGGGCACCTGGGTGGCTCCTGTGAGAAGAGGCTGCTGGACTGGCCTGATCCAGCAGGATCCTCTGATATTCTTATGCAGGCATAGGCAAACTCTGCCCTCCAGATGTTTTGAGACTACAACTCCCATGATCCCTAGCTAACAGGACCAGTGGTCAGGGATGGTGGGAATTGTAGTCCCAAAACATCTGGAGGGCCGAGTTTGCTTATGCCTGTTCTTATGTTTTGATGTGCCTGGGAAGACCAGAAGTGGTGGGTAGTGAGGGCAATGGTGCCTTTGGGCACAATCTTTTCTGCGCACCTCCAAAGCCATTGAGCTCCCCCCGTCTAGCTCACTGCCCCGTTGGTCATGGGAGTTTACATAAAGCTGAAGAAGGAAGTTGGAAGAGTGACCCTCTTTCTCACTTCACCCTTCTGCTCTATGTGCTTTCCAAAACTCAGATTCATTCTACTGGATCAGGTATTTACTTAGGTGGCAGGTGGAGAGAGAGAAATGACCAGAGGAGGTGGTGCCTATGACACTCGCTCAAAAATCCGTATGAGCCCATGGGCCTAAAAAGGTTGGTGACCCCTGGGCTGGAGGGTATCTCCATCAATGACTATTTGCCATGATGGCTTCATGGAACTGGTAAACTGAGTGGCAATGGATGCCACTCACTGTGGAACAATGGTGGGAGATGGCTATTGCTTCATGTCCTCCTTGTGAACTTCACAGAGATAGCAGCTTGACCATTTTGGGAATCTGTGCCCCCCTCCCATCCCTGATCCTTGGCCATGCCAGCTGGCACTGATGGTAGTTGTGGTCTAACAACATCAAGGGTGACCGCTGATTCTCCACTCCTGACATAAGCCTTTGGCATCAAGGCTCTTTCGGTTCTGAAACTAGTCCTGAAGCCAGACTGATAATCCTTTTCCCACAACCATGTCTGCAGCTGACCAGCCACCGCTGACTCAGTGACCTTGCCCACCCATCCCAAATGGTGCTTAAATGTTCTGTGTCAGTGTCTATAATTCGTGTACAGTGGTACCTCGGGTTACATACGCTTCAGGTTACATACGCTTCAGGTTACAGACTCCGCTAACCCAGAAATAGTACCTCGGGTTAAGAACTTTCCTTCAGGATGAGAACAGAAATCACGTGGCGGTGACGCGGCAGCAGTGGGAGGCCCCATTAGCTAAAGTGGTGCTTCAGGTTAAGAACAGTTTCAGGTTAAGAACAAACCTCCGGAACGAATTAAGTACATAACCAGAGGTACCACTTTACAGGGAATGAGGCTTCCCTTCATTGCCGTGTTGAAAAACAATGCGTTTGATAGCCAACAACGAATTCATTTTTTTGTTGCTCTGTAGTAAACATCCATGGGATTAGAAAGGATCCTGGCAAAAAGATGCAGCAGGAAATGATTAATAATAGGAACCACAAAAGAGATTATGGAAGTCCAGGAGATTCCTTGGAATCTTGTTTTTATGATCTTTGTTTGATATATCTCTGTAAAATTTTAATTTGAAAAACCAAATAAATAAATTAAAAAGAAAAGAAAGTATCCTAGCAATATTATAAGCTATGATGGCTATCTTGAATTATATTCATTGTTTTGACAGATTTGTTGTTGCTTGCTTTATATGCTATTGTGTTTGATAGCATAGTGGTTGCAACGTTGGTTGTTTCTTAATGCTGTTGTGATTATTGTGAGCCACTTTGAGCTCAACATTTGTTGTTGGAAAAGCGGGATGCAAATACAGTGGTGCCCTGCAAGACGAATGCCTCGCAAGACGAAAAACTCGCTAGACAAAAGGGTTTTTCGTTTTTTGAGGTGCTTCGCAAGACGAATTTCCCTATGGGCTTGCTTCGCAAGACGAAAACGTCTTGCAAGTTTGTTTCCTTTTTCGTAAAACCGTTAATACCCAGGGTGCATTGCTTGAAGAGGTGCAGTTGCGACTTGACTTTGAGGAGCAACTCATAGCACGCAGTGTGGTAGCCTTTTTTGAGGTTTTTGAAGACTTTGGTGATTTTTGAAGCTTTCCCAAAACTTCTTTTGCAGCCATTTGGTAAGTTAAACTTTTAAAACTTTTTTGGGGGTTTTTGGATTTTGGGTTGGGGTGTTTGGAATTCAAGGACTTGGTGTTGGGGAGGGGTTTGCAAGAATCTGGAAGCTTGTGTGTTTTTTTCCTGCATTTTTATGATTTTTTGTGACCATTGGGCCACTCTGCTGTTTTTTTTAAAAAAAATTCTGGGTTTGAATTTCTGTGTGGTGGGTGACTGGGGGAACAGCTGGGGAGGGGTTTGCAACAGTTGGGGAGGGGTTTGCAATTTCTGTGTGGTGGGTGGCTGGGGGAATAGTTGAGGATTTTGAAGACTTTGGTGATTTTTGAAGCTTTTCCAAAACTTCTTTTGCAGCCATTCGGTAAGTTAAACTTTTAAAACTTTTTTGGGGGGTTTTGGATTTTGGGTTGGGGTGTTTGGAATTCAAGGACTTGGTTCTGGGTTTGAATTTCTGTGTGGTGGGTGGCTGGGTGCTTTTGAATTTTTTGGATGTGAAGCACTGATTTTTTTTGGGGGGGGTTGCGCAGGTAGGAGCTGTGCTGCCATGGGACCTAAGAAGACTGCTGCTGCAGACGACGGCGAGGGGAAGAAGGAGAAGGTTACGCTGGAAATGAAGAAGGAGATCATCTGGAAGCACGACGGTGGAATGCGTGTGACAGACCTTGCCAGGGAGTACGGGAGGAATCCATTGACCATCGGGACCATCCTGAAGATGAGGGAGAAGATCCTTGCGACTGATGCAGCCAAGGGAGTCACCAGGATCGTGAGTCCCCAGCTGTTCTGGAGGAGGTGGAGAAGTTGCTGCTCATCTGGTTAGAAGAGAAGCAGCATGCAGGGGACACAGTGACTGAGGCCGTCATTTGTGAGAAGGCCAAGGCCTTGCACGCAGACCCCGTCCGGGAACAGCCAGGAACCTCAGGCGAGCCAGAACTCTTCAAGGCAAGCAGAGGCTGGTTTGACCGGTTCAAGACAAGATCTGGAATCCACAGCGTGGTCAGGCATGGAGAGGCTGCCAGTTCTGATGTTTCTGCGGCTGAAGACTTTGCAGCGGAGTTCCTGGAGGTTGTGAAGACGGAGGGCTACGTTCCACAGCAGGTCTTCAACTGCGACGAGACCGGGCTGTTTTGGAAGAGGATGCCCAAAAGGACTTTCATCACACAGGAGGAGGCCAAGTTGCCTGGCCACAAGCCCATGAAGGACCGTCTGACCCTGCTCTTCTGTGCCAACGCAAGCGGCGACCTGAAGATCAAGCCCCTGCTGGTGTACCACTCGGAGAACCCACGGGCCTTCAAGAAACACAAGGTCGACAAGGAGCAGCTGAGTGTCATGTGGCGATCCAACAGTAAGGATTGGGTCACACGTGTGCTGTTTGTGGACTGGGTCAATCTTGCTTTTGGCCCTGCTGTCAAACAGTACCTGCTGGACAACGACCTGCCGCTGAAGGCTTTGCTTCTGATGGACAATGCTCCTGCTCATCCTAAAGGCCTTGAGGAGGACTTGTTGGAGGAGTTCAGCTTCATCAGCATCATGTTCCTGCCGCCTAACACCACGCCACTGCTCCAGCCGATGGATCAGCAGGTCATCGCCCATTTCAAAAACTCTACACCAAGGAGCTTTTCAGGCGATGCTTCGAGGTGACTGATTGCACCACCATCACCCTGCGGGAATTCTGGAAGGACCACTTCGACATCGTCACCTGCTTGAAGATGATCACCACGGCCTGGAACGGGATCAGCCAGAGAAATTTGAATTGCGCTTGGCGCAGCCTGTGGCCGGACTGTGTGGCACCAAGTGACTCTGATGCACCAGAGTCAACAGTGGTGCAGGACATTGTTGCCTTGGGGAGGACCATGGGCCTGGAGGTCACAGAGGAGGACATCAGCGAGCTGGTGGAGGAGCACGACCACGAGCTGACCACCCAGGAGCTGGTCGAACTGCAGGCAGAGGCTGCGCAGGAGCAGGCCTCGCTGGAAGAGGAGGAAGCAACTGAGGAACGGCTGTCCTCCAAAGAACTGAGGGACATTTGCCTGAAGTGGAAGGATGTGCAGGCTTTTGCACAGCGGCACCACCCTGACAAGCACGTGGCACATGACCTTGCGAACACTTTTGATACGAGGGTCATGTCGCCTTTCAGGGAGGTGCTGAAAAGGCGGATGAAGCAGCAGACCATGGACAGGTTCTTCAGCAAGAAGCAAAGAGTGGAAGAGGAACCTTCTTCAAGTTGTCCCCCAGAGTCTTAGAAAATGTACTGTACACTTTGTTGATTTTTAAATGTTTTTCTGTCATGTTTAGAAACTTAATTTATTGTTCCTTCAATTTTTGAAATGCTCTTTACAGTATGTGTGACTTTAAAGAGCACTTAATAAACTCTTGTTGTACCAAATTTGGCTTTGTTTGGACTTTTTTGACCATAGGAACACATTAATTGAATTTCAATGCATTCCTATGGGATTTCGTGTTTCGCAAGACGAAAAATTCGCTAGACGAAAAAACTCGCAGAACGAATTAATTTCGTCTTGCGAGGCACCACTGTATTAAATCGACTCACCTCAACTAATTGAGGAAACCCTGATAAGCAGTCCAGAATGATGTTTCCTCCACCTGGCTTTTGCCTTCCAGTTGAAGAAGGAGATGGCTACGAGACAGACCACCAGGATTACTGCGAGGTGTGCCAGCAAGGAGGGGAGATCATTCTCTGTGACACCTGCCCCCGGGCCTACCACCTCGTCTGTTTGGACCCAGAGCTGGAGAAGGCACCGGAAGGGAAATGGAGCTGCCCGCATTGTGTAAGGAGGTTTGGCTCTTGAGAGTCAGCCGTTGGCAAGAAAAGGGTGCAGGATGTGCTTTGAGGGAGATTTCTAACCTGTATGGCAGACTATTACCGTATTTTTCACTCTATAAGACACACAAGACCATAAGACACACCTAGTTTTTGGAGGAGGAAAACAAGTAAAGAAATATTTTGAATCCCAGAAGCCAGAACAGCAAAAGGGAGCACTGCACAGCGAAAGCAGCGACCCCTCTTGCTGTTCTGGCTTCTGGGATAGCTGCGCAGCCTCTTCAGGGCAGCGGGATGAAGGCTCCCCCTGCCCTGAAGAGGTTGCGCGCGGCTAAGCCAGAAGCTAGAACAGCGAGAGGCAGTGCTGCGCAGTGACCCCTCTTGCTGTTCTGGCTTCTGGGATAGCTGCGCAGCCTGCATCTGCTCCATAAGACACACACACATTTCCCCTTACTTTTTAGGAGGGGAAAAGTGAGTCTTATAGAGCAAAAAATACAGTAGTTCTGGGGCTAATTGCTGAGCTGAGGAAACTGCAGCGCTATAATTCCCAGAGTGCTTAAACAGTCAACCCCAGGGAATTCAGGGAATTGTAGCTCTGGGAGGGGAATCAGGGACTCTCCTAGTACCTCTCAGAATCCTTACCAACCTACAACGCCCATAATTCTTTGGGGGACTATTTAAAGTAGTATCATAGTGCTTTAAATGTATGGTGTGAACATTGCTATGGTGAGGGGGAAAGTATCTAGCTTCGAGGATGCCATATGATAATCAAGCAGCTCTGGATATCAAATGCAGGTGTCAAATATTAGGCAAATGTCTCTGCAGAGAATATCTGGATAGCTTTGGTTTTTTTTATTATAAAACTGGTATATACCAATGAACATTCCAAGGCCACCCCCAAGTGGTTTACTTACTAAAATAATTTTACACACCCACCCACCCCTACCTCACAATATTTTATAAGAATTAAAAGTTATTAAAAATTAGGCCTGTATTTACTCTGGTATACGGAGTACTGTTGCTTGAAGCAAGCATTGCATGATTTCTTGTGTTCCGTAGGGACGTGACATCACACTGGATTCAAACATATCCCCTTAATAAGGGCTGATTCTAATGATCAAAACATAATGATTCCTGTGTTTGCCTTAAACACACATTCCATAGATGCAGTATTTTATTTCATCCTCAGGGGCAGAAGAGACTTCACTTCCTAGAAACATACTTTGTAATTTCTGTCAACTTGCACAAATATATTTTGTCTGACTCGTGCCATTTCACCATCTTAAGCAAGCCAATAAATTTGCCCCAGTCTCTTATGCACAGCTGCTTTTAAACTGCCTGAAAAATTTCGCAAATACATTTTACCGGAGGCCATTGCAGAGGAGATAAACATGGCGGGCTCAGAGTTGGGATGTGAAACATTTCAGCTCTGCCTTCCCCTTTACACCAGGAAAAAGAAGGCATCCAATGGGAGCCAAAGGAAGAGGATGAGGAGGAAGAGGAGGTTGGTGAGGAAGAGGACGACCACATGGAGTTCTGCCGCATCTGCAAGGATGGAGGGGAGCTCCTTTGCTGTGACACCTGCCCGTCCTCCTACCACCTGCACTGCCTCAACCCACCTTTGCCGGAGATACCAAATGGTGAATGGCTCTGCCCCCGTTGTACAGTGAGTGTTTTACCAGCCTTCCTCGTGCCATCTGCTCCCTTGTGCCCCCTGGCAGTGGGGCCGGGCTTGATGCCGACGGCTTGGGACCTCCAAGGTGGGACAGCCAGTGGCCGGCTCTCCTCTGCCAGGTCCTAGCCTGAATCCTGAGGTTCTCTTTTGCCCATATGCATTCACTGGAGAAGAATGCAAAAGCCCTGCCACCAGTCAATCTCCTTAGAGGTGCATTTGGGGAATTTTGCCTGGCAGGGAGCAGGGGTTCCACCCTCTCTTTCCTGTCTTCTTTTTTAAAAAGTCAAATCCACACCAAGTACAGTGGAACCTCGGCTCCCGAACACCTTGGGAGCTGAACGTTCCGGCTCCCAAACAATCGAAAACCAGAAGTGATTGTCCCAGTTTTCAAATGTTCTTTGGAAGCCAAACATCCAGTGTGGCTTCCACTGCTTCTGATTGGCTGCAGGAAGCTCCTGCAGCCAATCAGATGCCATGCCTTGATTCTCGAACTGTTTTGGGAGTCAAACGGGTTCCTGGAACGGATTAAGTTCAGGAACAAAGGTTCCACTGTAAAGTTTCAGAATGGAAAAGGCACCCCCCAATTATTTTTGTTCACTTTTCTAAAACTATGTATAAGAAAGGTTTAGTTTCATCTTTGCAGCTGCTGCATCGAAAAAATGAGTCAAAACAACCCATCTTTAAGGGGTCTTCCGACTTTATAATTCAGTTGCACAGTTTCTGCCTTCCTGTCTGGGGGGCTAGAAATTGTCCTCACTCTTCCCCCTGGTCTCCTCCTCTCCCTTCCTTTAAATTGTAAGCTCCTCAGGGCAGAGACCTTTCTCCCTCCCACTGCACCCCCCCCAGGCTGGTTGTGTACTCCGCACCACAGGCAAGTGAGACGTCCTGCGCTCAGATCTTGTTCTGGATCTTGCAGGTGAAGCCAATTGTAGATTGTGTGTGTCTCACCCTCTTTCGTCCTCAGTGCCCGCCGTTGAAAGGGAAAGTGCAGAGGATCCTCCACTGGATCTGGCAGGAGCCCCCAGCTCCACTCGTGCCAGCCTTGCCCTTGGCGGATCCAGAGCTGGCTGCTCTGCCACTGAAGCCTCTGGAGGGGATCCCCGAGAGAGAGTTCTTCGTGAAGTGGGCAGGACTGTCCTATTGGCACTGCTCCTGGGTCAAAGAGTTGCAGGTAAGTAAGCAGTCACAGCAGATGCTGGGGCAGGGGAGTTCTGCATGCAAGGCATACGGTCTACCCACTGAGCTACAGCCCTTTCTCAGCGCTCTCCCTTTACAGCTGGAGCTCTACCACACGGTGATGTTCCGCAACTACCAAAGGAAGAACGATATGGACGACCCTCCAGCTTTTGACTATGGCTCGGGTGACGAGGACACCAAGATAGAGAAGAGGAAGAGCAAAGACCCCGAGTATGCCAAGATGGAGGAGAAGTATTATCGTTACGGCATCAAGCCCGAATGGATGATGATTCACCGTATCCTCAACCACAGGTGAGGAGGCCCACGTCGCACCTGTGTAAATCAGATTTGTTGGCTCAGGAAGATGGTTTCGCAAACATCAAAGGATTAGAGGTCAAAGGACAGGTTTTCGGCAGACTGGCCTTTGTTTATCAGTCTTATATCTGGGGATCTGGTGGATTAGCTGAAACTGCATATAAGGTGGTTTGGTCTTTTTTAAAGGGAAAACAGGGTCAGATGAAGATGTGGATCTAATTAACAAAGTTTCTTCTATATTATAGTAGATTCATTATCATCATCATTATTAATATTATTATTATTAGACCATTTCCCCCAATTTTTTTTATTGATTTTCACAAAATTAAAAGCACACAAACAATAAACAAACAAACATAAATCATAACCTTATTAAGACTAATCTTATTAACATTGTTAAGTGACTTCCTCGTATCCCCCTTGTTGAATTTTAATGCATATCATTTTAACAGTTTTCCAAATCAGTATTCTTATAAGATTAACTTACTACCCTTGCTGGTACCTTTCCCGGGAAAATCAGAGGCTCACTATGTCAGGTTAGTACTGGAAGACCGGACAAATGCTAGAACGTTGGCAGTGGCAAAGTTTTTATCAGTGGTTGCAAGAACAAATGAGCCCTATATTCTAAACAAAATGCTTGTTTAACCTGGAGGTAGACTGTATGAATTGTGTATTGATTTGTAGTGATTTGTTGGGTCTCTGGACCATAATAAAGATTGATTGATTGATTGATTGATTGATTGATTGATTGAATAGATTAACTTAATCACTTAACATCTTTGTTTCTTTCCAATTCAGCATTAAACATAATAATTCATCACATTGCATATTTAAATCCTAAGCCTATCTGGTAATTGCAAGCTTTTTCCAATTAGTTTAACTTAAAATATTTGACTAAATAATCATTAAATTTCGTCCATTCTTCCTGGTATTCCTCCTCCTTCTGGTCACGGACTCTTCCGGTCAGGTCGGCCAGCTCCAAAAAAACCCATCATCTTCATCTGCCATTCTTCCACTGTTGGTATTTCTTGCGTTTTCCACTTCTTAGCTAATAAAATTCGAGCAGCAGTTGTGGCATACAAAAATAATTTAACATCTTTCTTGGGCAATTCCGAACCTATTATTCCAAGAAGAAAGGCCTCTGGTTTCTTTATAAATGTATATTTCAACATTTTTTTCAATTCATTATAAATCTTTCCCCAGAAGTCTTTCACCTTGGTGCAGGTCCACCACATATGATAGAAAGTACCTTCTTTTTCTTTACATTTCCAACATAGATTATCACAGTTATGATAAATCTTTGCTAATTTAACAGGGGTCAAATACCACCTATACATCATTTTCATTATATTTTCCTTTAACATTGTACATGCAGTGAACTTGACCCCTTTCTTCCACAGTCTTTCCCAATCCTCAAACATTATGCTATGTCCCACATATTATTATACCGTTTTTTGTCAGAAGACCACAGGGAGGTTTGCAGCATACAACACAAATGTCATAAAATAATATCAGCACAACATGAAATATACTAATCAGAAGATTCTTAATCCTACTTCTAGAACATGTAATCTGAATCCTGAAATACTGTTCATTGGTGGACTGGGTCAGGTTTGTGGCTCTGCTTTGAAAAACCAGCTGTGTCTTCTGCTTCCCAGCTTTGACAAGAAAGGAGATGTCCACTATCTGATCAAGTGGAAGGACCTGCCGTATGATCAGTGCACCTGGGAGGTGGATGAAATCGACATTCCGTACTACGAGAACTTCAAGCAGCAATACTGGAATCACAGGTCAGGGGGTGAGGCATTGTGCAGGATACGTCGATGCGGGGAGGGCAGCCAGGGGCTAATGCATTCAGATAATCAGAGAATAAAATAACAGAATTGTAGAGTTGGACAGGGTCTGCAAGGGCCATCTAGTCCAGCCCCCTGAAATGCAGGAATCACAGCTGAAGAATCCCCAAGAGTTGGCCACAAAACCTCTGTTTAAAAAACTTCAGTGAGGAAGAGGCCGCCACCTTCCAAGGAAGTCTGTTCCACTGCCCAAAAGCTCTTACCACCAGAAAAGTCTTCTTCTTGCGCTTAAGGCATATATAGCCTGCCCTTTAGCCAAAAGAGTCCTTAAGCAGGGTTGCCAATTTTGCCAATTTCCCCTTAAAATAGCTAAGAAATGGCAATTATTATTTATTTGCGAACAACTTTTCCGTCCCAATTTTCACAGTTTGAAATATGGCAACCCTACCTTAAGAGTGGCTTAGAACAATCAGTGCTAAAATGGTCCCTTGTCCTCAGACACACAGTGTAAAGAGACATGGCGCAAGAGGAAAAAAGAATGGGAAGGAGGAGGGAAAAGCAAGCTCAAACACTTCTCAGTTGTTGTTGTTGTTATTATTATTTATTAAATTTGTATACTGCCCTTCATCGGGAAATCTCAGGGCGATTCACAACACAGAAATACAAGATAAAAACATAATAAAAACAAGAGCAGAGAATGGAGGATATATAGATTCTGTTTCTGTGTCAGTTCCACATCCAGCTTTGCTCTCCCTCTTCCACTCCCATACTACACACCTATCCTTGCACTAGCTCTCCCACCTCTCTCGTTCTTTCCTAAATGAGTCCCTTTGCTCTTCCACCTTTCACCAGGAGAAGTTGGAGTGTTTATGGATGTTCCACACCACCCCAGCAGCTTAGCCAGCCCTGTCTTATTTCAGTATATTGAAGCCAGGGCTCTTACAGCTAGGGGCCCAATCCCACAGTCTGTGTTTACGTCCATTTTGTCATTGGGTTCAAATTGACAAAGATCCCTTGCAAATGTCCTTGAGTTTTAATCTGAGATGCCATCATTGTTTTGGTGGTTGTTGCAAGTGGCCGAAGAGATCAGCCAAAGTTGGCTTTGCAAACAGATATGCCATGTCTCTGGCAGGTGTGTGTCAGTTTTCATAGCTGAGTGCCTTCTGCAGGTTCTTGTAATGCAGAAGGTCATAGGTTTGATTCCTATCATCTCCAGGTAGGGCTAAGAAAAGACCCCTGCTTGAACTGTGGAGAGCCTGGACAGATCAATGGTTTGACAAAAATGATGATCATAGAATTGTAGTGTTGGGAGGGACCCCAAGAGTCATCCAGTCCACCCCCTGCAGTGCAGGAATCACTTGGTCTAAGGTGGCATCCTGCACCACACTGACTTTTGTGTTTGATTCACTTGCAGGGAGATGATGTTGGGAGAGGAGAGCAGCCAGACCGCCAAGAGGCTGAGCAAGAAAGGGAAGAAGTTCAATGACGAGAAACTAGAAAGACCTCCAGAATCGCCTCTTGTGGATGTACGTTCGGGATCCGGAATGGGGGGGGTGGGAGAGAGCTTGTTTCCCCACCCACTCCTCATACATGTTTACGTTTCCTATATGACATTTTGTCCCCCTTAAAAATGGTTATTGAAAGCTTCTTACACTTTCTTTCTCACCTTTTGGTCTGCTTCCGAGAGTTCAGCAGGCATCGGCTGCACAACATCAAGAATGCCGTCACAGTCATAAGGGCTAGCTGCTTGGTTTTAAGCAAAAGGAAAGAAAGATCAGCCCTTAGCAATTGCATTTTGAAGCAATGGAAGATTCAATTGCATACCCGTCTTTTTTTATTACAGTGGTACCTCGGGTTAAGAACTTAATTCGTTCCGGAGGTCCGTTCTTAACCTGAATCTGTTCTTATCCTGAGGAACCTGTTAAGTTGTGGGTGAACATATCAGACCACACAGCGATTCTTCAAACAGCTCTTGTTTATTCAGAGGCCAGAACAGAACTGAGCTGAAGGGTTCAGTCAGCCTGCTTATATAGAGCTCCAGTACACATAATTGTAACAACTTTCTAAAACTATCCAATCACTGAAAGTCACTTTCGATCCCTTATTTGCATAACTATCTACAGTATCCCCCTTCTGGCCCAGGGTGAGAACTTCAGTACATAACACCACCACTTTAGCTAATGGGGCCTCCTGCTGCCACCGCACGATTTCGGTTCTCATCCTGAAGCAAAGTTCTTAACCCAAGGTACTATTTCTGGGTTAACAGAGTCTGTAACCTGAAGTGTTTGTAACCTGAAGCGTCTGTAACCCGAGGTATCACTGTATTAAAAAAGCAATGAGTCAACTGGAAATGTCTTCCATTGCTTGACGGCTTTAATGGCATGCCTTGTTTTCTTCCTTCCCCTGCAGCCCACCATAAAATTCGACAAGCAGCCGTGGTATATTGATACAACCGGTGGGACGCTGCATCCTTATCAGCTGGAGGGTCTCAACTGGCTGCGGTTCTCCTGGGCGCAGGGAACGGACACCATCCTTGCTGATGAGATGGGCCTCGGGAAGACCGTCCAGACCATTGTGTACCTTTACTCCCTTTACAAAGAGGTAGAGGCCTTTCTTGTGCTATCCCTGACTTAGAACCACAGAATCGTAGAATTGTAGTGTTGGAAGGGACTGCCAAGGGTCATCTAGCCCACCCCCCCATGCAATGCAGGAATCGCAACTCAAGACTCTCCAGCAGATGGCTAACCAACCTCTGCTTAGAGACCTCCAATGAAGGAGAGCCCATCGCTTTCTGAGGGAGTCCACCGTCAAACAGCTCTTACCATCAGAAAGTCCTTCCTGACGTTTAGCTGGAATACCTTTCTTGCAATTTGAATCCATTGCCTCAGGTCCTCCTGTCTGGAGCAGCAGAAAATCAGCTTGCTCCATCTTCCATGGGGCAGCCCTTCAGATATTTAAAGATGGCCATAATAGGCCCTCTTGGTCATCTCTCCTCCAAGCTAAACAGACCCACAACCATTCTTCCTTATCTGGCCTCCTTTGCAAGGAGGTTGTTTATGGGGAAATCCCTCCCCTTTGCACAGAAACACCCCTCTTTCCCCGAACAGGGCCACTCCAAGGGTCCGTACCTGGTCAGCGCCCCTCTTTCCACCATCATCAACTGGGAGCGGGAGTTTGAGATGTGGGCGCCCGAATTCTACGTGGTCACGTACACGGGGGATAAGGAGAGCCGGTCTGTGATTCGCGAGAATGAGTTCTCCTTTGAGGACAACGCCATCCGCAGCGGGAAGAAAGTTTTTCGGATGAAGGTGAGCACTGGTTGGTGGGGAGTGAGCAAGCATCGTTTGCTTATGAACATAGAAAGCTACCTTATGTCACGATGGACCAGTGCTCCATCTAGCTCAGTATTGCTGACACTGGCAGGCAGCCAGGGTTTCAGGTGTGGATCGTTCTTCCCAGCCCTCCTTGGAGATGCCAGACATAGTGGGTTGTATCCAAAGTAGTTCTACGCAGAGGAGACCCATAGAAATGGCTAGGCATAGCCAACTTAGGCCCCATTTGCACCAGAAAGCAGTATCATACCACTTTGAACAATAATGACGTACCCCACACTGAATCCTGGGAACTATATTTTATTAGAGCTGCTAAGAAATTTTAGGAGACCCCAGTTCCCCTCAGAGAGCTGCAGTTTAACAGAGATACAAACTCTCGAAGTGGTTTATATTTTAATTTTTATTTATTTCTTAATAAATGATACAGAAAATTAAAATAAAGTAAACAAACAAATATTAATACAAAATTAAACTAAAGAAAATACATGTACCCCCTACCCTGCAAACAGAAACCTTACATACCCCGGTGACTTCCCTCCACCACGACTCGACTTCCTTTAGCTCAAATTTAAATACTATCAGTGCATTTTTTGGATAATACATCTCTTATAGCCATTTCCAGTTATTGTTCTCGCTTATACTTTACATACTTAATCCATGCATATCAACATATTCTTTTTAGAACAGTGTTTTTCCATATACTCCTCAAAACATTGCCATTCTAATCTTAATTTTTGATTTGTCTGGAGCCTTATGACTGCTGTTAACTTTGCCATTTCTATAAATTCACTTAATTTACATATCCAATCTTCTTTTGTGGGTATTGTTTCACCTTTCCATTTACTGGCGAGAGCTATTCTGGCGGCTGCCGTGGCGTATAGAAAGATTGTTTTCTTTTCCTGTGGGATATCCTTCCATAATAAACTAGTAAATACGCCTCTGCTTTCTTTCCTATGGTGATTTTGAGCATCTTTTTCAACTCTTTAAAAAAAAAAATTCTCTCAAGAGTGGTTTAATAATCTTTCACAGGGAACTTTTGAGAATTGTAGCTCTGTGCAAGGAATAGGAGATCTCCTAACACCTCTCATCACCCTCAACAAGCTACAGTTTGGGGGGAAAAATTAGAGTTTGAAGGGACCCCAAGGGCCATCTAGTCCAACCCCCTGCAAAGCAAGACTCACAGCTAAAGAATCTGTGACAGATGACCATTGAACCTCTGTTTTGCCAAACCATAGTTAAAACAAGCTGCCGGTTCCTAAGCCTGCAACAAACGATAGCGTCACATCATGGTTTGTTGGGCAGAAAACTAAGCATGGGTAGTCTGCAAGGGCCGGGTCTATATGTTGAAGCAAACCATAGTTTGGCTTGAACCAAAGCTAGCTTAGCTTTGTGTGTGAACCAGGGCCATCATGGAACCTCCGAAGCTGCCTCGCACCAGGGCAGAATGCTTGCCTGCATAGCTCCATCTTGCCTATTCTGCTTGGTAGTGGCACTCCAGACTCAGCGGAAAGAAGAGGTCTTCTATTCGCTCCTTGTAATGAGAGATGCCAGGGAGTAAACCTGGGACATTCTGCATGAAAAGCCGGTATGCTCTGAGCTCTGGGCCTCTCTCCAGATCACGCCTCTCTTGCTGGCAACATTGTCTCCTTGTTTCCTCTAGAAAGAAGCTCAGATCAAGTTCCATGTCCTGCTCACATCCTATGAGCTCATCACTATTGACCAGGCCATTCTGGGATCCATTGAGTGGGCATGCTTGGTGGTGGATGAAGCCCACAGACTGAAGAACAACCAGTCCAAGGTAGGTGCACCTTTTCAGGGCAGGTTGGCAGAGTCTGGTGCAGGGGTTGAATGGCAGATGTTTCCCGAACTGCTGATAGCCAAGGCATGCTCCATTCTGGACCCAAAACTGGAGGCACCACATTGACTTTGTGCGAGAACAAGCTGGTTTGGGGAATGTGTAAAGAGACACAAGGTTACCTGTCCCAAGAGGAGCCAACAAGAACACCGGTCTCCAAATGAGGGAGATCATTGCTCTGGGGGTGCCTCCTAGAATCATAGAAATGTAGAGTTGGAAGAGATCCCAAGGATCATCTGCAATTCAGGAGGCACAGCTAAAGAATCTTTGAAGGATGGTGATCCAACCTCTGCTTTAAAGTCTCCAAGGAGGAGAGTCCACCACTTTCCAAGGGGGAAAGGAGGGTGAACGTGATGGTGGGGCACCAGTTTCCAGAGCAGCCTCTTAATCCTGCATCCCATCCCATGGGTTGGGAGGGTCAGTAGTCAGTGGCTTCTCTTTGAATGGAAAATTATGTGATGGTTCGACTGCCCAGATCCTTTGCCATAAGCTCTCTGTCAACCCCTCACCTTTTCTCCAAAGTTTTTTAGGGTGCTCAACAGCTACAAAATCGACTATAAGCTGCTTCTGACTGGGACGCCTCTGCAGAACAACCTTGAGGAGCTCTTCCACTTGCTCAACTTCCTCACGCCAGAGAGGTTCAAGTGAGTATTTAAGGACATCAGAAGACACCTGCTGGATCAGGCCAATGGCCCATCTAGTCCAGCATCCTGTTCTCGCTGTTGCCAACCAGCTGACCCCATGGGAAACCAGCAAGCAGGACTCAAGCACAAGAGCAACTCTCCCCTCCTGTGGTTTCCAGCAATTGGTATTCAGAAGCATTGCTACCTCCAGCTGTGACAGCAGAGCATAGCCATTGTGGCTAGTAGCCATCGGTAGCCTTTTCCTTCACAAATTTGTCTAATCCTCTTTTAATTCCACCCAATATGGTGGCCGGCATTGCCTCATGTGGCAGTGAGTTCCATAGTCTTAACTATGCATTGCGTGAAGGAGCACTTTTTAGAAAATGTCCAGAATCTTACAACATTCAGCTTCGTTGGATGTCTATGAGTTGCTGTGTTATGAGAGGAGAAAGACCACTTTCTCAATGCCATGCATAATTTTTTATAAACTTCCATCATGTCGCCTCTTCCTCACTTTTTCTCTAAACTAAAAAAAAATCCCAAATGCTGCAAGTTATGCCCTTCCTCACGTAACTTCCAAAACAGATTTCCTCAAATGTGTGCCCTCTAGCTATTTTGGACTGCAACTCCCATCATCCCTAAGCTAGGGCTGATGGAAAATGTGTTCCAAAACAGCTGAAGGGCACCATATTGGGGAAAGCTGCTCTGTGGCAGACCATTGAACAAACCGTAACTTGAGGCTGAAGCCACACCTTATGCTTTGTTTGGGACTGTGGATGTGCCTGTGGTTGGTTGGTGGTCTGCATGAAGACTTTGGAGTGACTGGGCTTGGTGTAAATCCTCGTCTTTCCCCTTTACCTGGCCAACCTTGCAGGGCTGCCTTCCTGCTGTATTTAAGGCTCTGTTTACCAGATGCCGCCTGCAGCTCTTGTTTTGGTGGCTCGCCCACGTGCCGGAGAGCAGCTCTTCTCAACCTGCGCTCAGGTATGGCTGCCCAGAGCTCCAGCCTGGCCAGCTGGCAACAAGACCTTCTCCAGACGTTGCCTTGAAGCCACCCAATGACACTGTACAAGATGCATCCTACAGGCAGAGCAGGTGGCATCTGCTGCGCTGGAGCGCCATGGCTACCTTTGCCAAGCCCTGGCTGCTCCATAATCCATCCTCTGCTGTTCCACAGCAACCTGGAGGGCTTCCTGGAAGAGTTTGCAGACATCTCCAAGGAGGACCAGATCAAGAAACTACACGACCTTTTGGGACCTCACATGCTCCGGAGGCTGAAGGCCGATGTGTTTAAGAACATGCCTGCCAAGACGGAGCTGATTGTCAGGGTGGAGCTGAGCCAGATGCAGAAGTGAGTTCTCCCCTTGCAAGACGTGCTGGGCCAGGCCACAGCACAGTGACTGAGCCCTATGGCCCACAGCTTGGAAACTGGGGAGCAAGTGGGGTGTTTTTATTTGCAGTGGTCCTGGTGGCCCAGAAGTTGTTTCATCTGCATGTAGACCCCCACCTTTACTGATCCATTACCATAGTTAGAGAAATGGTGGGTGTGTCTGTTATTATTATTGGCAATATTATCATGCTCTTTAGCAGGAAAAAGCTCCCATATAAGTCCATAGTGACTTCCACAACAGTCCTTGTTCTCAGACTTGTAGTGGAAAAGGGAATGTGAGAATACCTGCAAGTCCCCACCCTCCACAAAAAACACACACATGAAACACAGACAGAAAACTCATTCCACCCATCCATCATTTATTATACAGTCACAGGCCCGTCAAAACAGAGTAGACTGTATTGAGATATATATATATATATATATATATATATATATATATATATATATATATATATATATATATATATACATACACACACACACACACACACACACACACACACACACACACCCCATTAAAGCATTCACTTATGGCAAATACAATGTGATACAAAGCATAAAACACACACGTCTTTAAGAGACAGCATGACACAAGCATCAAGCATGATGCACGACCTGCAATTAGAATAATAGTGTCATCTTGTGAGAACTTTGAGCAGAGAAGAAATTTGGAAAAATGAGCAACACCCCCTCAAAAAGGAGGCAGTGGTGGTGGTGGTGATCCCACGAGCTACATTCACTAGTTTTCCCGAGGCCGATGGTGCCAGCCTTTTACACATAGGGCCTCCACTTTCTCTTTCTCCATTGGAAGGCCATTACAGAGACAGCCTGTTTGCTATCATTTTTCTTCCAGGAAGAGAGAGTGCTAGGGACTTGCTGTGTCCTTGTTTACTTACAAGTTGAGCAGATGGGAAGCAGGGAGGCCCATGTGCTCCCTCAAAGGCCACTGCCCTCCTGCTCTGTGGGGCTGCTTCTTAACAGCTGCTAGCCCCAAAACTCTTGTTCTCTTTTGTGTTTTTGCCCCCCCCTTTCACTCTTCCTGGCAGGAGAGTGTGACTTTCATTCCAAGCTCCAGAAACATAAGCAAAGCATCACAACCCGTTGAGGAAGTCCTGGTAGCTTTGCAGAGGTATACGATTGAAATGCTCATATCCTTCCCCCCTCCCCGTTCACTGCAGGATAGTGTATCTAGGATCTCAGACAGAATCATAGAATTGTAGACTTGGAAGGCACCCAGGTCTTTATTTTGCTTGTGGCTGGGTGGGATCTAGCATGCCCCTTGTGAGTCATGGAAATGTTACAGCTTCCATGGGAAGCCCAGAAGCCCCTTAACTAAGATGCCCTTTCCCCACTTGTGTTCTCACAGGAAATACTACAAGTTAATCCTGACAAGGAACTTTGAGGCTCTGAATTCGAAAGGTGGAGGCAACCAGGTGTCCCTGCTCAATATCATGATGGATCTCAAGAAGTGTTGTAACCATCCGTATCTTTTCCCCGTGGCGGCTGTGGTAGGTCTGTTTCTATTTTATGCCTTCCCCCTCCCCACCTTTGCTCCAAACCGCAGCTCAGATCAGTGCGCTGGGTGGACGGGCTTCCTAGGCAGTTGCCCATCATAGAGTTGGAAGGGACCTTGAGAGTCATCAAGTCCAACCCCCTGCAATGCAGGCATCTCAGCTAAAGCATCCAAGACAGATGGCCATCCAACCTCTTCTGAAAAACTCCGAGGAAGGAGAGTCACTCCAGAGGGGCTCCTCTGTATGAATCAGAGCTGGTGGTCACCAATGTGACCTCTGTCTCTCTTCACCATCTCAGTCGGGGGAGGTTCTGAACCTCTGGGTGGGGTCCGGGGTGAATTGGACTTGGACAAAGAGTCTGAAGCTTACTCCAGCCAAGGCAGAGTTGCTTTTGGCCAAGAGGCCCAACAACCCAGTCTTAAGGGGTCTGCTTGCTCTGGATAAGGTCACTCTCATCAGGTTCACCATTGGAGGTGGGGGAACTCCTTGACCCAACTTTACTCTTTCATAAGAGCATAAGAAGAGCCTGCTGGATCAGACCAATGGCCCATCTAGTCCAGCATCCTGTCCTCACAGTGGCCACCCAGACGGCACTCAGCAAGCAGGATCCAAGAGCCCTTTCCCCTCCTGTGGCTTCCAGCAACTGGTATTCATTACTGCCTCCAACTGCAGAAGCAGGATATATCCCATAAACCTTTTATTTTCTTTATTCCATTTGCTTAAGAACTCTATGCGTCCATTGCTCACAGTATCTTAAGCCAGCAACCAACAAAATGGGTTGTCTCCTGCTAAGTCCTACTCAGAGCAGACCCACTGAACTTAATTGAACCCAGGTTAACCATGCCCATTAAATTGCATCTGTCTACTCTGAGTAGGACTGCTGTTAGATGTAAACGGTGTGTTTATCTGTTTAGTCAGCATTATAAACTATTGTCATTTGCGAAGTCGTTCCTGGGACATTTTGGTGGGTCCTAACTACTGTGGATTTTGGATTTTTTTCTTGTGGACCTCTTAAGTTATTCAGAACATAAGGACATAAGGAGAAACTGCTGGATCAGGCCAGTGGCCCACCTAGTCCACCATCCTGTTCTCACAGGGGTCAAGCAGTTACCCCAAGCTCACAAGCAGAACCCAAGCATAAGAACCCTCTCCCCTTTTGTGGCTCCTAGCAATTGGTATTCAGAAGCGTGATTGACTCAAGCGCAGAGAGTTGGCTTAGACTGAGCAAGACCACTGGTCCATCCAAGACTGGGTGTGGCTTCATCTCTCTGGAGACACTTCTTGCTCAATCAGCTGCCTCCTAGCAGAGGTCATGTGCTGTGCAGGAGCCGTTCCCTTGCAGGCCGGACTTAGCCATTCCCCACTCACTTCCCTTTGCTCTTAGGAAGCCCCGGTATTGCCAAACGGGTCTTACGACGGCAGCTCGCTGGTGAAGTCGTCTGGGAAGTTGATGCTGCTGCAGAAGATGCTCAAGAAGCTGAGGGATGGTGGCCACCGGGTGCTCATCTTCTCCCAGGTGTGAACAGGTCGAGCGGCAAAGGCTGCATCCATGCGGCCATTTATTCCATTTCCCCAAAGAAACTGTTAATTTGTGCATCGTACTTGTTCTTCCGCATGATGTGAAAGCACTTCAGGAAAACTTTGGGAACGTGGGGCTTGTTTAGCGCTCATTTTAGTGTTATTTGATTCCAGAAAGAAAAGGGGGAAAAACTTGTTTGACCAGGAAAAATTGTAGGAGTAAAGTGATAAAAGTTTGGGAGTGGTATACCAGCATGCAGTTACCTGTATTTTTCGCTCTATAAGGCGCACCAGACCATGAGACGCACCTAGTTTTTGGAGGAGGAAAACAAGAAAAAAAATATTTTGAATCTCAGAAACCAGAACAACAAGAGGGATCGCTGTGCAGTGAAAGCAGCGATCCCTTTTGCTGTTCTGGCTTCTGGGATAGCTGCGCAGCCTGCATTCGCTCCATAAGACGCACACACATTTCCCCTTACTTTTTAGGAGGGAAAAAGTGAGTCTTATAGAGCAAAAAATACGGTACCTTCCTGCTGTTTTCATGGGGGAATCCTGTGGCTGCCGTAGAGTGTCTTCTGTTTCTGAGTACTTTGGGCTTAAAGGGACCTTTAATTGTTTCTTTTTATTTCAGGTGGTGCACTCGCTCATGGTCTGATTATTTTATTTTAATTTTTTAATAGATGACGAAGATGCTTGATTTGTTGGAAGATTTCCTGGAATATGAGGGTTATAAGTATGAGAGGATTGATGGTGGCATCACTGGAGGATTGAGGCAGGAAGCCATCGACAGGTTTAACGGTACTTCAGTTTCGGCTTTTCCGTGTTCAAGATGCAGGCCTTGCTCCGGCCCGCAGGTGGCTGGTGGAGAGGCAGTGGTGGTGTAGTGGTTAGAGTGTTGGACGAGGACCTGGGAGACCAGGGTTCAAATCCCCACTCAGCCTAGAACCTACCTCACAGGGTTGTTGTGGTGATTAAATGAGGAGGGGGGGGGACCATGTAAGCCACTTTTCGCTCCATGGAGGAAAAGAGGGGGGATATAAATGAAATGAATGAATGAATGAATGAATGAATGAAGGAATGCTGTGGTGGTGCTGGGGAACCAGCTGGAGCTCAAAGCCACTGAAAGTTTGTAGGATTTGATGTCTTTCCATTGCAAGATACGTAGGATGAAGTGGTTTCTTTGTTATCCAAATGGCCAAAACGGGTTGGGGACTCATGTTATTTAGCTTAATTCTCATGGACTAGCACAGTTTTCATTTCAGCTTTCCATTGGTTAAAGAGCTACCTCTCCTGCTGCGTTGGTTCCCTGGGGGCTCCCCCTGGCTGGCACAGTTTGATTTACTTATATGCCCCTGGTCCCGCTGCAATTCCTTCCTTTAGCTGCAGCCGGTTGGGAGCTGAACAGACTAGATTGTCAGATCAGAAGGAGGCGAGCTCAGAGCAGGGTCTTGTCTGCAGGCTTCTGGACCACTAGAGCTTTTCCTCGCTCTGTTTATCTGCTTCTCACAGCATGCTAGCCCTTCCTTTGTGGCCCACAACTTGAAAATGATGGACTTAAGCCAACACAAAATGAATTTGCTTCTACTGCTGATGGAGCAGTTTAGCCAGCTCTGGTAGGGCTCTATAAATGCCCCAGAAAAGGGTGCTCAGGTTGTCTGTTTCTCTCCTGCCTGCTTCTGGATCACCCCTCTTTGTTTGCCACTAACTGATCTTGTCTTCTCCCCACCCCCCTTGCAGTCAGGGGCACCTGCTGTCCTTACTAACCCCGACACTTCTCTGTCTCCCTATCCCTCTCGTCTCTCCCCACCCTCACCCCACAACTTTGTCGATTTTGTCATCCTCAGCACCCGGAGCTCAGCAATTCTGTTTCCTGCTCTCCACCAGAGCCGGAGGTTTGGGCATTAACCTTGCAACAGCCGACACAGTCATAATTTACGATTCTGATTGGAACCCCCACAATGACATTCAGGTTAATTCCGTTGGTTCTCCCTTGCTGCCTTTGTAACCCCCAGAGTAAAAGGCACCCCGCTCACACCTGCCATCTCCCAACCTCCCATCCTCCTCTTAGCATCCTTTGCCTCATTCCCCACCCCCTACCAATCTTGCTGGGGTCCCAAGAAAGCTCCCCCCATCCCTGGCTCCAAAGCAAGTTGCTGGTGTTTCCTAGAAATGCATGCCTGTTTTTCTGACTTCGCTCCTCCTTCTCCTCTTGTATAAATCTTTCCTTCTCCCCCTCTCTGCCCACTGCCATTTTCACAAGGAAATGTTCTGCTGGCTGGTTTTTGTTTTTTTTGTTTTTTTGCTGTTTTTCCTTTGCTTCAGCATTTGCTCCAGATGTTCCTCATTTTATTGACGGCTGAAAAATGAAGTTGCTGAAATAATTTATCCATTTGGGGTGTTCGCATGACTAAGGCTGCATTCACACAGCGGTCTACTCCATTTCCCCTGTGTTTCCCTAACTGTTAATTTCCACGTTATATTTGAGCTTTCAAGCACAAAGGCCCTCTCCCCTCCTTTGGCTTCCAGAAACCGGTGTTCAGAAGGATTTCTGCCTCCAACCATGGAGGTAGAACATTGCCATTGTGGCTAGGAGTCATTAATTGTCTTCTCCTCCATGAAAGGCCCTCCATGTTATTCTGAAACATCTCATTGCTCATCCATCCAGGCCTTCAGCAGAGCCCACCGGATTGGGCAGAATAAGAAGGTGATGATCTACCGCTTTGTGACGAGGGCTTCCGTCGAGGAGCGCATCACCCAAGTGGCCAAGAGGAAGATGATGCTGACACATTTGGTGGTGCGCCCGGGCCTTGGCTCCAAGTCTGGCTCCATGACGAAACAAGAGCTGGATGACATCCTGAAGTTTGGCACAGAGGAACTGTTCAAGGACGATGTTGAGGGTGAGATGGCTGTGCTTGAGGATCCATGCATGAGTGGGGAAGGGTGGCAGCGATGGGGGAACCATGGATGGAATCTGGAACCTTCTGCATGCCAAGTAGGTGCTCTGCAACTGAGTCACAGTCCCATTCCAACATAATAAGCTGCCTTATGCCTAGCCAGACCATTGGTCCAGCTTGCTTAGTATTGTCTGCACTGACTTACAGCAGCTGCCTAGTGTTGCAGATGGGGGTCTTTTGCAGCTCTACATGATGTCCAGGACTGAGCCTGGGGCCATCTGTGAATTACTCTATCTCTGTATTTGAAGGGCCAAGGTTCTAGACACCTCACTTACTTGAAGGATCAAATTTATATACACATCATGCAGTTGAAGATCCAGGATCTAGATACCTCAACAGTCAATGGGCTCAGGTTCAAAACACCTCAACCAGTTGATGGACAATGGTTCTAGACACCACAGTCAGTTGGATGATCCAGGGTCTAGCTAGCTCAACCAGTCAAAGGGTTCTGGTTCTAGACACCTCAAACAGTTGAAGAACCAAGGTTCTAGACACCTCAGCCAATTGAGCTGTACTTGGACTTAGTGGGCCCAAGTTGCAGTGAGAATAAGTGGAGTGTTTGTTTGCTTGGCACAAACCTGTAACACTCACATTTTTTCCTCGCTCCCAGGGATGATATCTCAGGCCCAGAAAATTGGCATACCTGAGGCCATGACCCCTTTCATGGAGGCACCAACCTCCAAAGGTGGGACAGTGACTCCTGGCATGAAGAAAAAACATGGCCCTGCTCCACCAGGTACGTGAAGGACAGAAGGCACAAAGGCCACCAATGCTGACATTCCTTTTTTGCTCTGCAGTTTGTACGTGAGAAGCTAAGATGAGTTGTCAAATGGGGCCCTTCTTGTCCAGCCTCCTCTTCTCACTGTGGCCAACTAGACACCCCAAAGGGAAGCCAACCAGCAGAACTTGAGTGCCTACAGCTTCTGAAAGTGGGGGCAGAGCACAGCCCTTGAGACTAGTAGCTGTGGATCGCCTTATCCAACTTGAATTTATCTAACATTCTTTTGAAGCCTCCCAAGTTGGGGGCCACCACTTTTTCTTGTGGGAGTGAGTTCCACAGTTTTAATTATGCACCGTGTGAAGAAGCAGTTTCTTCGGTCTGTCCTGAACCTCTCAAAGCTCAGGATGGCTCCATTAAGTTCTGATGTCAAATGAGGGATAGAAGAAGTTCCCCCCACCCACTTTCTCCTGCACATGATCTTATGCACCTTTTTGTTCTCACACCTTTCTTTTCTAAACTAAAAAGCCCCAGGCATCGCAACCTTTTCACACAATAGAGTTTGCCACAGTCCTCTGATCATGGGAACTCCTTCCTGCAGGAAAACTAATGGCCACCAACCTAGATGGCTTTAAAAGAGGCTTGGACAAATTCATAGATGGGAAGGTTGTTAATGGCTACCAGCTTCAACGGCTAAGCTCTGCCTCCATGGTCGGAAGCAGTAATGCTTCTGTTTGCCAGTCTCTGGAAGCCGCAGGAGGGGAGAGCACTGTTGCTTGTGGACTTCCTACTGGGGCATCTGTTTGGCCACTGTGCTGGACCAGATGCTGGACCAGATGGGCCATGGGCCTGATCCAGTAGGCTCTCCTCACACGCGTATGTTCTCCCTCCCAGGTGACAATAAAGACGTTGAGGACAGCAGCGTGATCCATTATGACGACGCAGCCATCTCAAAGCTCCTGGACCGCAACCAAGATGCCACTGACGACACGGAGCTGCAGAACATGAACGAGTATCTCAGCTCTTTTAAAGTGGCCCAGTATGTTGTGAGAGAAGAGGATGGTGTGGTAATGCGTTCAGAGTCATGGTTTACCTTCCTTTTCAATAAGTTTGCTTATTTCAGGGTGTTGCGTTTTTTAAAAACACACAAAGCAAAGTTGTGCATGGCACACTAAAATCTACACGTAGACACCCACCCACCCACCCAACTTTCTAAAATGGTGCAAATAAAACATATAAACAAATCTTGCTGAACGCCTAAGGACAGTAATACCCATCTGCCATTGGAATCTGTTCATCGGGGCACCAAAGAACACTCCGAGGGCAGAGATTGGTGGTGGTTTGTGATTCCGCCATCTTGAAAATCTTCAAAGCCCAAGCCAAACCCATGTTTCTAGCCCTTAAGTGTTTACTCATTTGTTTATTTCACTGTGTTCATGAATCGCTTCCCATGAAATACTGTACCTCTGAGTGATTTAGCAGTAAAGTCACATCCAGGCAGCAAAGGTTGCCATGTAACTGAAGTGCTGGAGCAGCTAGTTCATTTATTGTCCACCCTTCGCCGTAAGGTCCTAGTTACAACATGAAAACACAATGTGAAAAACAATTAAGAACAACTTGCCGCCATGAAAAGAAGGTGGGTCCTAAAAACAAACTCCTCAAGTGTCAAAAGCCAGGGTAAAGAGGTGCAACTTCAGCATTGGCTGGAAGCTGTGCAATGAAGGTGCCAGACACACCTCTGTGGGGAGGCATTTCCACAGCTCAGGGGCCACCATGGAGGAGGCCCTCTTGTGGTCCACCCCCTTCTGAAGAGGAGCTACCAAGAGGGCCCCCTCTGCTAATCACAGCACCAGTGAGGGTGTGTAGGGAAGAAGGTGGTCTTTCAGGTATTTGGGTCTTGAGTTATGTAGGGCTTTTAACATCAATGTGAGCACCTTGAATTGGGCTGGGAAATAACCGGCAGCCGGTGTGGCTGTTTTAAAGCAGGTTATATGTGATCTAAATGGAACCCCGGCCAGTAGTAATCTGGCTGCTGCATTTTGGAGCACCTGAAGTTTCCAAGTAGTCTTCAAGGGCAGCCCCACGTAGAGTGCATTGCAGTAATCCAGTTTGGAAGCTTCTTTCTTTCTTTCTTTCTTTCTTTCTTTCTTTCTTTCTTTGACTACAGCCCTGCCATCATGCCCCATGCGAGTTTGTCCTTTAGGGAATGGTTACTGCCATCTCTCAAAGCTGTGGTTTGAGAGCTGTCCCCTTCTCCCCTCTTCCACTTGTAGGAGGAGGTTGAGCGTGAGATCATCAAGCAGGAGGAGAACGTGGATCCCGACTACTGGGAGAAGCTCCTGAGGCACCACTATGAACAGCAGCAGGAGGATCTGGCCCGTAACCTCGGGAAAGGGAAGAGAGTCCGGAAGCAGGTCAACTACAACGACGCCTCGCAGGAGGACCAAGGTGAGGCTGTTGTGGTCTAGGGGTGGCAAACCTGCAGACCTCTGGCTGCTGTTGGACTCCATTGCCCATCAGCCCATGGCCAGTGGCTAGAAATGGATGATGGCAATTGTAGTCCAGGAACTTCTCTCAAACATATGCACTCATCCTATCCAGTAACTTGAAAACTAGTTATTCGCGGACAATCTTTCCAGGGGTGTCCCCACGTTACACTGTACATGGGTGCAAGATACCTGTAAAGGGGTTCAGCTACTCGTGAGAAAGAGCCTACACATGTTTGAACTCGACATGTGCAGCTGCCCCCTGAAAGAAGATGTATTTTGCTCGTACAGTGACCCTCTGTGCATTCTCTCCATGGGGCTGTGATCCTGACCAGTTTTCTTCTGTGTGGTTTAGCTGTGATTCCTTCATGGCAAGGATTGGACTAGATGGCTCTTTGGTTTCCTTCCAACTCTACGATTCTCTGATTCTAAGTGAGCATTCAGGGGAAAGGATGGGAGAAGCTTTCATCTGTCCTTTGAGAGTTTCCTTGCTGCTCACATTTTTAATGTAAGGGTGACCAACCTGGTGCCCTCCAGATATTCTGACTACAACAACTCCCCTCAGCCGCAGTTGGCATGGCCTGTATCCAGGGAGGATGCAAGTTTTGAAGTCCAAAGCATTTGGAGGTCACCGTGTTGACTACCCCAATTTAATAAGTTCCAGATATTTTTTAATGCTGCCAATCAACCCCAATGTTCTCTGTGCTGCTGGGTACATTTTGAAAAGGGGGGGGGAGGGGAGGAATGGCATAAAATACAACTTGGATGTAAAATCAGAACTAAATTTAAAAGAAATCAGAATCAAAGCCAAGTTGAAATCAGCAGACAATGATGCTTTTGATTTACCAAGTGGGGTGCCTAACCTGTGAGATCCCTCCAGCTGAAGCCCAATGGCAAATCCCAACACAGTACAATTGCATCTTGCACAAGGCTTACATTCTGGGATGTCGCGTATACCCAAACTGGCCCCTTGGAAAAGCCCCTGAGTGACCATCGACTTACCCAGTGCACCAAAAAAACATATTAAATGTTACACGTACATATGGAACGTTTGCAACCATCAGTCAAGAGAATTAACTGGCCCCTATTTATGGGTGCATTGATTTATTTGCAAAAATGCTTTAATGTAATGTAAAGCTATTTCTGTGAAAACAATTTTAAAAAACCCCAACAGTATTCAACCACTTTTCCTAAAAGCAAGTGTAAAAATCAAAGAAGAATATGCAGCTGCAAGCCATAAATAAAGCTGGCGTGTGCAGAGAACAAAAGAAATCAAGAACAAAAAGTCCAGGAAAGTAGAAATCCATGGGTAAACATGTATGTTTTTCATCTGCCTAACAAATTACTTGGGGGGGGTGGGCATTCCCGAAGGTGTTTGCTGCCCACTAGAACGGCCCACTGCCACGTTGTCACCAAGTGACAATCTGCTGATCATTGCAGTGAGCAGCAGGGTCTTCTTGAAAGTTCAGCTTGGACTGTGTTTGGGGAGGTGACCTGCTAGGTATCCCCCCCCCAAATTGTTTAAGTACCTTTTAAATGTCAACAACCAAATCTTGACCTTGGCGGGCTTAACCTTTGCCTCTTGTGTTGTTGTTGTTTAAATATCCGTTGTGAGGAGATGATTATTATGATGCTTCAAACGTTCACGAATGTGAGTTTGCGCTTGCGGCCCAAAGTGGCAGAGTCCTTGCAGCCCCTTGAGGACTCTGCCACTTTAGCCTCCTGCTGCGCCCAGCCTCGAGCCTCCTAGCATCGGACCCCTTGCTTCTCCCTCTTGAGACCCCTCCCTCTCCTCTGCCGGCAGAGTGGCAGGACGAGCTATCCGACAATCAGTCTGAGTACTCCATCGGCTCTGAAGATGAGGACGAAGACTTTGAGGAGCGGCCCGAAGGTCAGAGTGAGTCAGACCTTTGTTACTTCGACGACACCCTGTCCCTTTCTTTGTCTGTGCTGACATCAGCCAGGCATGTTCCAGCAACTGCTCTTGGGCCCTTAGAGGCTGATCCTGGCAGAAGTGGGAGCAAAGTGGATGGACAGCAGACATTTGCTCAGGCATCCTCGGAATCCACTGTGGGTGTTGGAGCAAGGCAGAACAGGGTGCAAAGGAAAAGGGGGGTCCTAATTCCTTTGCACAGTTACCCCTGGTTGACCCTGCAGACCTGGAACTCATCTTTAAAGTCCAGCCTGCAATCTTCCTTGTCATTTCTCTCCCCCTGGCCCCCCCAATCTTTGCTCAGACCAGTGGCTCCCAAATTTTTTTTTGTCCTCCTCCCCCTTTGTTGCATAAACCCATTCCCATTGCCCCCTATAAAAAGCATGATTCCGAACAGCAGTTTGCACGACCCAGCATGGAAGAGAAGAACACGGTAAAATTCAAAACAGTCACAATTAATTGCACGTCTATTCAAAATCCAATTAAAAGTATTAATTGGAAAAGATTTATGCTTGATGTTGTCTCTGGTAATTTCTCTCACTTACAGCATGGATGCTGGGTGGATGTTCTGTATTATTTCATTAATACTATTGCTACAAAATTGCTGAACTTGATCTAGCGACACCATTCTGATAGTCACTTGCACCTCCAGCACCTCCCTGTCACCCCCTTGCCTCTTAGTGCCCCCCCGGAACTCCCCCCCACCTCGCAGGTGGTACCACCCACTTTGGGAACCACTGGTTTAGACCACCCTTCCATAAGCTGATGGCCTCCAGATGTTTTGGACTACAACTTTCATCATCCCCAGTCATCACAGCCATTTTGGACCACAGCTCCTATCAGCCTCAGCCAGCAAGGTCATTTCAGACTACAACTCCCATCAGTCCCAGAAGGAGCAGCTGTTCTGCCTGGGGCTGATGGGATTTGTGGTCCAAAAGATCTGGAGGCACCAGCTTTGGGGAAAGGCTGACCTGGTCTGACCCCGTGGAAAGGAGGAGAAAGTTCCTTCCATTTTGGCAGTTCTGTACAAGAAAGGCTTTGCTGACGTTGTCTCTCCTAGATCATTACTGTAGGATCTCTGCCTATCTTGCACACACTTTCTCTGTTTAAAGTACCTTTCTCTCCCATCTTCATAAAGAGAACACCATCCTAAAAAACAAAGAAAGTGAGCTTCATTCTTGGCTGAGTGGGAATTTCAACCCTGGCCTCTCCAAGATTTTAGTCCTCATTTAACCCCCACAACAACCCTGTGAGGTAGTTCAACCCAAGATCACCCAGCGAGCTTCATCGTGGCCAAATGCTCTCCCAGGTCCAGTCTAACACCCTACCCAATAAAACATCATCATAGCCTCTCAGCCCTCCTGGCTCACAGCTGAAGACGCTCTGAGAGTCAGCGAACAAAGCCTAACCTGGAAGCCCTGCCCTATATTCTGGGCTGAGTCCTTGCAGCGATGCTTTCGGAATGCAGGGATGCTCTGCTGTGGTGTGTGCAGCATTCAAGTCTTCATTTTTGGTCCTCGGTGGATCCCAGTTCACATCGCTTAGCTTAGCGTAGAACCATGCATTATTATATTTTTAAGTGCCCTAGAATGTCTAGAGCACCGCCTCCCTCCACAGGGCATTTTCGAGGCTGCAGCTTTCTCCTAGGATCTCAGCTTATTGACACGGGATCTCTCTGACGCTCTCTAGGTGGCCGGCGGCAGTCCCGAAGGCAGCTGAAGAGTGACAGGGACAAGCCCCTCCCACCGTTATTGGCGAGAGTCGGTGGGAACATTGAGGTACGTCTTGGACAATGCTGTTCATGGCGATGGCCCGGTGGACAGAGCTGTTGGCTAGTGGAGCGGACTCTCTAGAGAGGTGATGGACCCTCTTTCATTGGAGATTTCCAGACTTTAGATGTCCATCTGCCAGGGATTCTGTAGCTGTGATTTCTGCATTTCGGGTGTGTGTGTGCTAGATGACCCCTGGGGTTCCTTTTCCAGCCCTACAATCCCATGCTGCTTTGCCTCTTTGTCCTAGGCATCTGAGAATGCCATCTTTCCCCATATCCTCCTTCCTCTCCACCCTTCCCTGCCTCTCTTTGCAGGTTTTGGGTTTCAACGCCCGCCAGCGGAAAGCATTCTTGAACGCCATCATGCGCTGGGGGATGCCCCCTCAGGACGCCTTCAACTCCCACTGGCTGGTGCGGGACCTCCGGGGGAAAAGCGAGAAGGAGTTCAGGTACTGGGTGTCAGGGAATGGTCTGAAGGCAAGGACTAGGGAGTGCATTCTACAGCAGACCAGCTTCCCTCTGATGGAGAGCTGGCAGGGGAAGAATCGCAGAGAAGAGAGAGAGGCAGAAGCTGAACAGCTTAGTGGGGAGTTACCCAGTTATGAGATAATGACGACAGAACCAGAAGGGAGGGGGCAGCTAGTTGACACGTCACTTGAGAGCGTGGAGGATTCCCCCTCCCCTCGGACTCAGAGGTCTGAGGGGGAAAATGCTGCGGAAACCGGAAAGCTGATTAGACTAGGCAACTGCCCTCCTTGCGGAGAGCTGTGTATTTGTGCTTGCAACATGATGCTGTAATAAAAGGACTATAAATCTATCAACTGCTTGTTAATTCTTATCTGTGAAGTTGCAAAGGGAGGGGAGGACTCTCCACGCCTGGCACTGGGGGTGCCCCACGACCCTTCTCTCTTCCTGCCCTTGAGACCTGTTTTGGAGTAGTCACTGGGAGCCATGGCAGAGAATGGATGGACTTCTGTGGAGTGGATTTCCCATGCACTTTGCTTGATTCCAGCCTTTTCTAGACCAAAGCAGACTTGTGGGATCTCCTTTGTGCTTTTGCTAGGATTCCAGGATCCACCACCTGGAACTCTGGGTAGAAGACACGGGGTGTTGGTTTGATTACTGGATCTAAGCTGAGTCTTTCCACACAGAGATCTATCCCTGCGTAGCTCAAGCTGTCTAATTTATGGATTGGGGCAGTTGCATCTATTTTGACTTAAGACAATGGAAGCCATTTGCCCTGGCGTCTCCCTCCCTCCTGTTTGTTTCCTCCCCAGGGCCTACGTCTCCCTGTTCATGAGGCACTTGTGCGAACCTGGGGCAGATGGGGCGGAGACCTTCGCTGACGGCGTCCCCCGTGAAGGGTTGTCCCGGCAGCATGTGCTGACCCGAATTGGCGTGATGTCGCTAGTAAGGAAGAAGGTGGGTCAACTCTTACCTTGAATTATTTCCTGCTAGGCTTGCTCCCGAGAACTCAGTGAGCTGATGGAAAAGTCATTGTAAGACTGTTTATATGGCTTTAGTTGGGTCCAAGGTGACTTCTACATGTTACCCAATGTTGCTTTCATAGCTGATGGGAATTGTGGCCCCAAATGTCTGTAGGGCACCAGGTTGCAAAAAGTGAGATTAAGTTAACTGATGTAGCACTGCAGGAATGGTTTTCACCTTCTGTTTAATCAGCAAGGTGTTTTGCTCTTTCCTGTTTTAGGGGTTGTTGTTTTTTTGGGGGAGTTAGTGTGAAATGACCTTCATTTTTGTGTTTGAGTTCTGAGTCATCATTGCTCTGATGATGACATCATTAACCTGAATATAATTGCCTGGATAATGGCATCATTAACCTGAATATCACTGCCTGTATGATGACATCATCAACCTAAATTAGGGCTGCCATACGTCCAGGATATGTCAACAACTTTGCCCCACCCCCCAAAAAAGAAAGAAAGTTCAACAACCTCACTGTCCAGATTTTCACATTTTGAAATATGGCAACCTTAACCTAAATATCATTGTCTGGGTGATGATGTCATTAACCTGAATATCATTTCATTTTATTCACAACCTTTTGTTTCTGAAGCTGCTTCTTATACCCTGTAAGAAACGGTGTTCTTTAAACTTTAAGAAATAAATGGATTCTCTCTCTGTGGGGGGGTCTAACCCTATGTTCCTTGCACCTTCTCTCCCCCTACCCTGCCCATTCCTTGATCCAGGTTCAAGAGTTCGAACCTGTCAATGGGAAATACAGCACTCCTGACCTCATCCCGGAAGGCCTGGAGAGCAAAAAGGGAGGGGAGGTTCTCTCTTCGGACCCAAACACGCCTGTCCCAGCCAGCCCAGCTCATGGGCAGGTGGGGCCCACGTTGCAACCAGGTATGGCTGAAACATCCCCACCTGGAACCCTGGAAAGCCACTGCCAACCCATGTGTAGAAAAGACTGGGCTAGACTCAACATCAGGCAGCTGCTGGATTGATATACAGTGGTACCTCGGGTTACATACGCTTCAGGTTACAGACTCCGCTAATCCAGAAATAGTACCTTGGGGTAAGAATTTTGCTGCAGGATGAGAACAGAAATCGTGCTCCGGCGGTGCGGCAGCAGCAGGAGGCCCCATTAGCTAAAGTGGTGCTTCAGGTTAAGAACAGTTTCAGGTTAAGAACGGATCTCCGGAACGAATTAAGTACTTAACCCGAGGTACCACTGTAATGCAAATCGGGGGGTGGGGAAACTTTGATCCTCCAGATGCTACTGAACTACAATTAGGGTTGTAAAAACCAGTACAACCCGAAAGTTGTTGAACTTTTCTTTCAGGTTTTTTTTTAAGACAAACCCCAAAGTTGTTGAGTGATTTTTCAATTGACTTGCCTAAGATCCAGGATGTCAATTTCACCTTTGGAATCCCAGTAATGTCCGGGAAAATCCAGGCATATAGCAGCCCTGCTACAATGCCTATCACCCTTGGCCATTGGCCATGCTCGCAGGGGCTGATGGGAGATGAAGTCTAGCACAACCTGGAGGGCCACTCCTGATACAACGATGGCTAATGGCTGTAGAAACAGAACCACCAGCCTTAATAATTTCCATGCAAGAGCCTAGAAAGCGATTTTTTGTGTGCAGGATTTTGCCAAGCTGCCTGTATTTCATTTCATCTTGTTTCAGACAAAGTGGATCCACAGCCAGGGATCCCCCAGGAAAAAGATCCTTTGGAGCAGAGGGCAAAAAAGCCACGGGAGAGCCAGGTAAGGGCATATCCCTTGAGCTAGGAGGGGCATCCTTGGGGCACAGATGGGGGACTTGGTGTTGCAAGTGGGACATTGAGATGTTGCAGATGGGTTGTTGGCAGCAGGTTAGTTAAAATAATAATAATATTGAATTTCACCCAGAAAGGGATAACCCAGAGTAAACTGGGAAAATATATGGGTTGGCATCAAGAAAATACTACTAATAATAACAAAGAAGAAAACAGAAGGGTAGAAAGAGCAGTGGGGCTGATCCACTAGGGCGAATAGGGCACTGACCCACAGACCGCAGTCTACCTTTCAACAGCCCCCATCAGGATTAGACAAATTCATATTGGAAAGAGCCTGAGGTGATGGAAACTCTGCTTTATGTTAAGGTGCCGGTGAACAGAGAGAAAACGGAGAAGGACGAGAAGGAGGAAATTGTGGTGGGACAAGCAAAACCGGGCGAAGAGAGCATTGAAGAGGGCGAGAGGGCAGAGCCTGTCCCCGAGCAGCCAGCAAAAGGTGTGGGGCTGATGAGATGCCGTGGGGAGGTGACAGTGCAAGAGCAATGGGTTTTGGGGGTTGACCGGTGCCTCAGAATGACCCATCAAACCGGACCCTGCTCTAGTTCACTTGATGTTATTTTGTACCTGGAATAGTGAGCCAGTGTGAGGAACATTCAAAGCAAATATTTATTGTCAATGACCAGCACTAAGAAAGAAAGCACGTAGAATTATCTAAATGTGAATAATAGGGTGCAATAAAAAGTAGTGTAAATAAAGCTGCCTCGCATCATAGTGTGCACATCCATAGGATGAGGGGCTATATTATATGACCACACAGCACATAGCTAATCTATGGAACTCACTTCCACTGGAGGCAGTGATGGCCAACAACTTGCATGGTTTTAAAAGCGGAAGATGAGGCTATTATTATATTTGGGACGAGACAGTAAGGCCCCAAAGAGGGCCATATTATCCCCACTGCCCCAGGTGCCCATTCCTGATGCAAAGCTGCATTCATCTCCTTGTTGGCTGATGCGAGGCTTTGCTTCCTTCCCCTCCTCCCTGCCTACCCCCCACCCTGCCCAGCTCCTGCAGATGAGGCCTCCCAGGAGAATGAAAAGCCAGCCGCAAAGTCGGAATCAAACGCCAGCCCTTGTAAAGGAAGCAGTAAAGAACCCAAGTCAGGTAAGAAGCCCCCTCTTCAGCTTTTACCCAGCTCAGCATGCACAGTCATAAGCAAATGTAACTTTTCCTTTGTTTCTCATATCAAGGGTCAAAAGGGCTGTGTCCTGTGGCTGTCCCTTTGGCCGCTACTGCAGATCCTGCTTGGGCTCCTCCCCACCAGCTTCTTGAGGGCCAGGAACTTGCTCAATTTCCTCCAAAATCAACAACAACAACATATTATTTATACCCCATGCATCTGCCTCGGCTTCCCCAGCCACTCTGGGTGGCTTCCAACAAAATATTAAAATACAGTAATGCATCAAACATTAAAAGCTTCCCTAAACAGGGCTGCCTTCAGATGCTTTCTAAAAGTCTGGTAGCTGTTGTTCTCTTTGACATCTGGTGGGAGGGCATTCCACAGGGCGGGTGCCACTACCGAGAAGGCCCTCTGCCTGGTTCCCTGTAATTTGGCTTCTAGCAGCGAGGGAACCGCCAGAATGCCCTCAGCGCTGGACCTCAGTGTCCGGGTAGAATGATGGGCGTTGAGACGCTCCTTCAGATATACTGGACCAAGAAATCCTTGATTTTTCAGGATCGATTTGCTTTCTGTCCTGCGCAAGTGTTCTGAAAGGTTTCTTAAATACCCCACTGTTACAACTGCAATGTGGGCAGACAGAGGTCCCTGCTGCACTTGGGGCCCCTAGATGAGGTTTGCCAGGATAAAAGTCAGGGCATCTTCTTCCAGCTGGGCATGGCTTGAATGCCAAGCTCACTCTGGAGCATAGAAGGCACCTTTTAGGGGCCGTGAGGGCTTCAGTCCCCACTATAAAATATTTGAGGGAGATGGGCGAATGGTGTGTGTGTGCACTGTGTCATGTGATCGATTATGTGAGGTGGGACTCACCTGGGCCCCTACAATGTTTTATTCAACTTGGCACCCCTGCTCTGGAGAACCTGCTCCATCACACACTTGAAGGCTGCCAGCTTGGATGGCTTTTGAAGAGGGTTGGTCAAATTCATCGGGGAGAAGAAGGCAATCAATGGGAACCAGCCATCATGGCTATGCTGTGCCTCCAGTGTCAGAGGATGTTTCTGAATCTCAGTTGCTGGAAACCACAGTGTGGGGAAGGAGGGGGCTCTTGTGCTCAGCTGCTGCTTGTGGTTTCCATTCATGGGCATCTGGTTGGCTACTGTTCTCCGCCCCCAGCAATTAATGAGTCACTTTTGATTAGCAATGAGGGATTACCCTGCAGAGAGCCAGTGCTAGGACAGGCAGACTTGATGGATTCCATCCACTTTACTCGGGATATTATTAATTTAGCAGCAACTAGCCATCGTTATATAGAACCCCTGCATGACTCTGGTCTCCCTAAAGATTTCATTTGGTCTGCATTGTTAAGCAATCCCCCTCCAATTCACCCTCTTTTTATGCTTTTCTTTATTGAAAAATAAAACATACATAACGACAAGTGTGCAGAGTAAGACAGAGGAAGAGGAGGAGGAAGAAGAAGAAGAGTACCCATGTAGAAAACAAAACAGAACAAAAAAAAGTTATTGTAATTAACCGGACCTTAACCTAATACAGCATTTATAAAAATGAATTCCCCCTGGTTGTCACTGTGAGAATGGGGTGCTGGACAGGATGGGCCATTGGCATGACCTATCAGGTCCTTAGTATGTTCTTATGTTTGTGTTCTTGTGATGGGGTTCTCCTGTGTTTTGCTAAGCAGATGATGCCAAGGCAGAAGAAAAGGAGCTGTCAGAGGCTCAGCAGAATGGAGAAAAGGAGGAGGAGGAGGATGGGAAGAAGGATGACAAGAGTGGGATCCGATTCATGTTCAACATCGCTGATGGGGGCTTCACAGGTACACGCGAGCAGGCCCCAACCTCCTGGAAAGCCAGCCTCCCCCTGTGAGATCCTGGTGGCTCAAGCTCCGTTCCTTCATTGGTTAAGACTGGAGGCATGCTTCATTGTTACCATCTCAGCCCCATATTTTTGGTTGGAGGTTGGGAAGCTCAGAGCAGTGACTTATACAGAGACACAGCGAGCAGCGCTCTCCTCAGAAGGAGAGGGCAATTCTGATCCAGTCGCATATGATGCATTACCTTCCCCAAGCAGAGGCTGAGAGGAAGGATGCAAAGCTAGGGCAGCAAGCTGGGCAGAGACACAGCAGGCAACCTCCTCTGAGGGCAGATAATTCTGCCGTGCCCTGCACAGGGAGTGACTGATGCAGAGACATGGCAGAATTGCTTGCCCTCTAACTGGGAGGAGGAGGGAAGGACAGAGCAGTGCGTTATGCAGAGATGCGACAGGCAACATCCTCTAAGTGTACATAATTCTGCTATGCATTGGGAATTGTGCATTTCAAACTACTGATTTTTACTGTTTGGGATTTGTTGTCTTAGACTGTACACCCTGTGGGGTAGATTTTCTTATTTCAATTGCGTACAGAGCTGTGTACATTGATGGCGCTATATAAATAACTGTTCAGTATTAATATCAATAATATTGGTAATAAAAATAGTAATAATAATGCTGATGATGAATTCACACAGAGCCATAACACAGGATCAGAGGTAAGGCAGAGCCCTGGCAACCCGCATAGAAATGTAGGGAAGGGACCCTTAAGGCCCATCTAGCCCAACCCCCATGCAATGCGGGAACCGCAAGAATTTCTTGGCTTGGTTGCCTGGACTCCTGGGCAGCCTGCTGTCACTGGGCTCCCTGTGGAGTTAATAACAGCGGCCTCCCTTCGAGAGTTTGTGCAAGGCTTCCTACCCACAAGGGCTGTGGAAATGTCAAGCATTATTAAGCCTCCTCTTGACATTCCAGTCCGCAGCTGGTGTGGCGCCTGAAACGCAGCATCTCTCCGCTCTCGCTTTACAGAACTGCACACGCTGTGGCAGAACGAGGAGAGGGCGGCTGTCTCCTCGGGGAAGATTTATGACATCTGGCACCGGAGGCACGATTACTGGCTCCTGGCAGGAATCGTCACGTATCCTTGGCGTGGTTATGGGAAGTCGGGGGTGGATGCGGCAGTGGTTTCCTTCAGCTGCCTCCTGCCGAGTCAGACCATTGCTCCATCTTTCTCAGTATTGCCTACACTGACTGGCAGCAACAGCTCTCCAGGGTTTTATCAGCAATGTCTAGGCAACACGATGACCATGTACATACCCAATAGACAATCTTTATAGAATTTCTTCAAACCATAACAAGTACTTTAGATTCAAAGTCTCTGAAAATCTTTATATGAAGCGAGGAACCGGACTTCGTAAGATGAAAGACAAGCTGTGAAGCTTTTTATTTTCAGTTTATGAAGCAATTCTATATCCTCCCACCAAGCTGACGAAGAATTCTATGAAACAGTAGTCAATATCCAGAATCACTGTTCAGTGCTGGACATCATATTTGCCAAATACACAAAGCTTCACAGTTTGTCTTTCATCGTATGAAGTCTGGTACCTCACTTCATTTAAAGATTTTCAGAGACTTTGAACCTAAAGATTTCATTTTGTACTTGTTATGGTTTGAAGGAATTCTATAAAGATTGTCTATTGCGTATGTACATGGTCATCGTGTTGCCTAGACATTGCCGACGTTCTCTTTGCAACACAGGGGTTTGTTTGGTTACTTATTGCTCTCCAGGGTTTCAGGCAGAGGTCACTCCTAGCCCTACCTGGAGGCGCTGTCGGGAATCGAACCTGGAACCTTCTGTATGTGACGCAGATGCTCTATCCCACTGAGCTACGGCCCTTCCCTGTTCCTGGCCCATGTCCATTTTGCACATATAAGTTGGTCCCACCCTGTTTCTGCATTAATGTGGGCTTATTATTATGTTTTGTTTTAAAAATGCACACAGATTCATACTCAGATCTCTATTTTATCTTGTGTGCACATTTCCAAAGGTACTTAATCCTGAAATGTGCATTTTGGTATGTTTCTTGAGCTGAGGGCTCAAAACAGAGAGAAGTGTGAAATCCAAAGGGCAGTTCACACGCTTATTCGGCCAAGCTGCATACACAGAGATATAATAACCTAGGCAGCTGCCCAATCTGAGTCAGACCATTGGTCCATCTGGCTCAATGTTGTCTACTCTGACAGGAAGGGTCCTACGCAGCCCTACCAGGAGATGGCACTGGGGACTGAGCCAGATGGGCAGCATACAAATCCTTATTATTACTGGATTTTGTGATGAAAACAAATGCATACCAAAAAAGCATATAACAGGGGCAAGTTCATGCAGAACCACAGTTTTTTCCTCAGCAGATCTGGCCCTGTTATAGCTGCCACATAATACCCATTCCATATTTGTAAGAAATCAATCCTTTAGTGCAGTGGCACCTACACTTTGGAACCCCCTGCCTATTGAGATCAGGCGGACACCTTCACTCTATTCTTTTCGGTGCCTGCTAAAATCATTTTTGTTTTAGGCAAGTCTGCCTTGAGGTTTAGAAAGGTGATGCAAGTTTTAATCTGTTTTCATTAGTCTATTGTTATTGTAACTTTTTTTAAAAAATGAAATTATTGTTGTTAAAAAATTTTAGTGGTCATTTTATTGCTTTATCTTTTTGGTAAACTGCCCTGACGTGGTTTTTTTTTTACAATCAATTTATTTGAAATAAATGAAATATCAGTGAACATGCAAAAACGCATTCCGTTAGGAGGAATGTTCATGAAGATTCTCTGGGATAATCTTCTGTGACAATTGCCCAAGCTGAAGTGGAAATGGGGCAAACCAAATTTAAGACTGGGAAAAGACGTCTTTCTTTTCGTTGGCTGTTCCCAGACTCTGAAACTGTCTTCCTAAAGAAGCCAGACTGGCTCCCACCTTGCTGTCCTTCTGTTAACAGGTGAAGACTTTCTTTTTCCAACAGGCTTTTGGGAACTGACTACTTTTAAGGAAAGGGATGATACTGTGATGTTTTTATTGTTATTATCTGTAGCTGTATTAATGTTTGATTGTTTCTTTAAATTACCCCTCCCTGTTTCTATGTTATCTGTAATCCACCTTGAGTCTCTGTCAGGGAAAAAGGCAGGAATGAATGAATGAGTGAGTGAATGAATGGAGATGTTTCAGATGCCAGATGGTTCTGTTGTTCCCTTAATGCTTCTCCCCTGCTGCCTAAGTCACGGCTACGCGCGCTGGCAAGACATCCAGAACGACCCGCATTATGTAATCCTGAACGAGCCCTTCAAGTCGGAGATCCACAAGGGTAACTACTTGGAGATGAAGAACAAGTTCCTGGCACGGCGGTTCAAGGTGGGTTTCCAGAAATACCCGTTTGAGAGCGACCACGTTTGCAGAGGATAAAACCTATCACCAGGTCTCAGCCGCAGTATCAAAGACGAGCTTCCACGGACAGAGGCAGTGTACCTTTCAGGGTGGACTGATGTAAACTAGGAGCGGGGAGCATTTGTAGCCCTGCAAATGTTGCTGGACTCCCAACTCCCATCAGCCCTGGCCAGAATGATTCAATTGAGGATGTAACACAGCCTGAAGGGTCCCCAGATGTCCTCGCTCCTGGTGCAAACAGACACAATTTAAATGGATGTTTTAAATCTCTGCAGGCTGTCTTGATGTGCCCCCCCATCCGCATCCCCCTGTGTAATGGGATATTGAAAGGATAAGGCTATCAATGGCGACTAGGCATGATGGCTATGCTCTGCCTCCACAGTAGCAGCAATGCTTCTCAATGCCAGTTGCAGGATGCAAGAGCACTCTTTGGGCTCCTGCTTGTGGGTTTTCCATTAGGGAACCTGCTTGGTCACTGTGAGAACAGGATGTTGGACTAGATGGGCCACTGGCCTGATCCAGCGGGCTGTGCTTATGTTCTCCTGGTCCAAGTTTCACCCATTCTGCTGCTCCTTGGCTGCTGCTATCTGTGTCAGAGGCCATCTATGCATCTTGGAGGATTCTGCAAGGTTAACGGCACTGCTCCTCGTATCCTCTTTGCAGTTGCTGGAGCAGGCGCTGGTGATTGAGGAGCAGCTCCGCCGGGCAGCATACCTCAACATGACCCAGGACCCCAATCACCCGGCCATGGCCTTGAACGCCCGCTTGGCTGAAGTGGAGTGCCTTGCTGAGAGCCACCAGCACCTCTCCAAAGAGTCCCTGGCGGGGAACAAGCCCGCAAACGCCGTCCTTCATAAAGGTGGGTGTTTCCCGAAAAGGGACCGCTTTCCCTGCTCCCTTGACTCCCTCCACCTCGTCTGCTTCTCCCATGCCAGTTGGGAGAGTGGTGGCTGTAGGAATAACGAGGACAACAGGAGGTTGAAGGCAGGTGAGTTATGCAGAAGCACACTGGTAAGCATGCTCCAAGCAGGCTGCCAGCTAGTTCTCTAGTAAAAAGGTAAAGGGACCCCTGACCATTAGGTCAAGTCGTGGCCGACTCTGGGGTTGCGGCGCTCATCTCGCTTTATTGGCCGAGGGAGCCGGCGTACAGCTTCCGGGTCATGTGGCCAGCATGACTAAGCCGCTTCTGGCGGACCAGAGCAGCACACGGAAATGCTGTTTACCTTCCCGCCGGAGTGGTACCTATTTATGTACTTGCACTCTGATGTGCTTTCGAACTGCTAGGTTGGCAGGAGCAGGGACCGAGCAACGGGAGCTCACCCCGTCATGGGGATTCGAACCGCTGACCTTCTGATCAGCAAGCCCTAGGCTCTGTGGTTTAACCCACAGTGCCACCCACGTCCCGTAGAGTTCCGTAGTCCCGTAGTTCTGTAGAGGCTCCTTTTATTAGCAGAAGTCAACAATTGGAAACAGTAGTGAAACCACTCTGAACATGATGTATTTCCATCTAAGCACATTTCCAGCATTAGCAAATACACGTGTTAGCAATGTTTTCCTTGATACTTGATTACATCTGCATCCCCGGTCATGCTGCAGCCAAGCATTATGTCTAGTAACCAAATCTGTGAGAGGACAGATGGACAGGGGAAAACCCTGTTTGCTAGCCAAGAAGGCAAAAGGTCAGGGAGCGTGGGCGCAATGCTCCTTGGCACACTGTTGCATGCATGGTGCGAGGTTTGCCTCAGCACAGGTGGAGTGTCACCTCCACAGTGGCTAAGAGAGGAAAGAGCTTTTTCAGGTTCTAAGGGAACCTGAACTCACACTATCAGCTGTGCTGTGGGAGCACTGGCCAAATGAACTACTCGGATCAACCACAACAGCAGCAGCAACAACAACAACAACAACAACTGGAATTTAAATGTCTGCAATCAGTAAATATAACTCTGTGCGTGTTGTGGGTGTGGGAAGGAGGGGAGAGTTTGCACTGTAAGAACACCCCCAAAAGGTGTATGACTCATCTCTCTCTGCAGAGAGGGCGGCCAAGAAGGAAACCAGGCCTCATGGGGATTGGAAGTTGGGGATGTTTAGACCAGAAAAGGGGATATGAATCCATCTTCAAATATTGGAAGGGCTGTCCCACGGAAGATGGAGCAAGCTTGTTTCCTCCTGCCCCAGAGCGCAGGACCCAAACCAATGGACTCAAATTGTAAGAAAGGAGATTCCGATTAGACATTAGGAAGAACTTTCTGACGGCAAAAGCTGCTCAACAGTGGAATGCAGCTCCTCAGAAGGTGGTGGACTCCCCTTCATTGGAGGTTTTTCAACAGAGGTTGGATGGCCGTCTTTCAGGGATTCTTGAGCTATGATTCCTGCATAGATCGGGGGGGGGGGGGTACCTTCCAACTTTACAATTCTGTGCCATGGACTTTCATAGCTTTTTGGGCATCCCATTGGTTACAATTCTCTCTCAGAATCTGATCCCATAATCGGCCCACCAGGCTCACTTTTCTGTATAGGAAAACAATAAACGATTTAATTTATTTTAATTTTTATAAATGCTGTTGCATTAAAGAAACACTAACAATTTTATCATGGGATAGGTTTTCATGGGCTGCGCTGTGCCTTGCCAGATGCACCCACAGGTAATGGATTTCCTATGATGGCACGTACTGAAATAAAATATAAGAAATGGCAGCCTAAGTTACACAGAAGGAAAAATCTGTGGTATTGCCAGATGGGTTGGGTACAGGTGTCTGGGGCTCACAGGTGCCCAACTGTCTTGCAGTCCTAAACCAGCTGGAAGAGCTGCTGAGCGACATGAAAGCCGATGTGACTCGGTTGCCCTCCATGCTTTCCCGCATCCCACCTGTGGCCGCTCGCCTCCAGATGTCTGAGAGAAGCATCCTGAGCCGGCTGACAAACCGGGGGAGCGACCCCAGCATCCAGCAGGTTAGAGGCAGCGTTCAAAGGCATTGGTGCATCAGCACACCCAGAATGCACTCCTGTTTTCTCTAGAAAGCCTTTCCCCACTAATGGGGGGGGGGGCTTGGGTTTTTTGTGTGTGGCCAGATGTTCTGTGTGCAGCGGTAAAGAAAGGAGACAAACCATTTATCCATTTGGGATGCAATTGCATTCCAGATGTCAAAGAGAACAACAACTACCAGACTTTTAGAAGACATCTGAAGGCAGCCCTGTTTAGGGAAGCTTTTAATGTTTGTTGCATTATTGTATTTTAATATTTTGTTGGAATTTTGGAATATTTAGAGTGGCTGGGGAAGCCCAGCCAGATGGGCAGGGTATAAATAATAAATTATTATTATTATTATATTATTATTCCAAACCATATATCTGTTAGGGATGCAATTGCAATTCAGCTGACCCTGTAGCAGTTCAAGCCTATTTCTCATCTTCCCTTACTTGCAACCCCACCCCATTTGAAATTGAGATTATAAATTCCATGGGGCAGAGGGTTGTTCTTTTGCTAAAGTTATTTTGTACACAGCATCAATCGCCAGCAGTTAAAAAAATAATCATTGTAATATTGATGGTTTGTTTGTTTCTAAATGTTATCCACCCAGAGCCTTTGGGGATGGGTTTGGTTTGTGTTTTCAAATAAAGCTCTTCCCCAACTCCACCCTCTCCAGGCCTCTTTTGGCTCCTCCCAGATCTACAGCAACAACTTTGGCCCAAACTTCCGTGGTCCAGGACCAGGTGGAATTGTCAACTACAGTCAGATGCCCTTGGGACCTTACGTGACGGGTGAGTTGAGGTTCCTTTCAGCTGCCCCCCTCTTCTCTCTCTCTCTCTCTCTCTCTCTCTCTCTCTCTCTCTCTCTCTTCTCTTAAGAGTACAAATTTTAAAGTGGGGGCCATGAGTCAAAAAACAAAAGGGCATTGGGCAAGCCAGCTGTTTTCTCTCTTATCAATAGATATTTAGCCGTTTGCAAGAGTTTCCTCTGCAGTTCTCATTGCTACGAGAGGTAAGGCCACGCTTATTACTCTCTGATAAACTGTGTTCTGTCATTCTGTCTTTGGGCAGGGTGGGGGTGGCTGGCTGTGACCGGCTTAGTCTTCCTGCAGGTGGCAAACTTGCAACCTTTGGGGTTTGCGTTGTCACCTGACAGTCCCCTGAGCTTTATGCTGTAATTCTAAGGGTGCTTTCTATGGCGCAATCCCCAGTTAACGCAGCAAGTCTTCGGAGTAAACATGCAAAAGGTTCTACAGCACAACAATCCATTAATTATGCTTAGCCAGTTGAAATTGTAGGGAGTCAAAAGGCACCTGAAACAAAAGGCATTCCTCTGTTAAAAGGATTTTTTTTAAAGAAAGCATGTGCTCAACATGTACTGTTTCTGGTTAGTACAAAAATAAAATCACAATGCAATAAAAATAATCATTTTAAAAACATTTTGCCCAATTAACTATAGCCATCTTCCACCAGCCAATAGGTTCAATAGGAGATCCAACCTTAGGGACCTTGATCAGCAACAGCACCTGGGTGGGCAGATGCAAAATAGGTCAGTGCTTCTCCTTTAAGAGTTGGGGGGGGGAGAGATTTCAGCAGGGAGAGCATGCAGGAATAGCTGACTAGGGATAGCTGATGCGCCTGCTGAAATTCTCTCTTCTTCGGAACTCTTAAGCACCCCCCTCTTTTCCCTCTTGCAGAACTGCCTGCCCCCCAAACTTGCTCCCTTCCATTCTTTGCATGGATTGAAGCTCAGAGGTCACTTGCCCAGATATCCTGAGTCTTAGACCTCACCTCTTCCAGCCTCCTGGACCTGTCTCTCCCAAGAGCTCTCTGGATCCTGACACCTGCACTGCAAAATGGCCTTTACTGGGAGTTGCCTCCACCTTTTAATCATCACCCTATTTTAACAGCCTTGCCCTTTCAAGCCTCAGTAGCTTTTAAAATGTTTTCTTTCTCTAGTCTTATTTCTTTCTATTAAGTTCATATCCCTTCTTTATTTCTCTATTAAACTCATCTCTTGCAATGAACCTGAGAGGGGGACTTAACCATTTACTCCCCCCCCACACTTATCCTCACAAACAGCCCTGCAGGTAGGTTAAGCTCAGGTGGCTGAGTGGGGATTTGAACCCAGGGCATTGCAAGTGCTATTCTGACACTTTAACAACACTACATTCTGCTCTCCTCTAGTGAATAGATCACTAGAGGAGCTGGCTTTCTTCTGAGAATCTTCATAGAGAGATGCCATTTTGGGGGTGAAAAAATTAAATGGATTAGGTTTGAAACCCGGGGCCCAAAATGGTGGTTTACTCGGGGCTACTCATCTTAATCCTCATGACAACCTGGTGAGATAGCTTTGGCCAAGAAAGAGAATCTGCACATCAGACTAATCAAAGAGCTTTTGCTTCTCCTCAGGAAGATGAAGTTATTTAACAAACAGTGGATCTCAAATGGGGAATTGTCAGTATCCTTAGCAAACCACAATTCCTGAGTTTCTTTATTTGGGGAGCTGTGACAGTTAAGTACGCTGTGTTGCTGGTGTATATTTGTTGTGAAAATACTCAAGAGCAAGGACCAATGAATCTGTCGATTTCAGATTATTTCAGTTTCTAATTATTTTCCAGTCTTAAAAAGTCCTCATGCATTTTACCTAATTTACACATTTTCTGCAGTATTTAGTAATATACACATTTTTTTGGCAAGCCATTTAACCTAATACAATCCATTTTTGTTCGATATTTTCACTGCACATTTATTCTTACTCCCTGATCAACAAGAGGACCTTTCCTCTTAATCCATGACTAGCACTCAGAAGTCTTTGGTGCTATAATTCAACCTTAAATTGTGATGCATTCTGTAGGTGCCCCCCCCCCAATGCTTCTTAAGAACTCAACAGATGTTGTTGGCCCAGGGTGCATGGCAGGGGGTTGGACTAGATGACCCTTGGGGTACCTTCCAACTCTTCAGTCCTAAAATTTTATGAATAATTACCCTTTTTCAAATTTTAAGGAAAGGAATTGGCAGATGGTCCATCCACCATTGGGCCCAGTTCTGTGGTTTATCACAAGAACCACTCTGTGGAACCAGGAAACTGGCCAAAAATAGGTTCTTCCTAAGGGGGAATGTCACCCTCAGCCCAGTTTGCTGCTGCTGAGAGTCTTCAGGATTGGGCAGAAACCCAGTTTCCCCACACGGCTTCCAATGGCCTCCACATGGCAGCTACTGCCTGCCTCTTAAGCGGACTCTCATTGATGACAGCACAGGTGTTGCTTCTATCTTTAGGTCCAGACTTCCAGTGAAGAGTTTGGGGAAGCAACCTTCCAGGTCCTCACTTGTTTCACAAGAACGTAAGAAGATCCCGCTGGATCAGGTTCATCTAGTCTAGCATCCTGTTCTCATAGTGACCAAGCAGATGCCCCAAAAGCAGCTGCTGAAAGGGAAGAAAAGGGGCGAGCCAGGGCTGCCCCGACCTTAAATGCCCCCTAGTAAGCCCGCCCCCACCGCCAGCCGATTGGCTGGCGCAGTGAGTGATGAATATTAATGAACCCGGGAATCCTTGAGTCAGCCCCGCGAGAATGTAGATGGGGGCGTGAGCCCGCAACCCCCCCTCCTTATGTCGGGAGTGGCTTTCTCATAGTGACCAAGCAGATGCCCCAAAAGGAAACCAGCAAGCAGGATCTGATCACAAAAGTCCTCTCCCCTCATGTGGTTTCCAGTAACTAGCATTCAGAAGCACACTTCATTTGTCCAAGGGATCCAGGTTGAATCTGAATTAATTGGAGCTTCGAAATGCACATAGACCTAAAAGAGGAAGTGGGAAAGAGCTTCTTTCCCAACTTTCTGCTTCAGCTCTATCTACTTTCCTGACCGAGGTGGGTGTGAGTGGGGAGGGGGCTTCCAGAAGCTCCCTGGGTGGCAGCAGAGTACCTCAAGGGAACTGTTGTGCCCTTGAATGCCAGGTTGACCACCCTTGCACTGGGCCATCCATTGAGCCAGCCTGAAAGGCTTGTTGAAAGTGCTTGCATGTTCATTGGGAAGCTGACTGCCCATGCAGAAAGGTCAAAGTTCCTTGTGGTGTGCCTGTTCTAACTGCCATTCAGGTAATTTGGGGAGTGCAAGGCAATACCACCACTCACCTTCACTGGTCTTGGCCATCTCCATGTCCTCTGTGTGTCACCAGGTATGCCTTTCCCTTGCATCACATGAGAAGGCTGCAATCCCAAATGTAGCTCCAAGCATGCCTTTTTGCATCTTTGGGATTTGACTGCTGCAAATGCATTCCATATGGGGCTCTAGTCAGAGATAAGGCATCTCCTTAACAGGGTTTGAAATCTTGTGGTCCATACTGGCTTCCCTGCTTTTAAAAATGGCATTGGTCAGGCCACATGTCTAATTTACAAATTGACCCTGGCTCATGATGGAAGTACCTCATAGAATCATAGAGTTGGAAGGGACCCTGAGGAACATCTCAGCCCAACCCCCTGCAATGCATCTGTCCCATACAGGGATCAAACCTGTTATGAGGACCACACTCTAACCAACTGAGCCATCCAGGCTGAACTCAGTCCTCGGAACATAATCCCACCATTTTTGTCCTTTCAGCAACACCCAATGGACCACCCTTGAGTCACCTGGATAAAAATGTCCTCGAGCCCCTGAAAGATGGTGCAACCTTAGACTGCAAGGGACAGCATTGCGATGTCATCTGCATCGAAGATTGAAGGCCAGTCTTGGTAGCTCTGGGCTTGCTGTGTTCACATCTCAAAGTGTTCTTCAAAACAAGGACAACCCCCCCGCATCCCTTGGGCCATTTCACAAACTTCCTTGAGACAGCAAGATTTTCACTTCCTTGTATCTTGGGTTTTTCTTTCGCACTTTCTTATCGAGGACTTGAAAGGTTTGTTGGCTGGATTACAAATGGATTCTTCAGTTTTTCGCCTGGATGCTGTCCCCCTTTCATACGCAGCTGATTGAGAGACTGGGAGCAGGTGCCAATGTGCTATTTCTCTCCCCCCCCCCAGGATGTGTGGCAGTCATGACTCAAGTGGAGAACCTTGCTAATGCCTGTTTGGCCTGTGCTTGGAAAAGGTACAAGCTCACTCTCTGAGCTCAGACGTTGAACAGGCCAGGTTGGGTAGACTGAATGCTGCTGCTGTGTGTTGAGGAGGGTCTGAACTGTGGTTGTGCTCAATCCAGATAACATGTCTGAGACTGAGGATGCAACCTGCATTTAAACGAAAAAGCCAACTGAGGTTCAAAAAGAAAATATGGACACCAAGGTCTCTGTCCAGCCAAAGACTCCCGTCGCTTTCTGCAGGAGTTAATTGTTCAGTTAACTCTCTGTCCCATTGAAATCAGTGGGACTTCAAAGTGTTTAATGTTGTTTGGCTAATGGTCACAGTGTAAAAGATTGAAGGCTTTGCAAGGGTCAAGCAATGTGGTTTTTAATTGGCCCCAGTAATGAGGGATATGAAAGCACCAAGCATGTCCTCTTCAAGGCCCATCTCACACGTGTGCATCTGTTGCTTGATTTCCCTCTGCTCAGTGACCGGCAGGTAAATTTGACTGCACCAAAAAGAGTTGTGGTGGTACAAAAGTTCCGTCTTTGGGGTTTGTGAATGCTCATTCCCAAGCAATGCAACAAAGGCCTCATGAGCTGTTCTGCTATTCAGTGATGAATGTGCATGTGTGAACCAGGCTTGGGTGTACCTTGATCAAACTTAAAAGGAGATGCATTAATGTGCATTGGGATGTGAACCACCACACAGTAGAAAGTCCTCAGTGCCCCTGAGCAAAAACCAGGGTGAGGAGACAAGGGGGACGCATCCCAAAGTGAATCTACAAGCGCCCAGATATGAAAACATCAATCCAGAATTGTTGATTTGATTTCGTCGGTCCACCCCTTGCCATGACCACTCTGGTCTTTCCCATAAAATGAAGACAGCTGTATATAGCTCTTCCAGAGTGTAATCTGGGCTTGGTCCCTTTCCACCTGTATATGCTTGAGCAATTTGTTCAAAGGGCCTGGATGCCTTCCTTTTTACCAAGCCTTCACTAGCTCATACAGAATGTGTCAGTGTCCCCATGCCCCTGTTGTCTAAATCCCCAAAATGTGCCCTGATCTACGGAGAATGCCCTCTGCCCTGGATAGGTGATGGCCGAAGTGAAGAAGAGATCAGTTGCCCCAGGGTTCCAGGCAAACAGGAAGGCAAGGCAAGTTCAGCACCATGGAGAGCAGTCAACCTGTGGGTTTGAAGACCATAGTCAGCAATCCTGCAGCTGACATAGGCCATAGGTCTTAGCAATGTCTTGGAGCAACCTTTATAACCAGGGCTTAGTATTCCTTTAAGTAAAGCCCCCCCCCCCCATGCCTCTTGAAAGCTGCATCTGGCCATTTAAAGGGGCAGTGCCTTTCTTTGCATCTGCTGGCTTCTTCTAAGGCCCCAGGGTTTCAAGCTGTGGAGATACCTCCTCAGGGCAATCCTGACCCTTTGAGTAGCCTGCGGACCAAGGTGTTTGGGGTTATTGTGCCTGTGGCTCCATATGGTGAGGACCAGGGAATGGCTCCATCTCCTACTTGGGTCTGCCATTGAAGGAGGACTCTGCCTTTGATGAGTACTGATCTGTGCCCATGACAAAAACCAGTATTTCCCCAACAAGTAGCGCCTTCGTATGCATTTTTGGGGGGTTACGTGAGTATTGCAGGCACCCAGTGGATGATCCTAGGATGTGTGCCTCAAGTCCCTGCTATTTTGAATGTCCCCCCACCCCCCATTTCGGATGCTTTCCTGCTATTTATTTCCCCACTGTGCTGTTCAGAGAAGGTTGCACACTCATCTTTTCAGCGCATGAGCACAACACTCAGTTATTGGGCAATTGTTTTAACAGATGAACCGAAGCTATTCCCTGACGACAAAGCTTCTCCAGCTCCATTCGATTAAGTGAGGGTGGGAGTTTAGTTCCTCATGCTACACACAAGTGCAATGCCAGGAGAGAAAGGCAGAATGTGGAGAAGCCCAGAATAGTTTCCTGTGAGCAGCTCAGGACGCCTTATTAGACTCCTAGATCTTTCTGAACTCTGACATCTGGAAGCCCCATGTCAGCCTTAGCAAACCATGCCCAGGTGAGGGGTTGGCCATTGCTGGACTTCTGATATGCTTGCTGGCTGCTGGAAGTTGGGAGTCCTACAAGATCTGGAGACCCTCTGATGTTGGGGTTGGCCAGAATGGAAAGCACCCCATTTTCCCTCTTCCTGGTCATCGGATTTACTAGTTTTAGCATTGACTCTGCCTGCTTGCCAAACAGTGGCTAGAAGTGTGGTTTTTGCTCTGTACCATTAATGAACTTGGGTCTTAGGAATACAGGCAAATGGATAAAGAGAGGCCTGCCTCTAGGTTGCTCATGTGTAGGATTGACAACAAGCCAGCATTTCATTGCTCTGAGCAGCATATCCATATAGTAAGGTGATCGGTTTTGCAGTCCAAAAACCAGTGAGCTGTAGAGTCTGCTGGGATCTTCCCCTGAGTTTCTTTTGCTGGTTCCACCCACCCCAAGTCCCCACCACCTGCCTGCCGTGACCATTTCCCCCTGGCTTTGCCAAGGGTGTCTCAACTCTTGTTTAAGGACCCCTCTTTCCCCCTCCTCCCCTATCTGAGTAGAAAGTCTGGCTCTTAAGCTGGGAGCATAAATGCAGGTGAGACCAGTTAGATTTCCTAACACGGGTTGTGGGGTAATGAGAAAAGCGTTCCAAGCTACTTTGTCATATTGCTCCTGTGTTTTTATTTCTGTGATACCAGCAAGTGGGACATCAAAGCAGTGCTCTCCCCACCCTTGGGTGGCCTTTCTGGCAAGTTTATAATGCCACAAACTGTGTCTCCCCACCCCTTTGAATTCTGTGAGTGTCTCAAAGGTTTTTTTTCCTGCTTTTTGTTTTTTTTTAAATTTTTGTGTTTTAATAAATCATTTGAAAAAGGAAACCTGTGGGAATGGCTGGCTGGTTCTCCTCCTGGGTCCCACCAAGCTTCTATTGTTTGGAAGATGGGAAGAGGCACATTTACAGAAACACTTTTGACATGACATTTGTGATTGTAAGGAATGAGGAGTCTAGAGTCAACCATCATGATTCAAGTGACCCTGTGGGGCTGGGTTTGGCTCAGGACAGGATTCTAAACAATCCACACAAAAGTACAGTTTCTAGATTTGTTCAAGATTAATAAAATAGCAATATAAGGACTCTGTTGCTCAATAAAGGGGAAAAAAGGTTTTCTTTATTATTATTATTTTTAAAGGTCACTTGGGGATTTGGGGAATATTTGGGACAAAATGCATACACCCAAAACTACAAAGCTTCTTAGCCTAAGCTAGAAGATACATTGCCACCGTAAGAACATAAGAACCACCCTTTTGGATCAGGCCAATGGCCCATCTTATTCAGCCTCCTGTTCTCATAGTGGCCAACCACATGGCTGTGGGAAACCTGCAAGCAGGACTTGAGCCCAAGCACGTTCAGGCTTGCATAGGTGGAATGTTTCTCCTGTGTGCATCCTTGCATATAGAAAACTATCAGCAAGTGCAGTTACACCCCCTCCGCACACACAACCTGTTCCGATCACAGTCCATCAAGGCTGCGAACAGTGGGACCATTGTGGCGTCCAGTCTGCTTCCTCTGGGCCAAACTGCTGCTTCCAGCTACAGCAGAGTATCTTGCGCAATGGTGTGCCTGTGTGGAAGGAATCTCAGCCATGCAGTAAAATTCTCATACAGCAGCTTCCTGTTCTACGAAGCTTTATTTCACAGCAGCAAAACAAATAAACATTCAGTGAGGAGAGAGGGAAGACATGATTCCTCTCCTGTTGCAGCCAAAACAGAAAAGTAAAGATGTTCACATAACAAAGATGCGAACTCACCCCCAGTGACAGGACTGTCATTTCCCTTGAGCTGTTAACCCTGTAAGCTCTGGGTATCCTCACACAATCAACGTTGTAGTTTTCACAGTGTCTAAGCCTGCCCTCACAATCCCAGGCACTCTCTTTTCCCCAGACCTCGTTCTATCCACCCCACTTACTGATGGAGGGGGAGGCTGAGATTCCAAGTCCCAGCCAAAGAAGAATTCAGGTCCCATGATGCTAACCTGGATGTGAGTATTCTGTGCCCTGGCACCCTTATTTCCAAACCTTGGAACATGGAGTTGTGGCTGCAACTCTTTTATTCATATGGACCTGACACCTGGTCTGAATGGAAACAGTTGTGCTCTCTGCATTAGTGGTTAGAGCGGTGGAGTCGTAATCTGGTGAACTGGGTTTGATTCCCTGCTCCTCCACATGCAGCTGCTGGGTCACCTTGGGCCAGTCACACTTTTCTGAAGTCTCTCAGCCTCACTCACCTCACAGAGTGTTTGTTGTGGGGGAGGAAGGGAAAGGAGAATGTTAGCCGCTTTGAGACTCCTTCGGGTAGTGATAAAGCGGGATATCAAATCCAAACTCCTCCTTCTCCTGAAGCCCCGTAGCAGACTATGCCATGCTGGCAATGCAGAAAGTACAGGAACTATTTGGGCTGAGATGGCAGCCAAGCACCATGCGGAAAAGACTGTGCCACCTGTCTCGAAGTATGCACACCACCTTGTGTTAGGGTATTGGACTAGGACCTGGCAGTCCAGTTTTCTGTTGCTGAAGGAGCATTCGAGTCTGCTCCCAGGTGGCTCCCCAGCCTAAATAATATTCTCATTCATAAATGATGCCAGTATAAAATCAGTGAGTGTTGCAAGGAAGAATCCAACCAACACACACACACACATTGTTCATATGACACAGTCTCACTTGCCATTCTTTCCTCATAGGGAGTCAGAGGTGGTGTTGTGGTTTGAGTGTTGGACTGGGACCCAGGAGACGAGGGTTAAAATCCCCACAAATCCAGGAAGCATGCTGTGTGACCCTGGGACCAGTCACAGCCTTATGAAGCTTGCCTACCTCACAGGGTTGTTGTGGGGGTTCAATGAGGGGGAGGACCATGTATGCCACCTTGAGCAACTTGGAGGAAAATACAATCAATCAATCAATCAATCTTGGGAGCTAGAGGTTCGGCCAGGAAAAATATCAATGTGTCTTCCCTTCCTTCTACTCCTGCCATGTGGTCCAGAGCAGAAATGAGAGAGTAACAATCATACTGTGTCAGATCTAAGAATTAAGTAAGGAAAATTGATGTGAAACTCTCCCTCATGGTCCCCTTATGGGTTTTGTGGCAGGGCTGCTTCCTAGCCCTGGCAGTGCTTGTTGTGGAAGGACCGTCAGTCAAATTGCACCCTTCTGGTCTTGGTTTCTGCATTGCCAAATTTGTCTTTCTTTTTCAAATGTTGTCCTCTAGCTATAGGGAGAGGCAGGGAGTCCTCATCTGCCTGGGAATCTTAAGTGACAGCAAGCAGCCGGTTTCTCAGAGAGCTTGGAAGGAGATGTCTGATTGGAAGAGACAAATCCATGTCTGAAGGCCTGAAAGGAAGCAAAAGGTCAGGAGCTGGACATTTCCCCATAACGCTGGAGATCTGGATCTCAGTTGGCTCGAGAAGGGTCTATGGGAATGGCAAAAGAGGCTCCTCTTGACTTCCCTGCCCCCTCCATGCAGCTGATTTTTTTTGGGGGGGGGGCGTGGACTAGAAAAGCTTGTTTCCTGCCTGGGGTTCTGCTGGCCACCACAAAAGCAGAAATGGGAAACCTCAATTGGCTTCAAGTCACCCTGTGTTGGTTGCACCAAGAATTTCCCTTGGAATAGGCCTGTCAGGGGTGCCACAGGTGAGCCACAGGTATTCATAGCATTTGTAGAATCATAGAGTTGGAAGGGACCACAAGCGTCACCTAGTCCAACCCCCTCTCCTATTGCAGAAATCTTTTGCCCGACATGGGGCTCACACCCGCGACCCTGAAATTAAGAGTCTCACGCTCTTATCGACTGAGCTATCTCTTTCTCAAAGGTGCCCTTTTAGCCCCAGAACAAAACTTGAATCAATTGAATGATGAGCCCAGAGTGCAACACACTCATTCTTCCCAGCCTACCTCTTCCAAACCCTCTTGGAATAAGTTGTTTTTGTTGTGCAACCACATCTAGTCTGACCAGATGAATCGCTCCCAGCACAGAGAAGCAGCGACGAGGCTGCCCGTGGCCTCACTGCACGAGTCCCTGTTGGCAGTTATGCTTCAATTTTGCTTCTTCCTTAGTATTTTTATTTAGCATTATGGTTTATATCACACTTTTCCTCCAAGAAGCTCAAGGTGGCGTACATGGTTCTCTCCCGCCATTTTTTAATCCTCGCAAAACAACCCTGTGAGGTAGGTTGGACCGAGAGGCAATGACTAGCTCCATGAGACTCAGAGCTGAGCAGGAATTTGAACCAAGTCTCCAGCAATTAAGAGCGTAAGAAGAGCCTGCTGGATCAGACTGGTGGCCCATCTTCCTGTTCTTACAGTAGCTGACCAGATGCCTCTTATGAGAAATTCACAAGCAGGACCTAAGCTGAAGAGCCTCTCTCCTCTTCTCTTGCAGGTCTCAGAAACTGGCATTCAGATGCATTATTGCCTCCATCTGTGGAAGCAGAGCATAGCCACCAAGAGCCCTCTGCTCCAAATTTCTAGTTCAACACTTCACTCTTCACTTCCCCACCTTCTACCAGCCTTCTACATCAAAGCATTATTCTAAAGATGTAATAAAATTCGCAGTTGCAAAGATTATTCTGATGTACTGGGCATAGAAGGACCAAAGACAGAGACTTTTAGAGGCCCAAGCTACCAGTGCAAAACAAGCAAATAGGATCAGGTGAGAGCAGGTCAATATGTGGCTTGGCATTGGCCAACCTTGATCTACCTATTTGCTGCTCCAGAGGGTAGGACCCAAACCAGTGGATTCAAATGGCAAGAAAGGAGATTCTAACTATTAGGAAGAACATTCTGACAGTAGGAGCAGCTGGATAGTGGAATGGACTTCCCCAGAAGGTGATGGACTCGAGGGTTTTGAGCAGAGGTTGGGTGGCCATCTGCCAGGGATTTTTGAGCTAGATGACCTTTGGGGAGTCCTATCCAACTCTACATGATCTCCATCCATGATCTCCATTCTCTTGCCCATCTCCTGAATTCTGCTGCATGCCCTGTTTTTGGCTCCCGCTGCATCAATCCATTCTGACCCCCTGCTTCAGGATTTTCACTGACTTGCTCTGACACGACCCATTCAAGTTGACATCCTTTCCTTTGCATTTGAGTCAGCACTCTGCAATGTTTAGTGAGCTGGTTAAAAATGGATACTTGGGAGTCTGTTGACCCAACAACCCAACAGGCTGACCTTAGGCATGGCGGCTGAGAGAGAAGTCACAGATCCACATCGCTCAACATTGCGAATGGGCAAAGGACACCGTGCCCTTTGCTGGGCAAAACACAGAAGGCTGGAGAGAAACTGCCCATCCAAGAGGGATGGTGCCAAAGCTTGGGGGCAGGATTAGGCCTTTTCTCTCTGGCCTGTCCTTTGCTTTGGCGTTGGCTTGCGGGCTTTTAAGGGGCAGTTTGCAGCACTCTTGTTCGACTGGCATTTTGAGACAGGCAAGGGCATGCAAATATTATAGCCTTGAATATGAGTCATATTTTCATGTTTCACCCATCAAAATAACACGGTTGGAAGGGTTATCTGGGGCAGGTATCATGATGAGCAAGCTGATCCTTAGGGTTGCTGGTGGTTGTTGTTTTTGTACATTTAAATAAATTAATGGGTGTACCCCCAAGGAAGTCTTCTAATTAGTGCCCATATTTGTTGATGTTGCTCTGATAAATATGGCTGAAAGTGAGTTTGCAAGCTGTCCTATCATCTTAAGAACATAAGAAGAGCCCTAGTGAATCAGGCCAATGTCATGAAGTTCTCACTGTGGACAAGCAAAAGCCTCTATTGGGGAACCCTTAAGGAGGACCCAAGCACAAGTGCACTCTCTGCTCCTGCAGTTTCCAGAAACTGAAATTCAGAAGCAGGGATGCGAGCTCCTTTGGTGTTAGGATTCAGTCCTGTAAGAGTGAGTTCAGGAAGCCTGAAAGTGCTGCTTAGCCCTTATAAGCCTGGCTTCTGGGCCAGGCTTTCTCTGCTGGCTCTCAGCTGTCCTTCAGCTGTGAACCGGGACTGAGAGCTTGTGGTGGGGTAATGGTTACAGCATCAGACGGGGACCTGGGAGAGACGAGGGCTCGAATCCCCATTAAGCCATGAAGCTCACTGGGGTGACCTTGCCTCACACCCTGACCTATCTCACAGGGTTGTTGTGAGGATTAAAGGCGCAGAACCACGTACCTCACCTTGAGCAACTCGTAGAAAAATGGTAGGGTAGAAATGCAGACAATAAAATGAATAGTACATCATCTACCAAAGGCGCAGAGGAAGAAGAGTTAAAGAGAGAGCTCTGGCGACAACAGATAAAATAAGGCTTGGTTTTTATTTATTCATTTATTCATTCCATAAATACAGAAGCTTTTTCTTTAATCAGTCCAAATCTTTGTCAGGAAGCATGATTGATGGGGGCTAGCAGCCTTTTGCCTAGACGCGGTTAGCTCAGGACTCACAGTCGTCATATATGTCATTTCTAGAGAACGATCACTTTTGTTTTGACATATATAAAAAGGCAAAAAAAGAAAAAAGAGTATTTTTTAATTTTATTTACATACATGGAATTAAAATTAAAAAAAAAGAGAGAGACTGGAAGGTTAACGGGAGGCGGGGGAAATTTACAGATCCCCTGCTCCCCCCTGGCTACAGTGGCATTTCTATGGCTCCCTGAAAGAAGTTGATTAGCACGGCAAACACGGCTGATAGGGAAGGTTTTGGGGGGAAGGTGGAAGCCTTCAGTGAGGGACTTAGACACTGCGAAACGTCTCAAAGTGGGGCAGACATGGAGGAGAAAATGCACAGTCCTCTGGCATGCAGAGGGGAAAGGGCCCAATCCCAGAGGGTGCAAAGAGGTCAGAATGGTTCTGAATTCCTATTTCATTTGGTGGGGTGTGCGTGATCCTACGGTTGGATCCAGACTTAACTGAGCTTGGTTCTCACTGAAATCAATGGGAGCTAAGTCATGCCTTAACTTGTCCCGTTGATTGCAAGCGGGCAACGATAGTAAGATGCTGGAATCCACCCCCCATTCTTTGTCTATGTATTGGCTGAACAGCTGCTGATGGCTTTAAATGTAGGGGGTTGGGGGAGCCTCTTGAGGCTGAAGTCAAATGGTAAGTGTTCTCCCCCATCAACACCCCCACCGTAAGAGTTGAGGAAAGGGGGCCTGAGGCTCCTCTCCTTCTGGACATGTGTCTCTGCCTTCTGCCCTTGCTCAAATAGGTTTTTACATTCCTCCCACAAAAGGGCAGCACATTTAAGCCCCACTGGGGGAGTTAGTTCTGTGCTTAAATCTGCTGGAGGCCACACAGCTCTAAGTGGCTCAACTTTGCTTGGAGGGGGCAAGCTTCCTGGACAGGGGACCCGTCAAGAAAAATAAAATAAAGCAAATATAAAGAAAATAAATCAATGATAAAAGTTGGTGATCCAGTGACGGAGGCCACAGCTGTGTTTCGGCAGCTCCTCGACTTTGTTGCCTCCTGAAACAGCAATTCAGCCTCTGATGCGACCGGTGCTGAAAAGGATTTTGCAACCAGCCCAACTAACTTTGCTGAAGCCCATCCTGTCCAAGGCTGCAGGATGGAAAGCGCTCCCTCAGACTGGAGAGGGCAGAAATCATAATTCTGAATCCTCCCTGCATGTAGAAAACTTGTCACAGGAGCTACTTTTCTCATTGCAGGGACTTCATTTAAAAATGTGATTCTCCCACTGGCAGTCCCATTCTTTCTTCCTGGCTCCAGGTTCGACCACATCCTTCTGTTACGTTTGCAGCAGAGGGCCGGACTGTTGTATTTCAATGCAAATTAGGTAATTCTGGATTATAATGTAAACCGGACTCGACTTCCTCTCCATCCGTACAGACGACATCAAGTCCAGATAAAGAACCAAATGTTGCTTTGCGGGAGTAGGGGAGAGCAAAAGTTTATAACAAGAGAGGATAGGAAATGCGTTTGACGAAGGCTTCCCACTGGAAACGATTTGGTAAGCGAGGGGTGCGGGGTGCAGACAGACATACAAAAATACTTCTCATCCACGGGGACAGACGTTAGTAAAAAAATAACACAAGCCTTTCACGGCTCAGTCTTAAAACGCATCATATTTACACTACCCACCGACTAGCCGAAAAAAAGGAAAGAAAAAAGGAACCCGCTTTCGTACTTAGAACTGGTCTGGAACGTCGCAGCACTTCTGAACCAGGAGCCCCCAGTTCCTGAGTCAGGCTGCTCCGTTCTGGATCCCTCTTGTGCAGGCAGTTGAATGCTGCACTGCGGTTGTACCCCATGAGTTTAAAAAAATACAAGGAGGGGTGTGTGTGAGAGAAGAAGCCTTTTGCAAGCTCACCCCTGGTGTATGGGCCCCTGGTGTGCCACTGCAAAAAGCAGCCATGAGCAAGTCCCTGCATGATATAGGAGGCAGCAGGGGAGGGCTTGATAAATCAGGGGAAAGGACAGAAAAGAGGGTAGTTACAACATTAGGAAGAACTTTCTGACAGTGAGGGCCGTTCGGCTGTGGAACGGACTCCCTCGGAAGGTGGTGGACTCTCCTTTGATGGAGGTTTCAGCTGTGATTCCTGCATTGCAGGAAGTTGGTCTAGATGAACCTTGGGGGTCCCTTTCCAGTTCTATGACCCTGGGACTCCAGGAGCAGGCTGCCTGCCTTTTTGCATTAATCTCTGAAACTGCTTGAAGACATTCCCATCTAGCTCAGGGGGTTGTATCCAACTAAAGCTGCATTTGTACACAGCAACTTTATTCCGTTTCGCTGACCTTTCCCGAACTGTGAATTACCTTTGAGCTCGCACACAATACAAAAACCACTTCGGGAAATACGTAGCGAGGAATGGT